GCAGATCCGGGGAAGAAAACCCTAACCATGTCTCACTCAACCCCTCTCATGGACATTAATTAAGCACTCTATCAGCTTTTGATCTCTGTGCAATAGTACTATCCCCCCTTAGCCTCCAAAAACTGAAGCCCTCACAGACGTGCTCGCTAAAGGATTGAAAGTGCTGTTGGCCACAAGCCGACACGCTCAAAAAACATAAATCGTCAAGCCCACTTCCGCATATCGTCATTCCACTCCGTTGACCATTCTGACATGATTTAAAACCAAGTCATCCTTCCATCATCCATGACCATGAAACTGTCACCAATGTTCTTCTTCTCGTAACCATGATGCTTTTCTGCTTTTCCAGTCCCCCTGAGACGCAAAACTCTGTCCAATTATTACAGTATTGGGACGAACCGGCAACCAAGTCTTGAACTAGACCAGCACCTTGAAAATCGCCAAGAGGACAGCCGCAAAGACACCAGTGGTCATCTGTTGAGAGACACCCATGGCAGCACCACCGGTAGCAGAGGAGTCGGATCCAGAAGCCGATGCAGTAGCGGACTCAGAGGCAGTGTCGGTCGCAGAAGCGGTCTCCGACGAGGCAGGAGCAGAAGAGGTGGAAGTGACCGAAGCAGAGGCAGCAGACGTTTGCGCAATAGCTTCGGCGGTGGCATTGCGAGTACCACATTGCTCATTCGTTTTGCATGCAGACTGTGCCTGGGCGTCGTTGGGGTTGTTGTTGACGCACTGGATGTAGGTCTCTTGACAGATGTAGAATGGAAGAGTCTCAGCAAAGGCGGTGCAGTCAGGCACAGTTCCGTTGGCGCAAACGCAGGTGTAGGTGAATGTGGTCTAGAGACAAATGTCAGCTGTGGATCGCTTGATGTTACGGCGTTCATTATACCTGATCACACTGGTTTTGAGAAGCAGACCCACCACAGATCTGGGGGCAAGTGTTCAGCTGAGCATGGCACCAGTTGACTAGGTTCAAAAATCAGTATGTTCCCCATCGAGACAAAAATTGTGGGGACCTCTCTCTTACACGCAGTCGTGGAATCGATTCCAGCAGGGTTGAAGGCAGCAGTAGCCACCGCAGGCATTGCTTGCGACACAGTGGTAGAGGCTGCGACCGAGGATGCACTCGAGGTGACAATGGTCTGCGCGTGGGCGACAGCAGCCAGAGAAGCTGCAAGGAGGATCTGGTACTGCATGGTGGAGGTGGTGAAGGTAGTGCGGGCTGGACTCTTCTGTCTATGCAGAGTGTCAAATCGATGCTCAAAGTACTACGTTGGTAGAGTTGGACTGATGGATGTATGAAGTAGAGTATGTGGAGGAAAAAAGCAGACACTGAGAGAGAGACAGAGAGCAGTGAGAGATGGGTGAGAAGGTGTGGGTTGGTACTCGGTGAAGTGGGAGGTGGAGGGCAGAATTCACACACACTGACAGCTGGGTGGAAAGAGGGACCCGTTTGTTGGGATAAGAGCTCACCTTTATCAGTCTTTGAGGGTGGTGACGGCGAGATGGAGTCTCTCCAAGATGCTTTTCGGTTGCTATGGAATTTTCAAGGGCGACCAAGATAGAGGCTGGGAGAGGATGGTGGTGGCTTTTTTATTCCATTGCGCGTTCACTGACTCTGGCTGCACCTTTCCACCATTCACTTTTGTTAGCTCCCAGGAGCGCCGGTATCAAGTCCATGGCGATGCCGCTATCTGGTCACCCACTTTGCTGAATTAGGGACTAGCTGGTACCTGGAAGCCCCTAGAGGCACCGACAGAGACCTATTAACCCAAAACGACAGGGTGCCAGACTGGGGAGCTCGCCCGCTTGGACCACCCATTCGTCACTCTGCTGCAATTCTAAAACACATTAAGGGCCGCGCCAATCACCAGGGCAGCGCATCGCCGGCGCCCCTCACCCTCCAACTCCACTGCGACAATCTTGGAGCACCCCTAGTTGGTGCCCAGACCCAAACAGTTCTAGGCATCGGACACCCCAAGCAAGAAACATCCGCCACCAAAAACCCGCCACTCACAAAGCAAGATGTAGTTAGCCGTATCTTGTCCGCGATGCAGCGCCTCCTACTGGTCACACCTACCGAGCAGACCGAGGCACAAGCTCGGACCCCATGGCCCGTGGCCGTGGTCTTGGAGAGATACAAACCGAAAAAAAAGTTATACAATCACAACTGCGGTCTGCATCCAGCCGCTCTGCTCATTCTGCTATAGCGACTTGGGTACTTAATGTGTGACAGGTAACACGACTGGCCACCATGTCAGAACAACATGGAAAGACGGACTTTATGGCCGACTTCATCGGCAGCCACTCCATCTCAGAAGACGACCGGCGGTACTTTGCATCTATTGAATGGACGAATAAATACCTGGCCGATCCTCTCTACAAGGCCATCCCTACGTTTTCGCGCACTCTAAAGGACACGGGCGAAGATTACTTCTTTGCTCGTACCATCAACTCGCCTGACACTATTCCTCACCTCCTCTCTCTGCAGTTGAAGGACTATCCCAACCCTCCAGAAAGCCCCAAGGGACAATTAAAATTGAGAACAAACCACAGCGAGCCCACCGAAGTACCTCAGCACCCCGAATGCGTCGTCCTGTTGTCGATCGGTCGCCCGGGGCTCGATGGCCATCCCGAAGTCATACACGGCGGCATGGCCTGCGCCATTCTTGACGAGATGATGGGACTTTGTGCGATGCTACACCAACAACACCTTCCAGGACCACGAGGTGCGCTTTTCACCGTCGGTTTGAATATAACCTACCGTGCGCCTGTACCCACGCCGGGAGACGTGCTCGTGAGGAGCTGGCTCGTAGGAAAAGAAGGTCGCAAGTGGCTATCGAGGGGTCAAATAGTAGACAAAAATGGCAAGGTTTTGACCGAGGCCGAGGGCATGTGGGTGCTCACAAAGAGACAAGAGAAGTTATGATCTGTCACTGGTCGCCGCCGAGCAGGTCCTTTACCCGTCGATTCGAGCTGGTGGCGGCCTTGATCTTGAGCAGGGCAATTGAGTACCTTAAGCACATATCCCCTCGGCAATCTGGACAAGCTGTGACCGATTACGGTCAGTGGCCTGAGGCTACGCACTCCACCATCATCACTTGTTATCGCTGGCGAGATTGGATAGTCAGCTCGGGAAATTATGGAGAAGCAGTGGAGATGGACGCCACCAGATAGAGGCGCACAAGCTTTGGCGAGGCTTGCCACATGCAGAAGTCGTCGGGGTCTTGATGATACGGGGGGATTTGTTCGAACAAGCGCCGGACGGCATGGAGAGGAAAGATTTATTCATGGACTGTCGCAAAGCCAAATAAATGTAGAACTCGGCGATAGATTTTTCTAGACAAATAGAAAGATTTCAGCAACCGGCCACAGGGATGTGGGCTTCTATATCTCCCGTGCGTTCTTTGCTGGTGGAGGATTCGTGGCTGAAGCGGTTTGTACAAATTAAAGCTTTATCGCGGCCTCGCATTTTGACGTGGGTAAAAAGTGCTGACCAAGTGCCCAGGAGACAAACCAAGCACGAGCACGCCTTGCCTTGCCTTCTCAAATAATAATAATAATACTCCTTATCCCCCTATATCACCGACAGCAACAACGCCGCAACGCCCAGAATTTAATTGCTCAAGAAATACGTCGCCGCGACGGGCGTGCCCAGCTTCGCCCGCTTTTCAAACCGCGACAGATCCCACCTCATGCGGTCCCTGATCCCAAAGCCACTCGCTTTCGTGATCGTGCGTGCGTCAAAGTCGGGTGGTTGGGCGTAGAGCAGGAAGATGTAGCGGTGCGGGCTGCTGATTGGGGGAGGGCCGGGCCCTGCCCAGAATGCGGTAGCGGGGTCCGGCGAGGTTAGCTGGCCAGCAGCAGCAGCAGCAGCAGCAACGCCATCGGCACTGCTTGATCCTCCGATGACAAGACCAGTCTGGAGCCAGTGCAGTATGGGACTCAGCGGCGCGAACGAGGGAAAAGGTGCGTCGAGGTCGAGGCTGAGGACGACGAATTTCTGGTCTGGGGCCGCTGTGTCCCACCCAAGTGTTGGGAGTTCTTGAGCTTCTATCCAAGGGGTTGAAGTCAGCGAAAGTAGACAAGAAAAGAGAAACGCCAAGATTGACGGCAGATTGTTTGGACGGTCCATGACCTGAGAAACAGGGACAGCGATGTGAAAAAGTCAACTCACCTCCCTTGGGGATCTTGTCGCCCGGTTTCACGACGCGCGAGCCAAAGGCCAATTGAAGGGGTTTCGATCCGTCCTTTTCAACCAGTGCCACCACAGTCTTGAAAATCTGATTGTCTGGCATGGCTGGCTAGGGATCGCACTGGCCGAGTGACGCTGATGGACAAGGAGATTGAATGTCGACGGTCCAGGCTCTCTTTTCCTTCCTCAAGAGGGTGGAGGAAAAATCACCAACCCGAATCCCTTGCATGCCGCAATGAGGCAGTGAACAGGCAGCAATTTGGGACATTTCTCCGATCGACAAGGGACCGCGTGAATTATAGCGAGAGACAGAACCTGATTGCTCCGTCGTCCCTGGATTGATCGCGTGGAGTTTATGGCCGTCCTGTACCGGCCCGGTTTTTGGTGGCCGGTTCCCGATACCGGGCCACGTCGAGTTGATTTTCCATTCTTTGAACCGCCTGCAACGGGCGAAAAGAGGAGAACTAGGCCGACGAACCTTACAAAATAGGTGGCATATTTCCAGGTGAGGATAATGATTTAGGTCTCGCTGATGCCGATATCTATTCAAGCAGATATTATCGCTTATATGCGTCCATCCCCAATGCACACGATAGATACTCGTCACAGCTCGATCCATAGACTGTCAGCATCAGTACCCGAATTGAACGAAAAAGGTGAACGGCTCTCAGTGTTCAACTAGCCGCATACTTCATTCATCCAGGTTGACCTCCATATAGAGCAGCGTGCGGGATATCAATACTCAGTCAACACGGCTTTTGGGCTTGGAAACAGATAGGCCCCTCCTTGACTGGCCTTTTCCACCATGACGACCAAAGAAGCGGACACTACTGTTAGTGACACGAACGGCGAAGCGAAAGCGAATTGTCCTTGTAACAGCGAAGATGTCACCGACACCACAAACTCCCCCGGTCAAGGAGCGTCTGAACCACCACCACCACTGGAGCTGAAGGAGAGCGACGTCGAAGCACAACCCCCAGCTCTAACTCCCGCCAAAACCAACGAGCGCAAAGCGTACAGCGCCTTCTCCGACCGCGCCAAATGGTTCATCGTGACCATGACGGCCATGGCGTCCTTCTTCTCCCCGCTGTCCAGCCAGATCTACTACCCGGTCCTCCCGATTTTGACGAAGACATACAATCTCTCCCAAAGCCTGATCAACGTCTCCATCACCACGTACATGATCTTCCAGGGCCTGGCGCCCAGTTTCATGGGCACCTTCTCCGACGCGAGTGGACGACGGTTGGGGTATATCATCGCCTTCACCATCTACACGGCCGCGAACATTGGGTTGGCGCTGCAGGACAGCTATGCCGCGTTGCTCGTCCTGCGGTGCCTACAGAGCGCGGGCAGCAGTGGCACGGTCGCTTTTGGATACGGCGTCATTGCTGACATCGCCACCACGGCTGAGCGGGGAAAGTACATCGGTCCCATGGCGGCTGGTGTCTTGACGGCACCGGCATTGGGCCCCACCATCGGCGGCCTTCTGACACAGTTCCTAGGATGGAGAGCCGTCTTCTGGTTCCTCACTATTATCAGTGGCGGGTATTTGGTCCTGTATATCGTCTTCATGCCCGAAACGCAGCGCAAGATCGTGGACGACGGGAGCATCGTGCCGTATCAGTGGTGGCGCCAGTCGGTCGTCCAGTACGTGGCCGGCCGGCGGCGCCTGAAGAGGATGAGCGCCGAAGAGAGACGCGACTATGAGCGGACGCAGCAGGATCTGGCAGAGCGGCAGCGAGACGCGAAGATCCGGTTCCCCAACCCGCTGGGATCCTTTGTCATTCTTGCCAACCCGGACGCGTTCTGTATCATCACGTACACCGGGATCATGATGTTCAGTAACCTGGTTCTGATGACGAGTACACCGACCGTGTTCCCCAGGCTATACGGACTCAACGAGCTCGAGGTCGGGTTATGTTTCTTGTGAGTGGTCATCTTCCCCTTTTCCCTCCTTATTCTTTCTTCCATCTTTTTTCCATCTTTTTGTTCGAAGCTCAAAATTGACCAAGCTTGTAGACCCCTCGGCGTCGCCGCCGCCGTCGGCTCGTTCTGCAACGGCCGCCTCCTCGACTGGAACTACCGGCGCACGGCGCACAGGCTGGGCGTTACGGTGGACCGCAAGCGCGGCGACGACCTGCGGAACTTCCCCATCGAGCGCGCCCGCCTTCAGGCCGTCTTCTTCACGCAGATCCTGCAGGTCGCGGTGCTGCTGCCCTACGGCTGGGTGCTGGAGCACCACGCCTCCCTCGCCGTTCCGCTCGTCCTGCAGTTCATCCTGGGCTTCTGCCTCGTCGTCGCCTCCAACTCGCTCAGCACCCTCCTCTCCGACATCTATCCGGGCAGCGTCTCCACCGCGTCCGCCGCCTCCAACCTCGTCCGCTGCGGCCTCGGCGCCGTAGGTGCAGCCGTCGTCAACGACATGCTCACCGGGCTGGGTCTTGGCTGGTGTTTCTTCCTCGTCGCCATGCTCATGGCCGCTGCGACGGTGTTCCTCTGGGTCGAGGCCAGATGGGGCATGGAGTGGCGGCAGCAGCGGTGGAGGAGGGTGGAAGAGAAGAAGAAACAGGAGCAAGATAAAGAGAATGAGAAGAAGAAACTAGCCGAGAAGGAGGCTGAGAGGCAAACCGAGAAAGAGGACACGCCTCGAGTGTGAGCGAGTTGATCCTCTTCCCTTAGTCGAATAGGATCGGTGGCCGGTCATACATTTATTTCGGTATGATGGCCAAAGACAAGAAAGACTGCTAGTGGAAAAAGGGGTTATATACATCCATATACATATATATATGTATATAATCCCCGAACACTCATCGTCGTAGGTCATTTCGCTGACTCGTCCCTCGCCGCTTTACTCTCCCGCTAACGACTATTTAGTCGAATCGCTCCCCTGGATTGCGATGGGCTTGGTATCCTTGGCATCGTGATCGTAGAGCGGGGTACCCTGTACAAAGCCCTGGAGATAGCTTCTCCAGCTCCAAGGACTACCCTATCTCTGCGTTTCAACACATTCACGTCCATCATGTGGGCCCCGTATAAGAAGAGAGCATCTCCAAGAGCGTGTGATCGATGCCACAGGATTAAAGAGAGATGTCTGTTTTCCTCTCAACAATCACAAGTTTGCGACCGCTGTGCTCGACTCAACCACGATTGTAAAACAGAACGTCAAGCATTACGTCCTGGTCGTCCTTCCAGTTTCAGGCCCCATAAAATATTGAACACCTTCGCGGAGACAGCGAGATTTGAAGAGGTACACCACCCCAAGAGCCAGGCTGAGGACGAGGGCAATGAAGAGGAGAATGATGTCCAGTCGGCCTCAGGAGATCAGGCCATGTCGGATCTCGATGACGGAGCAATGTCCGCGTGTGTCCCATTCCCTTCCGACACGCGCTTGTTCCCTTTGACTGAGCAGATTGCTCAGTTCCCAAACATTCGCCATGCCGTTAGCGGACAGGAAACACGACTGATAGAATTCATCTTGGATCAAAACGGCTTTGTGAAGTTCTACGTCTTTGGCGCCAGCTTCCGGCCGGAGATGCAGAGGGTGCTTGCGACACAATTCCTTTGCACGCCCGAGCTCGTAACAATGGGCTACCTCGGTATGGGTGGGACCATTGCCAATTCGATGGGACTTCTCCTAGGCCGGCACGATGACGAGACCACTTTGAAGAACACTGGACGCGCACTCAAGACACTCCTACGGCTAGTAGTCTCGACGCCGGAGGGCATCGCGGCTGCTCTCAACCTCGGGCTCACGCTCATAACCTTCAATCAGAGTCGTATAGGACATCACACCCTCGATATAGCTCGGGCAGCCCTTCGGCTCGTGGCACCGTGGTATCTGAATCGCCGCCTGACAGATTACGTGGAAATGGATCCCAACTTCCTCTGCACACTCTTCTCCGAAACGTTCGAATGCCTCTGTCACCGACAGATACCTACGTTCCGGTATCGTGTACCAGTTCCGGACAGAGTCGATAGGTATTACGGTATCAGTCGCTCTTTGCTCCCGGTCTTATATGATATCTGTGTCTTTTCGCATTCGTTGAGATTTCGTCGCCGTCCTAAACGACATCAGCAAGACCACAGCAGCTATACAACAGGCCAAGATCTTGCAGAAGATGACAACGTGGAAGGCACCCGAGGAGGACCTGATGAGGAGAACTACCAAGACGGAGACTGCGAAACCTGGGCCCATTTACTAGCAGCCGTGGACGAATTTTTGTGGACTCATAAATTGCACGAGCAATTCGAACAGTCAGCTGCGTTGTCCGCGTCGGAGTTCATCTACATGGGCCTTCAGGCGTGGTGCTACCAAGCTACGGCAAGGTTGATTCTCCATCAACTCGGGCCGTCTACGGCACATAGCAAATGCCTTCGACGAGCGATTGCAGAGTCCATCCTCACGAAGGTGCAGCAGATCCGCCAGATGGAGCTGTACGGGTCACGGTATATACTGTTTGCCTATTTCATCGCCATGACTGAGATGGAGAGAAGCGAGGTAACAGACGACGACGTTCTGGGACAAATGGTTGAACTTACGAGTGGTGTGGCGAGAGCTTCATGTTATAGCATGAAAGCATTTCTGGACTATTTCTGGTCAGCTCGAGGTCAGGATCCACAGACACTATGGCTTGATCTTGTATCCTCGGGTCCAAAGTTCTCTATAGGGCTTTAGTGCTATATATACTATAATACTAACATCAAGGTGTTCATTTCAATTTCTTGCGAAATCATGTCCAAACCCCACCTCCTCCCTTCATCCGTAAGGAGTAGGATGGCGGTTGACCACCTTCTGCCCACCACTGGATGGGCATTATCCCTCTTCCTTTCCTCTCCTCCTCTTTCTCTCTTTCAGACAGATCGACATATATACATTTCTTTGACCAGATCTCCTCGTTTCCTTTGCGTTTTGTGACATTTCTCGTTGACCCCGACAGAATCTCTTCAATTTCCTCTTCTTTCCTCTATTTCTCACAAGATATCGGTACCCTATTGCTTGGGATGATCATCCTTTCACTGCCGCAGCAGCGTTCCGGATCGCACAATTCTACAATTCTATGGAGAGCTTTCGTAGCATCAATGCCCCATCGTCTTCTCCACATACTCAAGATATTTAGGAATGCTTCTTTTGCGCATGGCTCGGCCCCACTTGATGAAGATGAAGGTCGTAGATATCTGGGCCATGGCCGCAAAAGCTGCGACCAGGAATGCGTTACGATAGCCCATGTTCAAGACCCAAGGTGTGAGACTAGAAAGTTCAGAGTGCGCACAGTAAGTCAGATCGAATCAAGAAGAAGAACAACGAACGAGTGGGGACTTCTACTGACCCGTACGACACGGCGAAACTCATGGTGTTCCGGATCAGAATGACAGTGATCAAGGTTTCGCCGCTGAGACGACGGTAGCAGTCGACGCAGTATGTGATAGAGATCGAACAACCCATCGCGATCTGAGACGCAAGAAGGCCCATGGCGAAGACCAAACCAAACCAGTGTATATTTCGGTAGGCCCCAACGCCCCAGATGATGAGCGCTGTGGGGGTTAAGACGATTGAAATGGCCAGAAGCCAGAGTCGGTGTTCTGGTTCCATAACGCCTTTGTTTCGACGAGCCATCTTTATTACGAACCAGTCGCTGAAAGGGCCGGTGTATAATAGACTGCATTGAATAATTTCATCATGTCAGTAATGGATCGACGATAGACCGACCATTGTGTCTTCGATCCAGATCTCAAGCACGTACCTCGGTAAAATTCCAAGCAGGGGAGATACATAGGACAAACCAACCATACTGGGCTTGAAGTGATATGGAGGCCCCGATAGGATGAGTGAAGAGGTTCCGTTCAGAATGTTAAACCACACAAGGATACTACCGTAGGTGAAGCCGGCAAAGGCGATGACAGGCCATGTCAAGAAGATCAGGGGGCGGGCCATCATTCCTAGCAGTTTGTTCTCTTGCTGCCATACTCCGGGCTGGAAAAACTTCAATTTGTCAAAGAACGTCTTCCGGCGGTATTGCTGCGATAGAGTCGCTGACAACTCAATCGTCTCGTCTGTGCTTGTGACTGCCGTTGTGTCATTGACCTGCGGTTTTTTTGGATTGTCCTGGAGTTCAGCCGTGGTAGGGTCGGAGGCAGGGTCCACCGAGTTCTGGGATACCATCTCAGTTGCTGTCATGACCGTCAAACGTTGATAGTTTGTCTCTTCCATGAAGAGGTAGAGGAAGATGAATGCCGCTAGGCATAGGATTCCACACCAGTACTGTCAGGTAGGGATATGATCAGCGATGAATTATCGGGCGGTGACGGGCTAGATAGTCATGTTAGTACTTACCATGACCCATTCCCACCCTTGTCCATCGTTGATGAAGCCTGCGACGATGGGTGCAAAGAAGCTTGCTCCGGTGAGTGCAAGTGCATAAACCGCCATATATGTTCCGCGCTGGTGTGTAAAGTACTTGGGAGAGTTAAAAATCGGAACTGACGACAATGTAGTGGCAATTCTTTGCAAGCTCCTTCGCAAGGGAACTTACAATGTCTGCCACACTGACTTCTCCTAGACTTTCCACTGGGCTACCAATGAACCCTTGTAAAACCTTGTTGGCGATGTATTCTCCGTTGGATTTTGTGTAAGGAGCCCAAAACATGATCCCCTACATATGAGGGTCACTAAGGCCTGGTGGAAGAGCGGAGGTGACATGCTTACCACCGAGATGAGCATCGTGATCACATATACGGGGCGTTTGCCGTATTGGATGGCCAATGGCTGGAAGATCAAACACCCCCAGCCATAAGCAAGGAACATGTATCCAGTTCCAGCATTGAGATCAGCCAGTGTCAAGCCTCTTGCGTCGGCGAGGGGTTGCAAGATCGAATAGATGGCAGCGCTCGTGTAGGCGATCACGAAGGTGTAGCTGTTGCGTAATGGCCAAAGTGTCAGAGAACAGGCTCGCCGAATGCTAAAAGACGGAAGCTTTGAACACTTACATAGCCATACAAATTGTTGACAGCATTTTTCGGCGCGGGCTCCAGTTCAAAGGGTCCTCAGGATCCGCCGAAGGGGCTGGATTCAGTATAACGTCTTGCTTCTTACCGGAGGCATGCTTAAGCATAAGCGTCCGTTCCAGGTCGACCAGATGAACCGTGCCAGGAATAAATTCGCGCTCAGCGTCAGCCATCTTGCACTCTTGATACCAAAGGTTATGCGGGTCGTTAGTAAGTTTTCTTGATCAGCAGTAAATAATAACTGATTATGGCAAAATGCTGAACAGACGTGCGCTCAAGACGAGGCGGATTGTGCTCCCTTTAAATAGTTGGGCCAGCCTTCGCAACTGTATTCGTATTTCCATCTACCCTAACGCTTGGACGTCCGTGAACTTGTCCGCCGTAGACGACGTGATGGTCTAGTGTGAGCCACCGCTCATGTTTCCGAGGAAATGTGGTTGGCTCTACACATTGATCGAGATGTATCTCACCCGTGCCTGCGAGGCAAATGTGGTTAGATCCAATCTGGCCTTTCTGGCGGCGGCGTCTCCAATAGCAATCCGACTCGAAGAAAGATCGGCACGTAGTCGAGCCTTGCCAAGGCGAAGTCGATAAGCCGGGATAATTGCGATAGAACTTACAGCAGACCGAGACAAATACAAAAGGCTGTCGATAAGCCGGAGGCAATGGGATAAACTTCCGATAAGCCGGGATAAATGTGATAAGACTACGATGGGCCGGCACATATGCAATAGCCTGTCGATAAGCCGGGACAAACGTGATAAACCGGAACGAATGTGGGAAATCCCGCAGATCTAATTAGCTTAGGCTCAAGTTTCATGACTCTGATAGGCTCATCCTGTGCCACTCGACCTGCCAATATGGAAATGGACAGTATACGCTCTGTTGACCCATATATGGAACTATATGTAAAAAGGAAGAACTCGCACAACCTTGACAATCATTCAGTAAGATTCACCATCTGGCCTCTCAAACATAACGACCGACAAAAATGACAAATTCGTGGGAAACCAAGGCTGAGATATGCCGCAAGATTCTCACGGACTCCCTGAACCAGGAATGGCTTCTTCCACAAGCACAATTACCTCCTCAATCCACAACAAATATCATGACGTTTCCTGACACGTGTGGGAAGCTAACTGATCGCGAGACGGCCATCACCAAGTTGACAGCAGAAGGTCTAACAAAGAGAATGGGGATCGGCGAAATGACTGCTACTGAGGTAGTAATCGCCTTCCTCAAACGCGGCCACATCGTTCACCAGCTATGCAACTTTGCGACCGAGTTTTTGGTCAAAGAGGCACTTGAGCAGGCAGCAAAGCTCGACAAACATTTCGAAGCCACGGGCAAGCTAGTTGGACCACTACATGGTGTACCGATCTCTGTGAAGGAACACTTTGGTTTCAAGGGCAAGGTGTGCCATTCGGCCTACGTCTGCTTCATTGACCACATTCCAAGCGAAGACGCCTTGATCTTGAGAATACTCCGCGACGCAGGCGCGGTGCTCCACGTCAGAACAAATGAGCCTCAGATTTTAATGGTACATCAAGAACCCCAGAGTGCATACGATCCTTTGAGTGCAATGTTGGAAACTAACCGGATCTGAACAGTCTGGCGAAACCGACAATCCTATCTATGGCGTGTCGGTTAATCCCTTTAATCGAAACCTCACACCCGGAGGGTCTAGTGGTGGTGAAGGCATTGCCGTGGGCACGCACTGCTCAGTGATTGGCCTAGGAACAGATATTGGAGGCTCTGTCCGTGTGCCGGCCGCGTTTTGCGGAGCGTACGGTCTGCGCACGACCGCGCTACGAAATCCCTACAAGGGGATTTTCTTCCAGCCTGACGGACAGGAAAGTATTCGATGCATCGCTGGACCTTTGGCAAACAGCCTTGAGGACATCAACTTGTTTGAGAGCGTTGTCTTAGGCAGTGAACCATGGGACGAAGAAACCAGTTTGGTACCTCTTCCATGGAAGAACATGGCGCCACCGAGTGTCAATGATCTCACTGTGGGTGTCATCTGGGAAGACGGGTAAGTGACGTTAAGCTTTTACCATGGGGCAAATTATGATTATCCTGTTTACTGAGATATCTCTGATGCTTTAGTACATGTCGACTCCACCCACCAATGCTTCGTGCGCTCAGAACAGTTGTCTCAAAACTCCAAAATGCCGGGGTAAAGGTGGTAGATTTCGAGCCATTTGAGCATTCAATGATTGTGGATGTCGCAAAAAAGCTCTTCTTCGCCGATGCAGGGCAGTCACAGAAAGAAATGCTCGCTGATGGAGGAGAGCCAATCGTGGCCCTGACACAATTTGCCTTTGATTTCGCCGTGCGAGAGCCCATGACTGTCAGAGACAACTGGGCTCTGAACGATAAGCGGGAGGGGTATCGAGCAACGTAAGTATATGGCCTCTTCGCACTGGTGCTGTATTTACAATCCTCACCGCGCAGATACCATCGTCTAATGAAAGAACGCGGCGTCGATGTCATTCTGTCGGCTGCATACCCAGGTCCTCCGGCAGAGTTGGGAACATTTCATTACTGGGCCTACACAACTGTTTGGAATCTCCTAGACCAGCCAGCAATCACATTCCCAACTGGTTTGAGTGTCGATCAAGACCTGGATAAGCCCTTTGAGAAATTCACCCCACGGTCGGACGTAGAGAAGAAGGAGTTTTACAAATGTCAGATTCACACCTTCAATGTTACGCAACCAGACGGCTAATCTCCATCATACAGACACTCCTGAGAGATTCGCCGAAGCTCCACTCGCTCTCCAGCTGACAGGCAAGCATCACCAGGACGAACAATTGGTTGCTGCATGCAAACTTGTTTCAAATATAATACAGAATCAATGATTTAACGACTCTAACCCCGGCCCCCGGGGAGAAGCTGACTTAAGACTTTTTCTTCTGTATTGTGCTGATAATTACGTATCAAGTATAATAATAAAGTTGTTGCGACCTGACCCCCATGCGACGACGATGGAGCTCAAGGAGGGAGAAACGGGGAGCCAAGGGAAGAACGAATGAAGAGGACAAGGAGCAAGGGTCCCGTAACTGGTCCAGGACAGGCGAGACTGGGTCACATCAAGACTCGAGGTTATCAGTGTAGTCAGCGTGTTCGATGAGGCTCGACCATTGATTACACTGAGTGGCATCCAGGGAGATGGCTCTATGTAACGATGATTATTTTATATCTTTACTTCGTCGTCAACTTCGCTCACGATCCTACCCCTAAGTTTCAGGATTACTTATGTCTCCCTAGTGCGTCGACGCCCACCCACGTAGCTCTCTCCGACTATCAGGAATGCCTTGCTGGAGATAGGCAGTACTCGGCGATATATCGATTCCGTAGTTGTAAGTATCCCTCTACGTATAGTAGTGACAAGACTCGAAGCATGAGAAGAGGATGCTTCTCGGGTGCGAGGAGCATGCTTTTCCCCTTCGGTTTGCAAGTGGCTGAAAGTGGTTTAGGCTTGTCCGGCCCGGTGTCTTGCCCGAGTGGCCTTTCAACCCCTTTTACTGAAGGCCGCGTAGGAGTATATCGTTTCAGCCAAGCCTGCTGCCTGGCAACTTTCGATCCTTTCGTCACTCGACGCGATCCTGGCGCTGGCGTCCAAGGAGCACCGAATCGAAAACGAACTCGGCCATGATGCGGAGGCTATTCAGCTGGCACGACGTACCGTCGAGGTCACTCTACCTGACTATCCTAGCCTAGCCGCCTGGCTAAACAATCTGGGGATTAATCTTAAAAGACGATTCGAGCAGACAGGCCAGATGGGCGATCTAGAAGAGGCCATTCAGGTGGCACGACGTGCCGTCGAGGTCACTCCATTGGACCATCCTAACCTAGCCGTCTGGCTAAACAATCTCGGGATTAAGCTGAACGTCGGCCATTCCTGCGTATGTGCAGTGCCGTAGCGAAACGTATGAGCGGCAAAACCAAAAAAACAAAAGAAAAGGGGGCAAGGGATCTCCAGATGTGCATCAATGGCCACGGTGTGTACAGTATGTCTCGGAGCGCTCAAGCAAGAAAAGCAAACCTGACGCCACCAAAAAAAAAACCGTGTCCCTTTCAGCCCAGAAAGTCTTGCTTTAGAGATGCAGGATAGCTAAGAAGGAGTAAAGCCTAGTGGACCGTGGTACGTCATGGTGATGTTGCTGACGATGGCGTCGACGGTTGTCAGCTCGGGCACGGTGAAGACGACGAAGTTTCTGCTCGTTCGTACAAATAGAAAATTGAGGGCAGAGGGGGTGCGACTAAGCTCTTTATGCTGTGAGTGTGCTGGTGGCCAGTGAAATGGCATAAAAATGACACTGCTGACACTCGATGTGGCAGTGCTGACACGACCACAAGCCGCATTCACATCCAAGCCGTACCGCTGTGTTTACGCGGCTGCACAGTCGCCTGAGCATGAACCAATGCATCACTGAAGATTGATAGCGATTGGTCGGCTTCGCAACGGCCAAGAACTAGAGGGGGCAGGATTCGTATGACGTTGCCACTCACAGCCCCGGTACGCCGGTGCCCAAGCAGGAGACCATGGTCGCGGCAGTGCTGACTGATTGCAGCCGCATGCTCTGGCGACGGGGTTTTGCTAGCTTTGTCAACCACAATCTCCACGCCAATCATCATCCCAAGGCCACGAACATCACCGATGATATCGTGTTGTGCCTTGAGCTCCTCAAATTTGTCCTTCAAGTAACGGCCCATGTGGTCTGCGTTTTGTACGAGACTGTCTCGTTCTAGAATCTCGATGTTTGCCAGCGCAGCGGCCGCCAGGAAAGGGTCATCAGTATGGGAAGACGACTGATGGTAGCCTCTCTCGGCGACTCGATCAGCGATCTCTGGTGTGGTAGTAACCGCAGAGAGCGGCACTCCTCCGCCTAGGCTCTTCGACGTAGTAATAATATCCGGAACAACACCAAAGTGCTCAATGGCAAACCATTTCCCGGTACGGCCTACTCCGGACTGGGCCTCGTCGACAATCATCAGTGTTCCTGTCTGGTCGCACCACTTCCGCACCGCTTGAACATATTGCTTCGATGGTATAATCATACCACCGACGCTCATTACAACTTCCAGAATAATTGCGGCTGGACTCCCATTCGAAGTCCAGTTAATTATCTCCAAGCCCTGACGGAAGCTCGCCATACAGTCATGGTCGTCCTTAAATGGACTGCGGTATGTATCCGGTGTCGGTATATAGATGATATCGGGCAGGCCGCTGCCGGGAACGCTTTTAAACTTTCCTCCGAGGCCAGTAACCGATAGGCTCGCATGGGTCATGCCGTGGTAGCCCCGTACGAGTGCCACAATGCCTGTGCGACCGGTATAGATCTTGGCAAGTCGCAAGGCCGCCTCGGTAGCTTCGGAGCCTGTGCAGGCGAAATATGACCGGCTCAGTCTGCCAGGCATGATCTCTGCCAGCTTTTGCGCCAGTAAGACGCGGGCCGGCGAGGTATATCCTGATCCTGTTTGCACAAGCGTCGATGCCTGCTCAACGATTGCTTTGGTGTAGGCAGGGTGGCAATGCCCGGTCGATGCGCAGACCTGGCCCGACTCAAAGTCAATATATGCCTTGCCATCGGCGTCCCATACCCGCACGCCTTTGCCGCGTACCAGCACTTGTGAGATATCGTACCGGCCTTGAATTCGATATTTCTTGTCCAGCTCAAGCCAGTCTGCAACCGACCTGGGCGTAGATTTAGTGGCGTGGTCCTCTGCTGCTGCAATCATGGCGCCTCGATTTCGGCCCGGATTGGTGGATATCGAGTGTCCACTACACTCTTTGATAGATTTCGTGTGCTAGCAAAGGTGACCGGCGGCACAGCGAGAAGAAAGATAAACAAGGTAATCGCGTAGGATGCCTCAAAAGCGTTCCGTGAAGTAACACTGGATATCTCTGTACGTTTTGGATCATGGAGCCGATGACACAATGGCTTTCTTTTGATTCAGAACCTGTTTCACTTTCCCGTGCAGCGGTGGCGGAAAACTATTGCGGGGACTGTGTGAGGTAAACGTCGGTTTGAATATGTGCTGTCGGGAAACTACAACCGGAACACTTCTTTCATGCTCCATCACAATATCGGAGATAGCTTTGGGGCTGGGGCAACTTCCGCACCATTATAACAAGAGAGGCAACCTCTCTACCATCGGGCATTGGCATATTTCTCCATTGGGGAGCGATTTGGAGGGCCGCGACGATGGCGCGGCAACCGAGTTGCGGTTGGGGAACTACCCAACGTCGTTGAATACGCATCAACAGGCACATGAGGGTTTCTGGCCTGCACACGCGTTGCAGCGGAGATTTAATCGAGTACGACCCACCAAAAATGTCATGAAGCACAAGCCCCGAGATTTCTCAGATACGCAGCCATGCTCGAAGCGGCCGAATGTTTTGGCAATAGCAGCGTGTGTACCTTAGCTGTGCCAAAAAGAGAAGCTCAGCGTATGAAGGCTGACACCAAGCCTCGATTCATCAACAATACATCTCCCGAAGATGTGGCTATTGCCGAGCAGTTCTACGGTGTTCGTAAAACGCTGCGGGTGGCGATGATCGGGGCTGGGGTTTCTGGCTTGAATTTCTTGAAGCTCGCCGAAGAAAAGCTGGACAATGTGAACATCATCTGTTATGAGAAGAACTCAGACATTGGTGGCGCGTGGTACGAGAACCGCTACCCAGGTTGTGCTTGCGGCATCCCAAGTGTGGTATACCAGTTTCCATGGCGACCTGCACCTTGGTCCCAATACTATTCGCACTCGCCCGAGATCTGGAAATACTTGAAAATGGTCGAACAAGAAAATAACTTTGTCGATAAATACGTCAAGCTCCGCCACAGAGTCAATGCTCTCGAATGGAGTGATGACACAGCTCAATGGTCACTACGTCTGATCGATCGCGCTTCTGGCAAGACGTTCAATGATCATGCACACGTCATCATCAATGGAAGTGGCCTAACATCCAAGGTTTACACGACTTCAATGGCAAACTACTGCACTCAGCACAGTATGATGAACGAACAGATCTAACCGGAAAACGTGTCGCTCTTCTCGGAGCTGGAAGTAGCGCGGTGCAGATCTTACCCAACATCTACGACAAGGTCGACAGGGTCTATACCTGGGTTCGAAGCCCTATTTGGATTACTGTTGGCTTTGCACAGGCCTACGCTGGCAAAGAGGGTGCAAATTTTGTCTACAACGAATAGCAACGACGCCTCTTTGACGACAGTGACGAGTATCTCGTCTACCGCGAGCTCATTGAGGCTGAACTAAGCCAGCGCTTTGGCTTCATCGTGAATGGATCTTCTCCTCAGGCAGCCGCCGACGAGTTCGCAGATCGTGAGATGAGAAACAAGCTTTCCAGCCACCCGGATTTGCTAGAGAAGATTATGCCCCGTGATGTCCACGTTGGCTGCCGCCGACCGACACCCGGCAACGGTTACCTGGAGAGGCTCAGCGGACCCAAGACAGTTGCCTACACGACGCAATTGCATCACATTACCAGGAACGGTTTTATTGATCCCGACGGGACGGAACAAGCGGTAGATGTGATAGAGTTGCGACCGCGATCACGCCTATAATTGATGGTCGGATTGAAGAACTCGTATCTGCTGCCTCCTACTATGCTTAGTTTAAGTCACTGACAAGTTTTCCCATACCAGGGACCGGGCCTTGCGCCTCGTGGTTCAAAGGCGGGAATGCTCATGGGAAACCGGCTATCTGGCCAGGCTCACGAGTCTATTTTCTTCGTTTAATTGAGCGACCACGGTTTGAAGATTATGACATTGAATATGATATGCCCGATGACATGTTCAATTTCATGGGCAATGGCTTCCACGTCTGCGAGAGCGATGGGAGCGACATTACATGGTATCTGGGCACGCCGCGACGCGAAGTCGATGTGAAGAGGGTACAGCGAGTCATGAATGGCTCCTATGGCATGGAATTGTGAATTGGCGTGCTTTCCGACAATGTAATTGTCAATCGTGTTCACAGGTCGTTCAGACCACAATAGTCTCAAAGTATGCGCATACTGCGCGTGTCTGGTGTCGGTTTGAAAAATTTGGCGGCTCAAGTTGCTTAAAGAATCACGACCAAAGAAGGACATCCGGTCTGTCGAAGGTCAACATAGGCAATGACCATCAGTCATCATCGCCATGCGGAGGTCCGCAATATCTGGTACAGGCTTTCAACACTTCTTCCTCAAGTCCAAACCTTCTTGATACACCCGAGCAACTATCATTAAACACGTTCCCACGAAAGAGGCGAACCCAGATGCGACGAGTGCAGAAACATACCCGCCCCGTCCACCTCCGTTTGTTTGTAGGAGCGCACCACCAATAGGCGGTCCGGCCAAGCCAGAGAAACTGAGTACCCAGAACGCCATTCCCAACATGATCCCGTTCTTCTTCGGGTCGCGGTTGATACATGTAAGAGTGGTTGGGAATAGGCACTGAAACGCTCCTGCTGGTAGCCCATATATGGCTACCAGGGCATAATACGAGGCTTTAGATGTGACACCAATCCAGGCGAACGTGCAGATACTGTTGAGAAGAAGGAGGGGGATCATGCCGTTCATTGGCCCAGTCAACCTGTCGACAACCCAGCCAGTGAGTAGCCGGGCGGGTAAACCGGCTGCATTGAACAGTAAGACCAGGTTTGTGGACTCAGCATAAGACATGCCTAGGATGTTTCGACCATAGGACCCAAGCTGTCCTCTGTCAGCATGTCACTTGTGGGATGGGGAGCCTGCCTACAAAATACAATGTGAAGAACACTCCACCAAACACCAGGGCCATACCGATGACCATACAAGTATATGGGATGTTCAGAAACATTCTCCATTCGATAATTGGGTCTCCCTTCCGGGGAGGTAGGCGTGGGGACAGAAACATTGCTGCAGCCGCCAGACAGGTAAGGTTAACAAAGCCGAGTACGCGTACTGTCCAGGCGAAGCCGATCTTTGGGAGTAGTGACCTGACGAGGATTGGGTAAAGTATGCCTCCTATAGAATTTCCAGTGCTGACAATAGCCACTGCAAACGCCCTGTTTCTTTCAAAATAGGTTGTGACGATGCCCATGACTGGGCAAAAAATGATGCCACATCCCAGTCCCGTGCAGAAGCCTTGAGCCAGCAACAACTGCCAGAAGTTCTTACACACACTTGTTGTGAAGACACCGAGCATCTGGAGCGCCGAACCGAGCAAGAACGTCGGAGTGAACAGTCCGGCGTCCAGTGCGCGCCCGGAAAACATGCCGACGGCAAATATCACCCAGACTTGGACAGAACCGATCCAAGAGATGGTAGATTGTGTCTCGGACATGGTGTCTGTGTAATAAGTCTGGAACACCCCAAAGCTGTTGACAAAGCCCCATGCTGTAAGACACGTAGCGAAGGCCATACCAACTTGCGTCCATGCTTTGACGCCACCATCTAAAAATGGAGGTTGTCAGTCAATTTTCATGCAACGCCGGCAGAATAACTCACCAGGAGCAGGGCCAGCGTCCACTACTTGAGATCGACTCGCTTTCAGATACACTCTGCTCCAGACCCGTCTTACGCTAGAGCCTCGTGCGAAAATGGAAGTCGTTGCAATAGACTGGGACTGGTCGCTTGAGTATTGGGGAAGGGCAGCGGTGTCCTCGTTGGCAAACCACCCTTTGCTGATAGTCGGCGCCTCCATGACTATCTGCGAGAATCTTTCGGAACAAGAGAGTAAAAACCGCAATGTATTAGTTGCTCAAAAGTTGATCAATAGCTCCCCGCTTTCAGTCGTAACTGCCTTCCAATTCCGAAGATCTCGTTAAGGGGCTTATAGAACCAAATTCGAAGGGATGAGAGTGGTATTATTGGGAGGAGCCCTAGTAAAATCTGCCCAGCTAAGTATTCACTTTCTGAATGGCTGTGTTCGGTTACTCGCGGCTGTTTGGCTTAGTCGACCGCTCGAGGCGAGCTCATTGACGGGGGTTCGATTCAGCGAGAATCTCTTCCTTGCCCCACGATTTTGGGGTAATCGCGACAGGATCATAGGGCGCTGCACCTCGTCAAGCATTACTGGGAGGCGCTGGAGGTGTGGATTTGTATCAAGTGGCCAGCATCAACGTAACCGGGCGACCAAAGCCTCCACAATGAACCGGGACAAAGTGCCACAAGTAGATAAGCAGGATCTCGATGCATGCATTACTCTGTCTTGACCGTGGGAAGACCGGCAGATGGGCAAGGAGGACCAGATATCTGGCCGACGGGAACTAAGATCTCCATTTCTACCAATGGAAAGTCCAGTTTCGCGTTGGAACCCACTATTTTGCACCAAGCAAAAGCACCGTTGTCCGCTAGCGTGCGCCTCTTTTGGAGTCGGAGCGGATTTCGGGCCTGGAGCAGGACGCCCGGCAGGTTCGAATGAGCGCTCGATTTTTCCGTCTGAGATGCCCCGGACATGAATGCTAGGCGCAGTCCAAAAGGCCGCCAAAGTAGGCTTGCTTCGTATCTTCGAACAGCCTCAGAAAAAGCAGAAGACCGCTAATTCCCCGTCTGCAAGTTTCACATACAATGCAGCGAGATTCTTTTCACAAGAACGGCGCGGAGGAGTATGTAGCAGCGACAACGGAAGCGCCGTACCGAGACGTTGACCAGCAAAAGCTCAGACGGATCGCCGACCAATGCCTAGTGGATATCGGCGCCAAGTATGAAGAGGACCTTATCGTCAAGACGAGCGGTGTTTACCTGACCAGCGCCAATGGCCACAAAGTGATGGACTGGACGTCTGGCCAGATGTCCTCCTTGATCGGCCACAACCACCCTGAGATCGCCCAGGTCATCACCAGCCATGCTCTATACCTCGACCACTTATTCTCCGGCATGCTCTCTCCGCCTGTCATCTATCTTGCCCAGCGTCTCACCTCGTTGCTCCCGCCGGGCCTTGACAAAGCATTCTTCTTATCCACGGGAGCTGAGTCAAACGAGGCGGCCATCAAGATGGCCAAACTCTTCACGGGAAAATTCGAGGTAGTGGGCCTGGGTGCCTCTTGGCACGGTATGACGAGCCAGGCGATCGGTGTGCAGTATCATTATGGACGAAAAGGTCAGGGACCCATGATGCCAGGTATGCATATGCTGCCCGCACCCAACGCATACCGTTCGGTTTTCCGCCACCCGGATGGGTCATACGACTGGGAGACAGAGCTCAATTACGGATGGGACCTGATTGATCGCGCCTCTTGTGGTTCCTTGGCTGCCTGTATTGTCGAATGTGTCCAATCGTCGGGTGGTATGCACGTGTTACCTGACGGCTACCTCAAGTCTTTGAAGAAGCATTGCGAGAAGCGTGGCATGTTGCTCATTGTGGACGAAGCTCAGACTGGTGTGGGCCGCTGTGGCAAATTTTGTGCATTTGAGTATGGGGAGATTGTTCCGGACATTCTGACCCTGAGTAAAACACTCGGCAGTGGTCTTGCATTATCTGCTGTGGTGACCAGCAACGAGATTGAGCGCAGCTGTGCCGCACGTGATTTCCTCTTCGTCACAACACATGTCAACGATCCTCTTCCCGCTGCTGTGGGCAACAAATTGCTAGAAGTCGTCGTGCGAGATCGGTTAGTGGAGAACGCTGCAGAAGTCGGAGAGCATCTGATGGGAGGCCTATGCAAACTGCAGGCGCAGTATGGATGCATTGGCGATGTCCGGGGACGAGGACTTATGTGTGGTATTGAGATCGTGACAGATCGACAGACTAAGACTTTGGACTTGCGGATGGCGAAAAAGCTGGCTCAAAAGATGTATGATTTGGGGCTTTGGGCAAACTTGGCGAGTCATGCAAGTTTCGGAGGTGTCTTCAGAATTTGTCCTCCCATCGTGTCCACCAAGGCCCAAATAGATGATGGCCTTCGGATCATGCAGCGTGCCTTTGCGGCCACTGAGGGGACGCAACCGCTGTGCGAGCCCGTATCTCAAAAAGGGCCGATATAGCTGCTAAGTACTGAAGCGCACGATGCATTGCGCAGGCCACTGATTGTCCATCTGAAACTGTTTTCAGTGTTACAGTAGTCCCATGGCACCGCGCGATCAGTAATATCCAGATCTTTGGCGAAATGGGCATGCCGTGTCTAATAATGGGCATGCCGCGGCTTCTGTACCTCCGCTGAACAACAAAATAGTTGTTGCTACTCTTGAAGTATTGATGGGTCGAATTCTGCATTGAGATCCGGGTCCCCGAGAGTAGAGTAGAGCGCAGTGTCAGCGAATTCGGCGAACAGCTCAGGAAATATCTCCGCGAGCATTGGATCGTTGAAGGCGTTAAGCGTATCGACAGGTTCGATGTACTCATTAGTGGTGGTAGACGGTGGTCGGGGCGTTCTGGCGACACTCCTACGTGCGAGAATGCCATCTACTCGGCTGAGCAGGTCCTCGTTTTGCGCAAGGATTGATTCTGCCAAATCCCAAGCGTAGCGAGTCTTATATCCTTGGAGGCAATCCACAAGCGTGCGGGCACTTGACAGGCACTCAGTAGAGATCTCTGGTGTTGTTGCCTGAACACCACAGCGCAGAAGCAACGTAGTGGCAGCAGTGAGGTGGTGAGCGTTATATGGAAGCCAGAAACCTGAAAGCTCGTGGATTTGAAGCGATTGAACGAATTCGACAATTTCACCCGCTGCTTCCTTACAGTTCAACAGCAACGATAAAGAGTTACCGGCGTCACCATCGCGAGACTGATGCCAAGTGATCTGGCATAGTAGCATGCGGACAGCGAAGTACGACAATTGTAAATTCGGGAACCCGGGAGTAGTAGGCCTCTGCAGGAGGGCGTGGAGGTTGAGCCAGTCCGGACACTCCTCAACCCATTGCTGTAGGCGAAGTTCGACCTTAGCTCGCTGCTGGACGGCAATATTGTCCGCTCTCGAACGGACGTGATAGATCAGTGGCAATAAGTCGCCCACAACCTCAGTTAAACGGCACAATGTGATATACACCTCCGCTGCTCGCGTTTGCTCTGTCGAGGGGGCCTTATTGTGCAGAAGTAGATCCATGGTTGGCACAGGGACATTGTAGTGTTCCTGAGCAACATGAGGGGGAGTGCCATGAGCAAGGTGAAACCATCGATCCTGGATGAGAACGGCCCACCATGCCTTCCATCGTATTCGTTTCCCTATTTCGCTAATGTTCCAGTGGCTGCAGTCGTGATGGAGACCGATTGCTTGAGAAAGGCCAACAATGCGGGCCACATTTGAAATGTTACCTATTAAACACTTTGATGGTCGCCCAGCAAGATTGTAGCATAGAGATAGAATCGTCCACAGGTCAGTCTTCTGGATATCTTCCGTATTCACAGAAAAAGCCGCTTGACAGGCGGCGAAATGGTCAGGCTTCGTCTCTGTCTGCAATCCCAGCAAGGTATCCCAGTAGAATGTGGAATAGGTGAGTAGCCCTACCAGAAACCCCTCCGGCAAGTAGTTTTCTCTCATTCTTGAGACGACAAATTCTTCATCTGTAATTGGATAGCAAGGGTGTAACCGGTCGTAAAAGGCAAACATCAACTTGCGAAGATAAGGTTTCGCCTGACTTAAAAGCTCCTTGGGCAAATTTCGCGGACCCTTGGCAGGTCGAGGCCGTGGTGGAGGAATTGGGACGTGGTAAATCGGCTGGGATTTGTGGTTGCCCTGCTGGCTAGGACAGCTCAAATCATCATCTGGTTGACCGTCTAGTCCGAATAGATACTGCTTCAAGCTGTGGGTGTCTCGAGCTACAACCGGCCCCAATATATGCGAAGCGCCTTCCATTGGCTGCAAGCCCAGCTGCTGTTGTATCATACGAGTCCTGCGCGTAATGTCTGACGCTTCCATTTTGCATGCTGTAGAGCATTCAACATCATTCTTCCGACATTGTCGACAAGGCTGCCCTCGCACCTCCACTGCGCATCGAACGCGACGTTGACGGCAGAATGCGCATGCCGGAATCTTATGGGACCGGTAAGGTCGTACGTTACTCATTTTTTTAGACGCTCTGGCAAGGTTGCTATGTCAGCCAGGCATGCCAGGGTGGCAAGCGTTATTGTAGTGTTGTCAATGCGGGGTTTCCCGTTGCCAAGCTCTACCACGTGACTTTTCCGTACCCGGCGAGCCCGGTTTGGATAGTCGTTATAATTTGCCTCTTTGATCGAATTCATAAAGGAACCTAGCACTATGGCTGGACAGAGGCTGCTGCTGAGGTCCACCCAATACGGTCAGGATGTTTCACAGTGATCACTGTTCAAATAAGCTTCATCAGTCGGTACCATCTTTGCGCAACCACATCTACTCTCCACGACTTCGGGCCGTGATTGATATAGATTTGTCCCACCGGGCCTCGCCTCGATGCGGCAGCTTTGTCAGGCACCACAGATCTTCTGTTACTTCGGCGGATGCGTAGACCAAGGCTTTTTTTGAGCTGCCGGGTACAGATGGAGTGGAGTAATGACTTGCACGTGGCGCGTAAATCTCGCTCAAGTAGAACAGTATTCGTCCCTCCAACCAATCGTTATCTCTTACCCGCATCAAGCTTCTGGTGTCGTTGTAAATTTAGTTGGATGCCAGAACCATTGCTGGAATTGCGCGCGATAATCGTAGTTATGGGGAAGCCTATTCCCAACTACCTAATTTTAAGAAGTTGCCTATTCAAGTCTAATAATTAGACCGCTATGCTCAACAGATCTGTCTCGTTTACGTCTCTTCCCTCTCCTCCCTTCTGTCTCAGTTCCTGGATCACCCCCTTTTTCCCTGATCGTCCCTTACCCTTCTTCTTTCCGGGTTGGCATCTGCCCTGGAGTCGAAGGCGAAGCGTAATTTTAGGCTGGCCGACTCGTAGATGGATGTAGGTCCGATTCGCCCAGTGGTAAGGGTCGTCTCGACCTCGAGCTATTGTTAGGACTCGCACCTAACCTAGGTAGATAGGCTAGGTAGACTAAGTAAATAGGCTAAACGTAGGCTAAGCGCCTACGCCTCGGATAAGTAGCGGTTAGTAGGCCGCTCCTTTACTTAAAGCCCTTAAGGCTTTAAGTCTCTATATATAGGGTCTATAGCTATCTATTCTAGGTATTATCTCTTCTATCTAATCCCCCTTACTAGAGGGTCTTATAATTCTTAAAGCCTTTAAGGATTAGGATCTAACGGAAGCGATAATAGTATCCTCGACCTAGAGCTAGTAGTCTAGATAGGTAGAGAATAGTAAAAGCGTACTCGTAGCGGCGACGCCTAGCGAAGATAGATAACTTTTAGCTACTAAACCTACCCTAAAGAGCGAGAAGTTATTTAAAGAGCGTTACGTACGCGTTCGAGCTCTAGTAGTAGCGAAGCGATAACGAGAGAATCGCGAACGCGAGCTCGAAGCTATAGAGCTCGAGCTTATAAGCGAACTCCCTAGAAATCTAATCCTTATCGAGGGTATAGCGTACCCGTCTTATAAGCGAAATATATTATAATGGGGTGATCTACAGGCTAGTACGTAATTAGTGGAATTTACCTGTATAATGTACAGGGAGACATTCCTACCTCCTAATTAGCTAGGTCTCGGATACTAGGTCCGAGAGTCCTTTTCTTAGAGATCCTCTTAGAGGATTAGTTCTTAATAAGTTCTTAAGTAATAGAATCTATCTAATTAGGATCTTTAATGCTGTTTTATTATTACTATACGATAGTCGTTACCCCTAATACTATGCTCACCGCCGTACGAGTTAATACCTCTAGCTAAGAGCCTCGCCCCAGTTTAATAGGATAGAGAAAGAAGAGACGACGGAGAAGAGTGTCCATATGCTAATATTTATAGGTAATATTATAGCTCCTCCATTACGGTTTGAAATCCTAGTAACGCTTATTTAATCCTATAGAGGGATACCTCTAGTGTTGCGAGCCGCTTTACACGTAAGGTGTTAGTAGTAAACCCGGGTAGTTTACTTAGTAATATAGTAGTAGAACGAAGAAGCTAAGACGAAACTAAGAGTATAGTATACGGAACTATACGTAAAGCGAATAATCAAGAGGAACTCGATTATTTATGAACGAAGTTAACTACGAGGAGAAGCTATAGAAAGTATAATAGCTATATAGTTAAGGGAATTTATAGTACTCTCCCTAGCTCTACTTAGCCTTAAGAGTATAATAGAGTAGGTTATATAGTACCTACGTAACCTCGGCCTATATCGTTACTTCTCTTAGTATACTTCCCCCCTCTCGTCTAGAGTAGTCTCCTCTCTAGCCTATTTATAATACTTCCCCCTCTCTACATTCGTAGTCGTCCTCGACCTACTTAAAGGTAAGATTTCCTGCTTTTACTGTTCCCTTCTTTTTCTTCCTATAGCTAACTATACCTCTATAGTCTAACCGTATTTCTAAACCCGTTCCCCAAGTCTCCTTTACTTAGCGCCGCCGAGTAGCTATCGAGCGTATAAAACTATTAGGTCGCGAATTCTTTAAAATAGGTCATTATTCTAACTATATCGCCTCTAATTCTCCTTATTAGATGAACTACATGTAGGCTTGTATATCAATAAATGTTCGCCCGTGTCTACGTAATGTATATATCAGTAAACCTCGAATGTGCGCATACATTTTTGAAATCAACAATTCCGTCTTGCAACTATTCACTTGCATGGGCTGTGGTCCTTAATCCAGGCCGGAATTGACCGTGAATCCCCTGTTCAAGTGCCGGGTAAAGGTAAACGTAATTAGCGGTCAGATCTTTGCCATGCCATATGCAACGCAACAGCAGTGGAGGGGCTTGTTACTTACCCGTCGCAAACCAGATTGTGGCCATTAACGAGGCTCATTCGAGGAGTACTCAATAGCACCACGGCGTCACCAATCTCGCTGAAGCGGGCTGGTCGACCTTGTCGGGCCTCAGACGCCTGGAACTTTTCAGCGCTCTTTTCGCCCCCTTCCTTGATAATACCAGCGACTAGTTGGGTGCGCAGAAATCCTGGCGAAACGCAGTTGACCCGGATTCCATGGCGTCGTGCATCCAAGGCAGCCTGTCCCGTGGAGATTGTGGAGATTAGCAAAATCATAGCCGTCTGGTGAACGGGCTCTACCCTTTGGATGTTGTATAAAACGGGAAAGGCACTGGGGAAAGAACCCCTACCGCTTTGGTCACCCCAAGGACCGCATGCTTCGAAGCTGCATAACCTCCTGTCCCTGCCGAAGCCTGAATGGAAGTGATCGAGGCACAGTTCACCACCGATCCTTTCTGTGGAGGGCGATCTGACTCGCTGTGCCAATAAGCCCCATTAGTCTTCCTGGTCGCAGTATTGACAGAAGAGTGGACGAGGACCCATTCATCATACACTTCAAGAGACTCTTGTTCCATCATTTGTTTTAATTCATGTTTCATACTGAGGAAAACCCCTGTTGAATTTACGGCAATGACCTTCTCCCATCCTTCGAGGGAGAGGTCGTACATCGCGCCCGACACGACGATTCCAGCAAAATTTCTAGACAGAGAGAAACTGCGTCAGCCCTCTTCGCCTTCACCTAACGCAGGGCGGCGTATCTGTCGTCACTTACGCTGCATAGTCAATACGTCCGAATTTGGAGACCGCCTCAGCGACCGCTTTCACCACTGCTTGCTCCTGGGTAACATCTGCTCTTATAGCTAGGCACTGTGTGTGTGCGCGTGTGTTCGCTTAATCCGCTGAAATTCGTGTGCAAAGAGGGAAAACGCGGAAGCCTTACTTCGGTACCATATGCCTCCACTGCCTTCTTCCCTTCATCCATGGTGGCATCATCTTGAATATCGACAATGACTACTCCTCTTGCTCCTTCTCTCGCGAATGCAACAGCAACGGCGTTCCCCAAGCCTCGTGCTCCACCAGTAACGAAAGCAACTCCTGGAGCCACAGCACCTTCTCGTTTTTGAGCGGGCTAGAAAGTATGTGGTGAGCAGAGATGTGGCGTACTGACTGACTGTGTCAAGTACGCACCATGGTTGCTACAGCCAAGAAGACTTCGTGGTTAGTTCTGATTGGCCAATTTATACCGGGAATACGAACAGCAGAAAATAACGTTTTGAAAAGGGTCGGCTTATATAGAATGCTTGCGATGATATGCGCGATATTACCGCACTGCCTTATTATTCTCCAACCCTATTTCGTTTGCTATTTCATATCCTTGAAACGACTAGAGGGAAAGACTACAAGTGGCAAGTTGTGGCCCTTGACTGTCGGGGCTTTTCAATCCAGTGCATTGTCACTTCTGGATGACACACGCTTGAAGCGATCTGGGGAAAGCCGTGGGTCGGGTTGAGAGTCGGAAACTCTCCCCGGAAAAAGGTCTGCCAAAGCCTTGTACTGTAGATATTGTCTCTGTTGTAAAAATGAAAAGAATCAGCATTTGATGCGTCAGCATGTCAACGGTCTTATAGTATCTCTACTGAACGAGCTTATGAGCTGACAAGCACTTCTCCAAATCCAATCCCAATGTCTCGGATGCTCGTAAAGTATCCCTCCACACTTCCTTTCCCCGGACTATTGCTCCCTCTGGTAACTTTGCTTAAATAGGAGATTCGAGGCCTCAACAGCCCCAGACTTTTCCGCTGGACTGATGTCAACTACACTGGAATTCTCTGCACCAATCCATGATGAACAAATATCAGATCCTTTGTATTGGGTACGTGACCTTTGGGTCCATATTCTACGGCTATGACTCCGGTGAGTGGCCATATTGCTGTTGTGGACCTTTGTGGCTATGCTTGCCTCGAAGTCTTCTTCATGTCTAAAATCAAAAGTCCCATATTAATGCAAGAGAAGGTGTTACCACGTCCATCCTTGGCTATCCGCACTTCCTGGAATACTTTCATCTGAATGCCACAACAATCGGGGCTTTCAACTCTGCTTATTTCGCCGGAGCTTTTGTCGGATGTATGATCAACTGGTACCTACCAAACAAGATCGGACGACTGCGAACCATTCAGGGCGCATGCACCGTTTCTCTCCTTGGTATCGCTCTGCAGACGGGTGCCACAACCTTCCCCATCTTTTGCGGTGGTCGGGTCGTCGGCGGTATCGCATCGGGAATCATGTTCAGTCTCTGTCCGACCTATGCAAGTGAAATCAGTCCTCCCGAGATCAGGGGCTTTGTGGGTGGGATATACGCGTAAGAAAGATATCTCACAAGTGAATTACTCCCTGCGGCCGGCAAGAGCTAACAAACAAACCACGACAGAGTCAATGTGAATGCCTCATACATGTTTACAGAATGGATGTAAGGAGCATCCGCGCTGCCTCTGGATTATCCGCCCATCAAGAAATCCCCGCCCCATTGACGACATATGCTAATCTTTCTACTCGCGCTCAGTGGTCTTGCATTCTCTTTTATTGATTCCGACGTCTCCTGGAGGCTCTTACTGGGCCTTCAGCTGGTCCCAGCTGTAGCCATGATTATCGGATCTTTCTGGATGCCCTTCTCGCCACGATGGCTTATCCTCAAAGGACGCTACGACGAAGCCTTAGTTGTCTTGAAAAGAATGCACGGTGATATGCGCGACGAGCACTTCTATCTCCGCGAATTTCACCAAATCAAGTCGCAGATCGAACTTGACAAGGCAGAGCGCTTGGGAGTGCGGTCAATCCTTTCGAGGAAGTCCTATCTCAGGCGAATCGGTCTCATTGTGGGACTGACTGTGTTCCAACAGTACGTGTACCTTTTTACATCCTTCTCTTATTCTTATCAGCCATACCCAAATTGTCTGGAATACTTGGTCTTCCGTTACTGACTGAGCGGCACACTTCAAAGGTTGACCGGCGTGAACGCGATTCAAAGCTACCAAGTGCAGGTCTACCATTCCTTGGGCTTCTCCAATGTATTGTCGTTGGTGTTGACTGGCGTCTATGGCACTGTGGCCACATTCTCGGCGGTCATGGCCATGTGCTTCTGTGATAGAATTGGACGGCGTGGCCTATTGGTACGGGTTACACTTCTCGACAGAGTTCCTCCGGAGGAGGCGTTCGCTGACGGGGAGTTACAGTTCGTTGCATATGGGCTCATTTGCCCGTCCTCGCTTGTGCTCGTGATTCTTTGGTCGCAGTTTGAAGCCTCTGGTAACACTCAGACCGGTTTTGGTATTGGCGTCGTCATCTGCGTCTATATCTTCTCTTTGGGGTTGTCAGGGCCCTTGAACACTTTCTGGCCAACGGTATGTTTTCAAAAAGTCCTCCCCTTCGATAGTATTCGTCCCATTCACTCATCCTGCATCGGCCTTTCCTTTCTTCCAATCCCAATTATCCCTTCCACGTCGCCCATACCTTCCTGGAATGCTAACCTCTCGTTTTGCCTATGTGATAGTACACCGCCGAAATTCTGCCAACCAGCATCCGCTCCTTCGGCGTCGCCACCAGCTACCTGATCTTCAATGGATTCACCATCGTTCTGGTGCAGTGCACTCCCTTGGCCCTGGCAGCGATATCCTGGAGATTCTTCCTCATCTTCCTGATTTGTAATTTCATCGCCGTGGTGTTCTTCTATTTCGCTTGCCCAGAGACGGCAAAGAAGACGCTCGAAGAGATAGAGGCGCTCTTTGGCGACGAGGTGGCCGAGACCCTCGAAGACGCCGAAAAACACGTCGGTGAGATTCAAGCTCCAACCGTCACATGGGTCGAGACGAAAGGTGAAGGCCAGGAGAGTATCAGACCGGCTTAAGGGCGTTGCGTCGCCTGTCAAACAACCTACGGAGGCGAGCCTGGACCCCATGGTAGTTGGATGGTTGGGAAGTGGGGTTTCTTAGCATGCAGCAAAATTTGTAAAGGTTCAAGACTTGATGGGGACAATTGGCGAGGTGGGCTTGTGTCGGCATAATGAAGGTCCTGGACCAAAAGGTCCAGATCTGACATGATATGTAGCTCAACCCAAGCCAACACTATTGCCAACTATCTATAGGTGCTTTCCTTTTCGCAGCTGAAAAGACGCCAGCGGACCATGTTTCTTGACATCTAGGATTTGGTCAGCATCGACTTCGAAAGGGCAAGTCTTGCCCAAGACTTACTAAAATGGTCCAAGAGCTCAAAGTTGTGTTCCAACTCAGCAGGGTTTTCGGGAGTAATGTCGAAAAGGTACACAAGTCTTGCTATTGTGATATATAGTTCCTGGTACGCCATTTTAATCCCAGGACATTTTCGCGGTCCCATTGAAAAAGGCCAATAGCTCTCCTTCGCAAGCTCTACCTCGGTTTCAGTAGTGCTTTCACCGACCAAATATCGTTCTGGTCGATACTCTTCTGGGTTTGGGAAGTAATTGGCGTTGTAGCCCAGCGCCCACCATGCGACGCCAACTGTGGTCTAAAAGATCTTGTTAGCAGGCCCACCGAGAATATTTAATAAGACTCACCCCTTCTGGAAGATACTCGCCATCGATAGTTTCTCCACCCTATCGTGTCCAGTTAGCTTGACCCAGAAAGGACAAAGTACCAGGAAATAAACAGGACATGGAAAACAACTTTCTCGGTGGCAGAGGCATATTACCTTCAAGATAGTCCTAGGAAGAACACCAGGGCCTGGAGGAGCCATGCGCAATGCCTCTTCAATACACGCTTTTAGGTAGACACAGCTTGTCAGATCCTGCCCGGTTTTAATAGCCTCCACGTCAGTAAAAGTGTTGTCAAGCTCTTCATATAGTTTATCCATGCAGCGTTTGTGTTTCAACAGATAGAAGATGGTTGCCGCAAGACCTGTGCTAAAGTTAGCATGTACTCTACTGTTTAGCATGTCATGTTACCCGTCGAGGATGTGTCACTGCCTCCTACGATAAGGAGGAGACCTTCAACGAAGAGAGTACTCGGAGCAAGAGGCTTGCCAGTCGACGGATCCCGAGCCCGGAGCAGCTGGGTTCTCTGTGAGCTGACCGTGTTTGGTCTTCTTCGGTGATGCTTACATGGTGAAAGAAATCCTTGCGTCCTTCAGACGTACTTTCGCCTTCCTTGGCGACTCTTTCTTGTACAACACCACCCACATATGACATGAACCGTCGTCTCATCTGGAAAAGACCCGGAAAGATAAGACCGATTAGTCCTGTGCGATAAAACCATGGCATGATTCCCCCCTGGCGCCTGTCAGCACATCGTCACGTAAAGGGCCCGAAAGCGGAAAATCACCAAAAGCGTGCTAAAGACCATCGAGTCAATGAGGTCAAGGACATAACGTAGAGAGGGATCTGTCATCATATTGAAACTCTTGCCGAACACAACCTCCCCCATGATGTCGTAAGCCAGATAGTTCAACCACAATGAAAGATCTTTAACCTTTTCGGTCGAGGGATTCACAAGTTGTTTACACAGTACTTTTATCTGGTCGATCATATACTCTTCTTGAGTGAGCTCTCAAAAATGCGAAAAGGGACGAGGATGACCTACCTTCAGCTGCCTTCAAAGCCGATTCAGAGAAGCCTTGCGAGAGGATCTTGCGCTTCCTCATAGCCCTTTCCGTATAAGGTTCACTGAAAGTGCTCTGTTCATCGGGATTGGTCGAGGCTCCGACCGTTACAGCATCGGCTTTTCGAACATTGCGTTTGAAGCCATACATATCTAGTATGTTGGTCAGCTGCCCAAAGATAAACCGTGCGGAATTCCCACCTCGAAAGGCCTGTGGTGTGTTGAATGCAAGTTCGTTCGGCCCATAACGTACAACACGTCCTGTTTCCCCCAATAAATCAGTTTCAGTTCGAAATCACGGGTATGGGAGGAGAGTGGTACCATATTTTTGATGTAGATGCTGGAAGTGCAAGTGTCTGCGGCCCGTACAGCCAATGTAGAAGTCATATATTGGGCTCATTTTCATATACCATGGCCCGGGATATTTTGCTAGCGGATGGAAGCAGAGACGGTAGACTATAACCCCTAAAATCCAAACCAATAATAGTAACGCTCCGACCTGGCCGTATAGGTTCAGATCTCTTGAGTCCGGGAGCATTAAGCTCAAGCTTGGAATGCCCTCGTATTGTGGAAATCGCATAGCTCGGGTCTTGAGATTTCAAGCAGTAGCCCTGCACCGATGCCTACTCTTGAAGAACTGGTTTGATCAATCTTATTGTCTGCGCTCGAATTCTCATCAAATATTGGCTTGTCCCGATCACTCGCTTCAATCGACTTACTAAAACAAGTTGACTAATGAAGCAAGGTCCCCCTTGTGACTTGACCCACATATCCCGAGTCACGACCAAACTCGGTATCATTTGACTAATATTATCTTAGTCACTGAAATTCGTGCGCAGACTAGTCCCCAAGCCGTGTCGCCCGCCGCTGGGAGTTACCCAATGGCGGGCACGATATTAGAGCACCATATCAACCACCCGTTGTCGACCGAAATCCCTAACGCATCTGGGCTCTAGGACGTGCTTTCAAAAGGATTGAAATTCCTCGAATGGGGAGCTAACCTCTATTTGGGGTACGCCCCAGAGTTGGCGGTGTGCCTTTCCGATGCCCCAAAAGTGCCCGAGGTTACGCGGAACAATAATGAGGGGCTGTTGGCGTCCCCGGCCTCTACCCCGTACTATAGAAAATCTGTTCCCCAGGCTAAGTTAGGAGTCTAAAAGTGCACCCAAGCCCCGCAATCTTGGCCTAGGCCTAGAAGTGCCTTTGATTTCAGTGATTATTCGATGGCGATATAAAAGTTGTTTCGTACCTCAGCAGCCTTGGCAGGAATCTTCTCCTGCACACCATTGACCGTTTAATCCAGTGCAAAGACGGGGAAACCGCTGGGAAGTCAACTGGTAACGATGGGAGACTCTGAAAATTATGTGAAGAAGAGAAGAGCAAAGGTCCAGCAGAATGGCGGTGGACAAGACTCCAAGTTGGTTTACTCCTTGTCCTTGACCCAGAACTGGTGCATTGTCAGGACGAACATTTTATTATGCTATCTGCAGAGTTACCACCAAACGCAACTCTCGGGCACACGAGATCTTGTCGTGTACGTACTAATCGATCCTGGGCAGGAAACTCCGGAATCGATTGTCCCAACAAGCCTTTCGGGAAAGGCAAGCAATATATGTGAAGGAACTCGAAAAACGTCTCCAAGAGTCCCAGAAACCAGAAACATGCCGAATGGCGACGTTGGAGGAAGAGAACCGTGCTTTACGCGATCAGCTACTGGTGTGCCGCAAGAAGCTCAGAAACATCCAGGCATCTTTGGAAAGTGTATCTGTTGGCATCACAGGTGCCCTTTATGATAAAGTATACTTTTCTATCCCCGAAACAGATTCATTCCCCTTTCATTCTCCTGGTATTGCCGCTAACGAGTCTGATGGATCAGGATCCCTTTACAACACACTGCTCACTATCAGGCTCAGAAGGTGAGCAACCAGAACCGGATGCGGGGATGGAAGGGGAAATGGATCGAAGCGCAGAGGATCTCTCCGATCCCAGGGAACTTAGCATCAGCTGCGATACCCGGGAATACGATGGTGCTTTCAAGGGGCCTTCAGAAGACACGATGTTGCCACAAAGTGACACGCTCATAGCGGACATCGGATTGCCCAACATACCCGCTCGCGGTGAAGGTTCCGTTGGTCAGCTAGAGGCTGCCCCCATTCTCTGCTCGGAATTGCTTGCCGAACTCAATTCTTTGGAAGTCCTAGAGAGCAGCTTTCAGCGTACTAATATGGCAAATCAACTCTGCGCACCAACCGACTTTCCCTTCAACTCGGCCGGAATACTCTTCGGAACCGACTCACTTTTCTCCGCTCACATCATGGCATTCGAATCTTGTATCACGCGAAGATGGGACGAAATGAAACACGAGCTGCACAATAACCTGGACAGGTGAGTTGCAATCAAATCGCAGCTGCAATTTGAAAGTCTCGTTGATTTGAGCTTACTGGTCAACAGCCTCCGTTCGGTTGTGGATCTTATGTTATCAACATTCGTTGGTGCAGTATGGCCATCGATGACAAGCTTCTATGCCTATACAGGTGGTCATATTCAATTAGGAAGATTGATTATGTGGCGAGTCGACTCAAACCCGGAGACCTATGCAAATCTCCACCAGGCTTATAGGCCCACTCTCCTACAGCTATCGAGCTTGCATGCGGCAATCATTGACTGGATACCATTTCCATCACTAAGGGACCGAATCATCCAGGCATACAATAACGAACATCTGGATCGCCTAATTGGCGACATCGGCGACTCATACGTGCTACAAGTCGACTTATCGAAACTAGTGCAAGGCTTCAGTACAAAACTTGGGTTCGTGGGACTGTGGGACCTTGTGACAGTCGCAACGTCAGAACACGCCTCGAGAGATGCTCTTCCGTTCCCACCATCTCTGTCCGCCATTAACACAAGAGCGTGTCCTGAAATCGATCGAGCTTGGCAATCAATTAACAACAATACCAAGGATTACCGTCTACCGGCACCGAGCTTGGAAGCTCTCTTTACATCTCCCGAGTATGCCCTAGCGGCTATTCGTTCCTTCAACTTGAAAAGCGATCCGTCTTCGGTTCGCATAGATCCTACTTTCTTCCAAAAATACCCGGAGCTACAGGAATCACAATCAGCACTTATCGCAAGAGGCACTCCTCTACGGCGCCCAGATAGACCATGTTTTCCTCTTCCCACAACTATGACGACAATGATGATGCAGAAATATCACAATGTCGCAACCTGGGCATTCGAGAGCGCGCTGGAAAAGCTGCGAAACTAGAGTTGTCATACGGAGATGAACGAAGCACTGGAGCTAGAAGCACGCACGGCTGAGTAACTATTCATCTACACTCTGTTATCTAGACTCTGGTCAATTTGGTTCGGACCCCCTGTAATAGTGTCAAACAGTCATGATTTGTGCATGCAATGCAACTTTCTCCGTCCCTTCATCTAGCACACGTACACATTAGGTGTTTCTATATAGATAGGTGCAGGCGCGATCGCCCTCACCGTTGCTGTCGTTGGGCTCAATGGTTTCAGGTCTTGTCGGCGTAGATCAACGGCGTCTACGTATCAGGATATCCACCGCTACTGCTCGACACATAGCCTCGTGATAGGGCGTCAGAATTTGCCTCGTTATCAAAGATGCCAAACATTTAGACCTTCTGAAAGCACTCCCGATCAGAGCTAGACTTCGTTTCATAACTCTAATGTTGTGCGGTGACCCTCACAGTGACCGAGGTTTCTAATCAAGCAGCTGATTTTGTGCAACGCCTTCGCCAGCACATAGAGCGACATTTCACTACTGCCACACTTGCTTGAGTACTGACAAGTAGTGAATCCCTTTTCAGACAGTCGGATTCCTCGCATCCTTTCCTGCTAATCCTCCTTCTCTCCTGGGTTAAAGTGGCCCTTTGAACCATCTCTATACCAGGCAAGATGCCAGTATAATTTGATGTTGGCGGGGTCCATCTCCATCTTGATCCAGGGCTCGTTGCATGAAGAAAGAACTTCAAAAGTACTTCGCAAAGTTAGGTGCGCCGGAGTGCGCTGTCCACGCACCATCGACAACGACACCTAAATGCCATACATTTGTTAGTGGTGGCAACTCGTGGTAAGTGGTTTGGCAACGCCGACTCACATGCGCCATTTACGTATGAAGCATCATCCGAGGCCAGGAATGCTACAACCTTTGCAACCTCGATAGGCTCTGCACCACGACCTTGAGGGATTGTGGTCTGAAGCTCTTTCAGCAAGTCGGGATGGTCGGTGAACTTGCTTGTCATTGCCGTCACCATGTAGCCCGGGCATACTGCGTTGATTCTTATACCCTCCCTCGCATGGTCCAGGGCCATCGATCGAGTAAGGTTGATTATTCCCGCCTTTGCCGCATTATATGAGCACAAGCCGTAATCTGCGAACAAGCCCGATGTGCTACCGACATTGATAATCGCGCCCTTTCCTTGCTTTTGCATCTGGGGAATGGCAACACGCGCCAGGTAGAAAGCGGAGCATAAGTTCGTCTCGATCACCTTTCGGAACATTCCCACGTCATGTCTCGTCACTGGTGCTATTTGCCCTCCATGACCAGCGTTGTGAAACAAAACATCTAATTTGCCGTATTTTTCGATACATGCCTGAATCGAAGCTGAACATTCATCTGGATCGCTGACATCGCATCTACGATATGAAGCCGCTGGGCCCAGTCTCTTGAGTACATCTCGTTCTTCAATATCAGTAACGAACACTTTAGCACCTTCCTGAACGAAAAGTGCACAAGACTCCAAGCCTAAGCCAGAGGTGCCTCCCGTTACAAACACCACTTGGTCTGCGAATCGGGTAGATGACATCGCAAGAGCCGTATTGTATCGCAGGTTGGCTATTTCAAGAGAGGAGAATGCTGAACTCGCACACAGATTGCTAAGGTGGGATGCGTATGCTTCGGAAATCAGGAGCCGAAAGAGACACAAATTCACTGTGTAACATGTCCCATTGGAAATTTATTATATCGCGTCGTCAACTTTGGGTGGGTGGAAGAGTGGGCGAATTAGACCAGCTGCAGCATCCACGGAGCTCGTCTTTATAATTTTGCATTTGTCACACTACAGCCTGATACTTGATCGCATAAAAAAATATGTGTAAGTTCAAACCTACAATATTCTGAGGCACGGCTAAGCAATATGTTGATCTCCTTGCTAAAATGGTCTGTTGTCAGCTGTTTTCACGTCTCTTCGTGAACAATAGTCCCTACAGATTCTAAGCCTTAGGGGATTTCGACTAGGTATCGTGCTGGCTGAGCAACAGCTTATTTGTAAATCTGACTATTCAACTTGAGCCTTCATACGTTGATTCAATTCCATATTCAATTCCAGTCAATAACAAGCACTATGAATGGTAGCCCTACCAATCTGTTTGATCTCCCAATTGATGCGGGACGTCCCCTGAAAGTGGTATGTATCGGGGCGGGATATTCGGGTATTCTGACAGCAATTCGCTTTCCGCAACGAGTTCCTGATCTGGAACTTGTTATCTACGAGAAGAATGCGGATATCGGAGGCACTTGGTACGAGAATCGGTGAGTCAATATGCAGCTGCCTTACGCAGCACCCACTAATTGGATCTATTGCGTAGGTACCCTGGAATAGCTTGTGGTGAGTTTTACGATGCTTGCATTGTCAGGACTGCTCCAGATTAAGTAAAGGCTAGACGTTCCATCCCATGTGTATCAGTTGTCCTTCGCAAGCAATCCTCGGTGGTCCCGTTTCTACGCCGGAGGCCAGGAGATTCAAGAGTACCTGAAGGACGTTGCGTGGAAGTATGACGTGGAAAAATACGTTCGCTTCAAACATCTCTTTCAAGGTGCCAAATGGAACGAAGGGGAACAAAAGTGGTTCATACAAGTGAAGGACCTTCGGACGGACGAGGTGAGGTGAAGATGAATCTTTTGGCACGCGCTAGAGGTCAACTAACGTTCGACAAAGATCAAAACTGATGTGGCAGACATTCTATTGAAAGGTACCGGTCTTCTGAATAAATGGGACTGGCCCAAAATCCCGGGACTGCATGAATTCAAAGGCCCGTACATGCATACAGCTGATTGGGATGACTCATTCGACTGGTCTGGAAAAACAGTGGCACTTATAGGTGCTGGGTCCAGTGGTATTCAGATTCTGCCACAAATACAGCCTAAATCAAAGCGCGTTCTTCATTTTGTGAGAGGAAAAACCTGGATCTCTCCTGTTGGCTTTTCAGCCGACGAGCCAGATGAGAGTGAGTTAGGGCAAACGCTGCTGTCGTCTAAGAAGATATTATGGAACGCTAACATGAGACAGTTGTACACACAGAGGAAGAAAGGGCCATGTTTGCAGAGAACCCTTCGATCTACCACGAGTACCGTCGGAAGATTGAGGCCGGCCTTAACCATAGCCAACTGGTTACGTTCCTTGGTACGGACGTGCAAAAGCAATTCTGGAAGCTGGCGCATGACAAAATGAAAGAGAAACTGAGGAAGAGACCCTGGATCTTTGACTCGATGTGCCCCGACTATCCACCAGGATGCCGACGACTAACACCAGGTCCTGGGTATCTAGAAGCCCTGCTCGAGGATAATGTCGATTTTCTAGCGAGTGGCATTGAGCGAGTTACAGAGACTGGACTCTACGATGACAACGGCCACTTCCACCAGGTCGATGCAATCATATATGCCACTGGCTTCGACTAGTACGTGGCATCCTCATTGGCTGGTTCAAATGAGCTAACAATCACACCTTTAGCTCATGGAATGTCGATTCGACGCCTATCATCGGACGAAATGGTGTGAGCGTGCAAGAGATGTGGACTCCCAGGCCTGAAGCATATCTTTCGCTTTGCGTGCCAAATTTTCCCAACCTCTTTCTCTACCTTGGGCCTAATGGTGGACCTGGTGGCGGTTCCTTCATCGCGATGCTTGAGGTTGTGGTAGAATACATCATTCAGTGTGCTCGAAAGTTGCAGCGAGAGCATATAGCGTCTATGGAAGTGAAGTATTTGGCCAATTCCCCAGTATACTTGGTGCAAATACTAAACTCTGAGTCAGAGAGCAAGCATGCCGAGCATTTTATGATCACGTCGACAAATATTTTGAAAAAACGATTTACACGTATAAGGTATGCATTGGCCTCATACCTTTTCAAGTTTCCAACAGAAAATGGCAAAACAAGCACAGGGAATGATCGTGGATTTCTCTAATCTAGCAATAGTGTCGATCATGGTTCAAACGAAACGAAGACGACGGTCGTATTATCGGTCTTTGGCCAGGGTCGGCCCTCCACGCCTCGGAAGCCCTTCGCCATCCGAGGTTTGAAGACTTTCACTATGTTCCCATGCCCGACACGCGCGAAAATTTCCTTTCCTGGTTGGGTAATGGTCTTACTGTTGCCCAGGAAAGGAATGAAAACACCACTACATACCTTGATGACGTTGACGTTCCCCCCTTGATTAATCGTGGACCACGACCGATAACAGCCACAAAGGAGAAAGCGGCCCTCACTGATATTTCCGCGTCTGCTGCAAATGGCTTGAAACGTGAGGAAAGAGTGGACGATCTATCAAAGAATGTTGGGGAAATGGTTTTGGAAGTTTCAGCCATGCCGTCTTAGCATTAAAAGAGAATGACTCACTAGACTTTTCGTGTCTTTGTCTCCCTGGTATCAAGAGTCAAGCAATCGCGTTGAGGAAACCGCCTTCTTTTACATCTTTGTCTTGCATCGAGTTTTGTCAATCCATCCTGCTACTGAACTGGGGCTAGGCTCTAAGCCTGCAGGCCGGATGAAGCAGAGGTAGTGGAAGACAGACTTGCCCTTTTTGTTTTCTGTGTAGATGGCTTGCTTATGTTGTTCTGCTCTATCTACAGAGGAAAGATCTATATACTCTTGGCTCGTTCAACCACGTGACCACACTAGTGACCGACCAATCACAGTTCGAGAATTTGCCTGTACATTGTACAGGCAAATTCTAGCCAACCAGCGCGCACCATGTTCACAGCCTCCTAGCCCAGTACTCAGGCTCTCCCACTACTACACCGAGGCCAACTCCAGTACACTACCACTAGCTGCAAAGCAGAAAGTCAATCCGCAATCCATTGGCTTCCAGCTGACTATTAAGCCCTTCTGATTATCGTGCTTCTTCCTCTCACTTGTGGATGACAGCTTGGTCTTTAACTCTTGATTGTTTGGCAAGTGTTGAAGTACATCTACTTTGTCCGTTCCTTTACTAATAATGAGCGAGGGGATTTCCACATCTCGAATTTCACACATTCGAATTGCCTATTAGTCCAGTCTTTCCAGCATAGGTACGTTTGTATATTCACGCAAATCAGCTGAGTTATCCTTAGCAGTTGTTCTTGGGCAACAAATAGGTACGAGAGATAATGAACTGATTAATGTTAGAATCACGGACACTGAGCCGGGAAGCGAGGACTATTGTGGAGATTAACCTGGGGGACAGCTCCTATACTCACCGCAGCAGTCGTGCACACAGATAATGGTAACCTCGCATGTTCCGTTTTGGAGGTCTCTTCATGGCTCTGACTCTGCAAAAGCTGACATTACGCAGCGACTAGTCGACTCATTCACCTGCAGAATGCCTTAGTTCGCGACTGAGCGACGGTAGTCTCCACACAGAAGTCAAGCACATACCATCTTCCCCACAGATTAACCCCGTGTCGAATAAGTGATCAGCCATCACCACTTATGCCGTAATAATTTTTGACTAATAGCTAGGAGGGGTCCGTAGTTCGCTGAAGAATGTTTTATCCTTATATAGAGAGCAGTGTCGCGCATTGGGCCGCAACACGCTGAAGACACTACCTTCAGGATGGCCTTTGATCTTCCGAAAATTGCCAGGTCGAGCTTCGGCGACCTTTTTCGGACTGCCCATGTCTGGGCCGATGATCAATTTGCTTACATCTACTTGGGTGTAATCATAGGTTTGGCCTCGTATCTCCGATGTCACTATCGTGAGCCATCTCTGCGGTAGGGGGTTTGTGTATTTGAGAATGTTTCTGTATTGACTGTAATACAGAGGTTTTCTTATGCTTCTAGCCTTGTGCCAGGTTTTACAAGCAGGCATTTTCATAGGTTTGGGGAGACACAGGACTCCTTACGGTGCTTTTCAGGCGATCATCGTTTACAACATTGTCCTCTCGATAACCTTTGGGTGAGTCCAACTTATCAACTCGGCAATCCAAATCCCGTTTTCTAATGCTTCCCAGAACTTCATTGGTCGTTTATCGGCTTTTCTTGAATCCTCTCAGAAGCTTCCCAGGCCCTATTTTAGCTCGACTATCCAAAGGGGCAGCGGTTTGGGAAGCGATTGATGGGAACACACATCTCTGGCTTGAAACCCTGCATAAACAGGTATACTCAGGACACCGAACCTCTGGATGCGCCTTTACTGTATCGACTAACGTTGTGAAGTATGGAGACGTGGTACGAGTTGCGCCAAATGAACTATCGTACTGCAATGTGGAATCAATTACAGAGATTCATGGGGCTCAATCCTCGAAGATAGCCAAGGGTCCATGGTATGACGGTGTGCCCAACGTAGAGGTCAAGAGCATGGCAACCGAGAGGGACCTTGCGGAACATAAATACCGGCGGAGGATTTGGGACAGGGGATTCAGCCCCAAGGCTTTGGTTAGCTACGAACCCCGAATCCAGCAACACACGAATACTCTGTCAAAACAACTTCGAGCTCGTGCAGGCGGTAAGACCCCAATCCATATCTATTATAAGAGTCTCGTGCTGAGAAAGTATGTGTAAGAGGTCATCAATTTTAGCGAATGGTGTGACTATTTTGCCTTCGATGTCATGGGTGATCTTGGCTTTGGGGAAGACTTTCACATGCTCGTCGAGGGTGAGGACTTCCCATAGATACCTGGACCGGTCTAATCTGTCGACCCTAGCAAAACCCCACCCTTACATGGTTTTCATGCATCAGAGCCTTCGATTGCTCACCATCCTTGGTCACGTACCATGGATGAAGACAATATGTAAGCTTTCTTGTCCCAAAGGTGGTGCGAGATTCCTGACGAGAGGAAGTACCGTGGGCACCTGTGGACGCTCAAACCAAGAGGGACGGCAAGGACTTTGTAAGAATCAGTGCAGAAAGATTCCAAAAAAGGCGCAAGGAAGGTTCCAACCGCGCTGATGTTTTCTCTTACCTACTCGCGGACAATGTGGAGGTTTCGAGGTTAGCACAACAATTAGGACCATGGTATATGACTAATGGAATCTCAGGAAACTGACTGATGCGGAACTCGAAGCTGACGCCGGCACTGTCATTGTGGGGGGTGCAGACACCACAGCTGTGTGTCTGACGTAGGCCCAAGTCAGAGTCCATTGATGTTATTGCAGTACTAAAACTTGTTCAGATTCTTGTTCTATCTTCTCGTCAAGAACCCGGAAACATTACGCAGGCTTCAAGAGGAAGTCGATGAACTTTGGGACGGCAGCACACCCCAGACGGGTGCATTATGGGGTATTATCCGCACTTAAGGACAGGAAAGAAAGGATTTGCTGATAATCTTGTGCAGCGCAGGCTAAATATCTCAACGGCGCCATTAATGAATCACTCCGGTTATACCCTCCTGGCCCAAACGGCATGCAAAGGACTACACCCAAAGGTGGGTGTTTTATTCTAGGAGAATATCTCCCAGAGGGCACACAGGTGAGGATTAATTTGCATACCACAATGTTTGTCGCGACTAACCGCGTGCATCTGGCGTACAGTTGAGCGTACATGGCTGGAGTATCCACAGGGATGAACGATATTTCTCCAATCCGACAGAATTCGTGCCCGAGCGATGGATTGATGAAAAGAGACCAAAGGATTTTCGCCATGAAACCCGTGCGTTCATTCCATTCAGTGTGGGACAGTATGGATGTGTTGGCAAGGGGCTGGCACTGCTGGAAATGCGCTTCTTCGTCGCTGAGCTTGTAAAAAGGTTTGACATTTCTTTGGACATCTCACACGACGAAGAAGCTTTCCAGAGAGCCGTTCGTTCAAACCTTGCTCTGCTGAAAGGAAGACTGCCGCTCATTTTCACTGAGCGAGCAGGAAAATAAATGCTTCTGCAGCAACGTCTACCATGTTCGTCTCGCTGAATGACAGTTTACTTAACGAGAAGCCCAATAACCGGAAACCTGTAAATCCCATCTCGCTGAGGAAGCTTGTTTTGGGATAGAAATCAGGGAGCCGCCGCAAATAGCAAAGGAAGCGCGACAACATATGCTTAATGCTCCAAATTCGCGACAATATACAAATGGCGTTTCCAATGACAATGCTTATTGAAGCCTGCGTGTCGATGTACTACTTCTAAAACAATACACGGTTACTCACATTAGCCAGTTGACCATCTGAAACCACTTATCCCATCAGTACTACTTCGCCTGTAATTAAACAAACTCTTGCTCTAATTACATTAGGTCCCAAGTTTTTTCAAAGAGGTGAGGAAGTATTACGCCGCCCGTTGAGAGACCAGGCTGGAAGTACCGCAGCGATGACATCGACTAAACCAAGGTTTACTCTTTGGCGGCTCCCAAGCTATACATTTCACTGGGATCAAAGTAGTCTTTCCACACCACAAACTTGCCGTCAGCATCAACCCCCCCAACGCCAACGACGGGCAGTGTTACTTGATGCTTCCCAAGATAGGTGAATTTCTCCACTCTTTCCACCATAACAGTGTTTCCACCAACCGTTATGTGCTCGATAGATATGGTGAAGTCTTTAATGGCTGCAGCTAATTGTTCAAGTCCGTGTCGTATTTCATCATGTCCCACAGAAGGAGGCTTCTGTAAACCCCAAATCCAGAACTTTGCATCCGAAGTGAAATGCTGTAGGATGGTTCCTACGTCGACAGTGGATGCTTTTTCGAATGCGAGCAGGAGCTCTCGAACTCGTTTCTCGAGATCGACTGAAGAGCCTGTGGTCATGTTGGGCCAATGCCTGAAAACATCGATCAGTGCGCACGATATGGGTGACTCTAAGTATACCTTTTGCTGATCCTGCCAACAGAAGGTGTGGATGATATCAGGAGCAAACTTAGTTGTACTGAAGGACAGATGACCACCTTCCTGAATGATTCATTTAGACAGAGTCGTGTATATAGAAATATTCCTATCAAGGATGTACAAAGAATCTGCAGTTCACCTGGCCGCAGGAGTCGACTTTGAAATGAGCAGATATCTCTCCACAGGTATTGAATGACTAAATATTTTTGAGTCACGTAGATGAGAGTATGTGGTCAGACATATCTCCGTCAACAGGCAGAAGGCTTGGAACCGGTAAGATATACCGCTAGTTTCGTCCAATGTACCATAATTTCCAGGTGACTTCGGGGAGTATCCAGCATCCTATTGTAATGGGAGGATCTGAGTGGAAATCTAGAGGCCAGAGTGTTTTAGCTATCTAGGGTATAGGATAACAATGGTGCTTCCCAGCGGCCATTGGCTCTATCGCATCCGGATCCGCTTCTCCGTTCGAAATGTTCTGTTCAATTTGAGACGCAATAGAAGTATGATGTCGCATAAAGACAGTAACGTCCTTAGCTGTCTCAGCAAATTTTGGGACCCTTTGAATGCTCGAGCTCCCCGTGCCAATCACCCCAACGCTTTTCCCAGACCAGTTAAGGCTCATGTCCCAAGCGACCGAATGAGGTAAGATGCCCTTGTAATCGTGTGGGCCTTCGATATTAGGCCATTTCCAATTGTTGACCGCACTAGAGCCATGGACAATGACATCACAGTAATCCTTGTACGACGAGATCCATCTTTTCTTCTTAGATCCACTGTCCACTTCCCCTGCTCCTCGTCCCATGTTGCTGTAATGACTTCCGTGTTAAAAGTAAGATACTTCTCAACGGCATATAATCGAGCTGACGTCCAGCTCTGATAGTTAGTCACTAAGTATTTCGAAACAGTTGGGAGCAAGTCTATGGCTGAGTCAGGGTAACCTGACAAACTCAGAATTGGACATTTGAGAAAGCATTTTGCTGTCAGGAAAAGCGATTCAGTCGTAACAAGATGGGCAAATCACACCGGCGCCTAAGATAAATGCAGTAATAATGTTTGTCCCAATCTGTTGCTTTGATGCACTTGTGAGGGTTCTTCCGTTCAAGACCAGTCGACAGTCAGTAATTTTTAGTAATGACTCAAGCCAACGACAAGACCTGCACGCGGCGCCCAGGATGTGGTTGTCAGTCTCCAGAGATGTGCAGCTCGAGAAAGCTTGTATATTCAATGGCTCGAGAGACACCGATGTGGAAAGACCCGCATTTTGACCATCTGCTTGTAAGGTTTTCTTACTCACTGAGTTCCAGCCAGACCCGAGTTCGCTGATCCGGGGATCTGGAATTCACTGGAGTCTGGGGTGGCCCGGGGAAAACATTTCAAGCCGAATTATGGGCTAGTGGAGGCTGATATTAAAGCAAAGGTGCTGCAGGCAAGCAACTCTCTTCCACAAAGCCAAGAAAACTGTTTTCGAAGCAATTCATATTTAGAAAATGATAGACTCATCCAGGGTTGGAGCCCTCAAGGAACTCGAGCTCAACCATGCCGATGCTGAGGGGTTGGAGGACATCACCGTCTCTAATGCGCTCGCCACGGATCAAGCCAAGCTCACCGACGCTGGATACTTTCACGATGCTCCTTTGATCGGAACCATTGCCGGCAGCAGCCTCGTCATCCTCGCTTCATATTGGGCTTTCAGTCCAGCAGCGGCCATCCTTGTCTACATCAACGAGGATATTGGTCTGTCCCGCAGCTAATACCTCTGGACGAACCATTACTGACGACTTATAGGCCCGAGTGACAATGCGAGTCTCTTTTCCATCGTCTGGTCTCTTTGCACTGCAATCTCCATGGTTATCTTCGGTAGAGTGTCGGACAAGTTCGGAAGACGCTGGTTCTTGTTAGGAGCCAGCGGCCTCGGTATCCTCGGAGGTCTGCGGATGCCTTGTCTCGAGTATGTAGGCAATGTGAGCTGACAAGTGGGCCAGGAATTGTTGCATGCACGGCGAAGACCATGAACACATTGATTGGAGCAAATGTACGTATTCGTTGCACGTGTCTGACGGTAACACCCTTTCATGTGCTGATTCATCCTTTCCAGGTCCTCTTGGGGTTGGGTGCAGGAGTCCATACGTGTTACACGCTCTTTATCGGCGAAATCTGCCCCAATAAATACAAATATCTTGGGATCATGTTCACAGTGATTCCTAATGTGATACCGACAGGTTTTGGAGCTTATCTTGGTCGGTATATATCGCGCCTCTGGGTCATTTTTGTGAGCTAATCGAAGGCTTCCGCAGCTCTCATGCTTGTACATAATGCGAATTGGAGGTACTTTAAACTCACTTCCTCACCATTTCGAAAGCCTGCTGACAAGTAAGATGGGTATATTACATCGAGATCATGATAATGGTGCCTGGCCTCATTCTACAATATCTCTATTATCGGCCTCCAACCTTTCATCAACTCCATGGTGGCAATCGGACCAGGTGGCAGGAGTTCAGACGTGTTGATCACCTGGGACTATTTCTTCTTTGCAGTGGATTGACGCTATTTATTCTTGGTATTTCATGGGGTATGATTGGTTCAAAATTACGCTCTCGAGCCCCGAGACTGACGAAACAGGTGGTCAACCTCTGCCGTGGACATCTGGAAAGATTTTGGGGCTCATAATCTCAGGTGGTGTCCTTCTCATCATTTTCGTAATCTGGGGAAAGCCATCCTTCCATTTGACGAGTGAGATTTAAAATGCTAACTGTTGAACAGAGGCTGTATCCAAGGTGCCTAACAAGCTGGTTCCTCTCTATTTTTTCAGAGATCTTCGAGGATTTGTCTGCTTGATAACCATTGAAATGGTTTCGGGAACCATTTACATTGCTCTTAGCATCATCTGGCCTTCTCGTATGCTCCACCCTATAATAGCCCCAGTCGCTCCACGTTCCACACGCTGATGATGCCTTTTAGAGGTTGCACAGGTCTACGGTGCTGGCGCCACAGGGTGGCAGGACAACGCCTGGCTCTCGGTGAATACTTTTTGACCACTTTCTTATGACACTTTGGCTAACACGCGGATAGACGACGGTGGCCTTCGGCATCTGGGGTGGTATTGTTCTGTGTGGCTCAGTCTTCCACATTGTGAAACACGTACGCCTCCAACTGATCATATATATGATCATTGTCGTAGCCTTCAGCGGAGCATTGGCATCCGGCAATACCGAGAACAAAGGACAAAGTGCGGCCTTCTCTTTCCTGACAACCTTTCCAGTCGGAATTCTGGAGGTCGTCCCCGGTATCCTCGTCCAGTTGGAGATAGACGACACTGAGCTAGGAACTGCCTTCGGTATGTCTTTCCCTACATGTATATGCTCCTTATTTTGTCTCAACTGACCAACGATGTAGCCATACTGGGGTTCCTTCGAACAGCATTCGGATCCATCATGACTGCCGTCTTTTTGGCGATCCTGACTAGCAAGATCCCAACGGAAATGGCTCATTATATCCCTGGCGCGGCTATTAATGCTGGTCTACCACAGTCATCACTTGGTGACCTATTCAAGGCCATTGCAGCAGGAACTACTGAGGCACTCGACAGAGTACCGGGTATTACCGAGGCAATTGTCGCCGCCGTAGCAAAAGCAAAAGCACAGTCCTACGCAGCAGCATACGCGTATGTCTACTACTCAACAATCGCGATTGGGGCCGTAGGCCTTATTGCTGTATTCAGTATGAAGGACTATGACCCCCTCCTCAATGACCATGTATCTCGCCAGGTCTATAAAAAGGGGGAAACTGTACCACAACCATATGCGATCCAGCCGGAAGAGTTGAAAGAGCAACCCAAAATTGTCACCATGGAGAGTGTTTAAGCAGAGCAAAAAAAAGGAAATGTCAAATGCGGTATCCTGACGTCAATTTCCTTCTCCCCCTTCCCTCCAACCTCTTTCTATCTGGTCGAGCATAAAGGGCTACGTCGCACGTTGTGTCTCTCTCAAAGTTGAGTGGATCACTTGTACAGGAAGATCGGAAGAGGACGGCACAGTCTATGAGAACCTCAGTCTAAAGCTCTGTTGAAGTCAATTGACTACATCCTTGGAGGCATCAAGTCATAAGGCTAGTTCAGCTCCTCTGTACGAGCGACGATCCCGAAGTCATCGCCACACTACGAGCAAGTAGTATTACAACCTAGACCACCATCAAGCCGTTTCAGCCACTCACTCTGAGTGGCAACTCGGTGGAGAAGCAATGTATAGAGGAAGGAAGGGCATCCTGGCGCAATAAAGGCTCTCAGGAGCTTCTCCATTGATTTTCTGATTTATGCTTGGTGCACAGTCCGCAGGTGTGCTCGAAAGTCCGATTGGTGCTCGAAAGTCCCAGTGGGGCTCAGCAACTTAATTAATAATGCAAAGTGACTAAGTTAGGGACAGTCAGCGTTGGGTGAATACGCGTCTTGTAAAAATGGCCGTACGAATAATGGTTATGAAACGCGAAGATTGGTTATGATACCGAAGCTTAGTGGGCTCCATTACACTACCAAAGGCGCTATAGCGCTAGCGTTCTCAATATCTATTACTTTGTACAAGAAACGAGTACCTCTCTACTGAGTTTGTAGCCACTAGAGGAGGACTACCAAAATAGCGCCTGAGCTTCTTATCACTTTGAGAAGATTGTAAAAATATTACTGTAATAAAGGGGTCAAAAATAATACTGTAATCTATGTAATCTAAGCCCCCGACACTGGGGACAGTAGCTAATCAAGAGTGCACTGAGCCACGGGGTCCTGCAGACAGAGTCGAGGCCTGATAGAGGCGGGCTTGGTGGATCCACAAAAATAAAGCCTGGTAGAGGACGCCTTTCCAGCAACTTTCCAGCTTCTTTCCTGCACTTCTCCCCTTGTCCACTGTCGTCTAGATGGCTCCGAGTGACCTCCAGAAGCGCTTGGCCCGGTGCCTGGTAGAGCCCGGGTTCTCAGTCTGTAGTAGTCTCCGTCAACCCGACGTTCGAACGAGACTAGATCTACCTGATCCTAGTGATCTTATCTTCAGGTTCTCCACGTGCAGACCTAGGCTGACTCTGTGCAAGGAGAATCCCATCAGTGGATCCCTGATCCACAACGTTTGAATACTCGTAAACCAGAACACCCATGCCAGCTTCATATCTATCCTCGAAAGCCCGCTTCTCGCAGCTCCCGGCTTGTGAACTCTACCTCTTAGCTTGATTGCTACCGCTAGCCACCATTTTCCCCGTGTTAGAAGAACGCAATGAAAAGGCTGTCTGATCAATCGCATCGTACACAACCAAGATGCCTTTTCACCATGGCTAATACCCCAACCTCCGCCACCGCTAGCACCCAACCTCAGGGTGAGATGAAGTTTGTCAGTGGCTTCGCAACCGGCAGCCGAACAGTGAAGCGCAGAGCATCTAAGGCATGCCATTGCTGTCGCTCTCGCAAGGTCCGATGTGACCTTACAGCGAGTGGCATTCCGTGTACCAACTGCAGGCTCGACCGGGTCGAGTGCATTGGTACCGAGACCAAGAGGCGACGCGGGTGCTTTAATGAAGACGAACTCTTGCAGCTTCCTTACAACTCGATTGAGGAAAAGCTGTCTCAATCCCTTACTCTTGATAACACTGATGGTCTTAACGAATCGCCTCCCACCACGGACCCGTTGGAAACAGCCAATAACGACATGCCCGGTTTGGGCGGTGGCCTCAATAACAATCAACTTCACATGCTCTGTAATGCTCTCCACACCACAGGCTCTGTCAAGAATGGTCAGATTAATAGTCCCTCGCAGATCAAACCCATGGTAATCGCCTGAGTTTTGCGACAAGCACTAATCCGCTGCCGTCTCCGGAAACTATTTCCCGCAGATTGCCATACTATCACCAACTCTCCGGTCATCTAAAAATTGTGCTTCCCAATTATATTCAACCAATAACTCAGCGAATCATGACCGAGGATCTAAAGTATCTTGAGAGCAAAGGGGCATTCATCATTCCCGACATAGGGCTCCGAAACGAGCTCCTGCGATGCTACGTCCAGTTTGTTCACCCGTTCCTACCCGTGCTCGATCTAGACGACTTTCTTTCAGCCATAGAGAAGAACGAGCCACGGGACGCCGTCAGCCTGTTATTATTCCAGGCAGCTATGTTCGCAAGTACCGCATTTGTCGATATGAGTTATCTTATAGCCCAAGGCTACACTACGAGGAAGGCGACCAGGAGGCTCTTCTTCGGAAGGGTAAAGCTCCTCTACGATTTCGACATCGAGGTCGATCGTATCCCGCTCATACAGAGTCTTCTTCTCATGACCTACTGGTGCGACGATCTTGACGAATATAAGGATATAGGTCACTGGCTAGGTATTGCCGTTTCTCTTGCCCAAAGTATAGGTTTGAACCGCGACACCTCTAAAGAAAACTCTATGAGCCAGAAGCAGAAATGCTTATGGAAGCGTATTTGGTGGTCCTGCTTCATGAGAGACCGTCTTATTGCCGTTGGAACGCGTCGGCCTACACGCATCAATGAGGCCGACTTCGACGTGCTTCCACTTGAGCTCGCCGATTTTGAGACTCGTGCGCTCTCATCAAACTTGATCAAAATGCTAGGCAGCTGTCCTGCCGTCGAAGATAGCTCAAAGCGTGTCGCCCTTGCCAAGATGTGCATTAGGCTCTCTAATCTTTGCAGCTACATCACCTCAATACTCGCGGTACAATATTCGACTCTAGGTCGCAAGATCGGAGTCACTACTGAGACCACCATGAGACTGATACCCAAGGAATCAGCAACCGATCCCTACGCTATCACCCGCTGCGATCGAGAGCTAGAACAGTGGCGAAAAGCACTACCTCGCTATATATACTACTCTACCTCGAGGCCACATGAGAGGTCCACTACCAACAGAGACAAAGTAATCAACCTGCATCGAGCTTTATTAACAGGTATCTATCTCACAACTCTTTGCGCATTGCACTGGCCGCAGATTCAAACAGCATCACCCAGCATCGTCATCGCATCTAATCTTCGCAATTTGTCCAAGCACCGAGTTTGGGAGGCCGCCCATGACTTCACTAAAATATACAAGGATCTGTACGCCCATGACTTGATCAAATACCTACCCACCACGGGTGTGACCTGCCTGCTAACGGCCTCTTCGATTTATCTTCTGGATATCAAGTCCGCTGACGCCAATAACCATCAGACCAGCATCGACGAGCTCCAGTTCTGCCTTCAGGCTCTCCAGCGTCTTCGAGAGATTTACGCGTCAGCCGACTATGTCTTCTCTGTCCTTGAGGCCGCGGCTCGCCAAACTAATGCCCAAGTGGTGGCAGCCTCTGCAATAAGCCCAGAGTTTCTGACTGTGCCGCAACCTGCGCAGCAGTCTAAGCAACAGCACAGGCCTCTGCTCACTCCTTCTCCCGAGGCGATGCAAACCGCCAGCCTCTTAACCTTCACATGCACGATGACTCAGGACGAGAGACAGTTCGTCGGAGAGTACACGGCCAACGGGTTTAATGTCGGTAGGAACTCCTACCACTCCACCGGCGGACCGTTGGTTCCTTTTAAGGATCTCGGCGGCCCAGAGTCCCAGAAGGCGATAGAGAAACAGGAAAAAGAGCAGACTCATCAGGACCCGGATACCTTGAGCAATTTGGAGGGTACCAACGATCTATTTACGAGCGACCACGAAGATGACGGATTTTACATGAACATGCAATGGCTCGAAGGGTATGATGTTGACGCGACCACTAGAGGATTCTCGGACTCCTAGCAGAGATGCCTGAACTGAAAAAGAATGTTGGGCAGTTCTACACCACGCAATCGCGAGAATCCGAATCTAGGCGACTGCTTTGACTATCCATACCGTGGGGGATATCAAAGAAGGCGAAGAGCTCGCATATTCGTGTGTGCCAGACTTCAATAGGCCTAAAGATCAACACCAGGGGACACTCTATTGGCAAGGCGGCTTTCTACGTCTTTGTGAGGCATGTCCAGATTCGCAATACGTCAGGTCCATGGATGACAAAAGACAGGAGCTCTCCAGACTGGACCAACGAGTATCCGACCAGGAGCAGTATCCTTGGACAAAGGTGGTGGATGGGTCCAGAGCCTTGAAGGATTTTCAGCAAATGGAAGCCTTGCAAAAGGATCTTGGTCTGCACGAAGCTCTCGGTCTCACATAAGTGCGAATCACACTTCTATCCATATTTAAGGAGACTAATTCCTTAAAGCTATAAGCGCGGTGCTCACTACTGCTGTTCTCGCTTGCAGGGCTGTCAGTCAACGCCTGAGTGGACTTCGAAGACGTTGGCAAACGATAAAGTGTGCCTTGGAGATGATCGTCCGCTTTGCGAGGATTTGGTCGAGATGGTGGGCTTGTTGGAATCAGAAGTCAGAGCATCGCGCACGTTTCCAAGTGCTGTGGCTGAATTTTATTCTCTTCCACTTTGGGACCCGTAGCATACACGTGCAAAGTGGGTTGAAGGAGGCTGAAAGGAAAGTACCTCCTTTTTGACCTTGCAACACGTAGTAACTGTTCGGGAATTATATAGAGAGGTCACAGCCTACGCAAGTGAATAGTTAGACGGAATCCTTGATTTCAAGAATATATGCGCATATTCGACGTTGATCTTCATATCCTCTAAGGTGAGTTCAGAGGGCTCAATATGCGAAAATTGTTAGAGAGAGGGTGGCACAGCTTTCAGAACCTGGCCATCAAGCAGACATATTTATCCAATCAATCCGAGCTTCCTGCAGGCGCTCCACATAATAGATACTATTGCACCTCGATTGACGGTGTAGCGCGATCAGGGAGAGTCACAGCATCGCGCAATTCAGCACGCCATTCATCACCAATGCGCAATTTTCTCTCTGAAACTGGTTCCTGCAATGTCGGACAAAGAACTCAAAGTATAATTAAGGGATAACCAAGGCGACCCCAGAGGGCGCGCGCAATACAGGACGGGACCACGGCACGCCACTCCCTCGGCAAAGGGATCAAGCAATAACACCACTGAAGGTCTCGATCCCTCAACCCCGCATTTCCGAGGCAGTAGGCCTGGTAGGCCTGGTAGGCCTGGTAAGCCTGGGGAATACTGAGGACTACGGACTTTCCAGGGTCCCCTGAAGGCACCTCGTCCCACATGAACCAAAAGGACAGTGTGTCGTGTAAAGGTTCTTTCTTTTCTTCTTTCAGAGGCTCTGGCCTACGGACTACCCGAATTCTTCGCAAATTCTTCCCAGTGCTGAGGAACAAATAACGACCAATACCATGATAACGACACCCAAGTCCAGACGCCGGGACAACAACAAGCCCCTGGAGGAGGTGAAGGAGCGTCGGTATGACTTGGCCGTTCCTGACCTTGACCGATATCTGACTGACCTCGAATTAAGGCGCATCAGAAACCGCATAGCCCAAAGAACAACCAGGGAGCGACGGGTGGCACATATTCGAGATCTAGAGGAGCGGCTCGCATCATATGAGAACGACAAAGACAACTCGAAGCTTCCGGAGCTCCTCGAGGAAAATGCAAAGCTCCGGAAGGGACTCCATGCCGCGCGAACGAAGTTATTGAGTCTCGCAACATCAGCAAGCTATGCTGCTGGATCAATTAAGCCGCTCCTCCATCTAGAAGGTTGGTTGCTGCCATTTGAATACGGCATTACGGAGGTGCGGGTATTGGTTATATGCTTACGGTCACAGAGTCGCCGCCAGAGGGCGCTTCACCAACACCACCACCGCCGTCGCCATCGCCAGCGCTTGAGCTCGAGCTGGATTCTCAGGCCCACAGCAAGGTCAGGCCTGAGGAAAATGCTGCCGAAGATCAAGCTTCCACCTCTGCCGTTGCTGGGACCGTAGGCACCTCAAAGCTTTCGGATAGCCCGCACACTTGCTCAATCCTGCAAGAGAATGATGCAGCATGTCCCATGATATCTAATACCTACCACTGCGGCGGACTAGATCTTGCCCAGTCCAGCTGGTCGGCCCCAAGGCCTTACAACGAGGAAGGGTCTTTGGAAGAGTTTGCTTCTCAATATTTCACCACCTTTTCCGATACCGATATTCTTCACGCCTCTTTCCAACAAGCATCGGACACCATGAAGATCCCCGATATGGAGATGGTAGTATCCCAGCCCAACGATGGTTGCACGAGCGATAGTTATAGCGACCTCACCTATCTCGATAACGGGCTATTAACTCATGGTAGACTGTTGATGACACCACAGTCTCGAAGCGAGGGAAATCACCAATCAGTCTTCTCTGCGCATGTGGACTGTATCATCAATATTCTCAGACGAGGTGGTGTTGCGGATCTATACACACGGTAAATCTTATCCCTCCCTATTATGCTTGCCAGCCAGCCTTTCTTTTTTCTCCCTGACGATCGAGATTATTGATTTTCGCGAGCAGGGCTCCACGACTGATTGACACCATGTTGGAAGGCTTCGTCGAGGAATGCTGGCCCTGTATGAAGAAGTGGTTTTGCTTGACCGACTCCTACACCACGTTACGATGGGTGCTCTGGTGGCAAATAGTCCGGACATCTGAAGCCCTAAACGACATTCCCGAAACCCATACTCCAACGGCCGTCCAGACTGCTCTACGGCATCCCAGCATTATCGATTGGGTCCCTTTTCCGAGCATTCGAAATGCTCTCATTCTTTCCGATGGATATGACGTCGACCAGGTCTATTGCGACACGGTCGAAAATTGTGTGCTCCAGAAAGAGGAACCTGAGATTGCCAGAAATGATTATGCCCACGTCAAATACAAAAGTGTCATCAGTTTGCTCCAAACGGCGCTCCAATCCGCGACGGATGCGTCCAACCCTAGTTCTAACACACAAGGCGCTGGCACAGCGGAGGACGACAACATTTTCTCCGAGAGACCTCTCAAAAGGACCAAGGCCGCGTCTAGCGCCTACTGCCAGCTTCTGATTGATTTTGGTCGATGGGTTGTGAAACTCGACCCTGCCTTCTTCATCAAATATCCCGATTTGTATGACGCTTCCATCGTCGCCAAAGGACCTAGCATGGACCCTCGGGGCCCGAAGATTCAAAAGCCGGCCCCTCTGACTTTTACCGCAACAAACACATATGCCAGTTTGCTTTTCAGAGACAAGAACTACCGTACATATGGGATGGACTCGAGAATTCGACACAGGCAACGGGAAACCAGGTTTACCTGAAATTTTTGTCGTTTTGTTGCACATGCCTCTTTTTGGTGCCTCGGGACGAACCGTCCTCAACGGGAACATGGTTTTTGTTGTCTACAGGAATGCAAAAGGCCCGCAGGTTCCATGCTTCAAAGGAACAGGGTCTACAATTCTCTCTGAAAGGAGTCCAAGAAATACATCAATTCTTGCGACCAGCCTTCAATGCCTACAAAATCAGCGTAGGAGACTTGGCAGCATATGATAGAACTCCTCAGCCAGAGCTATTAGATGCTACACAAATGGGGGACTGGTGATGTATGCGGTTGCTGCTTGAACTGTTTCAGGATCAAATGTGGGCTTACATTGATTCATTGCCCCCGGGGCCGGATATGCAAAGTAAGCTAGCTCAATCCCCATCACGGATGATTCAGACCACCTGATGATGGTACTCGTTGGCGATGGACCTCTGTATTTCTTCACTTCCAAGTCACAAAGCTGGTATGGACTTTATGTTGAGATCATCCCAAAAATTGGATGCTCTCCAGCTCTCAAGTTCTCGGGCGAAGTCGGCGAATCCTCTCCCCCACGAACCGCCTCTGGCAAGTTTCTCGCGAGCTTCGGGACCCATGTCAGCAATGCGGTAAACGTCTCCTTCACCATTAAAATAGCTTGGTGGGCAATTGGCCATGGCGGCAAAGGCACCGGCGCTCGCAATAATCTTTTTCGTCCACGTCTCCTCTGCAGCGATGGTGGGTTCAATGGTGAAGGCATATCTGTCCTTCGATTTTAAAAGGCTGTTGTTGTGGTCCTCTCTTCTGCCGCCGAACTTTTGCACAGTTGCCTTGAAAACAAAGGCCATGTGCTGTGCCAGTTCGTCCACCATCTGGCATTGATTGGGAGACAGTCCCGTCTGCCACAGACCCAGCCAGAATAAGTTGGGAAAGCCATTGCTCTGAATGCCATGCAGAGTTGCAATGCCTTGTTCCCATTTGTCGTCGAGCGAAAATCCCTCATGGTTGACCACGTCCATGTGTAAACGGCCCGCTGGACTGCTACCCAACCGAGCCTCGTACCCTGTACTGAAGATGAGGACGTCCACGGGATACTCTTGTCCATCAAAGAGGACGCCATGTTCACTTAGACCGTCGACTCCACGACCGTCAGTGTCGACAAGAGTGACATTCGATGAATTGAAGCTTTCGAGGTAGTCATCGTGAAAACACGGACGTTTGCACCAACCGGGGTACCAGGCTTTGAGCTTGTCTGCAGTGACCTTGTCCTTGACGACTTCGTCCACCCTGGCCCGAACCCTTTCCTGTCGAGCAAGGTCCATCGTACTGAGCAGGGTCACATAGGTGGAGACGTCGTCGTTGGACAGAGGCGCCCCGGGGCTACCTATGAGTCCAGCGTACGATGGGAACTTGGTCCAGCCATCGTCGACCAAGTTGACCTTGGGTCGAGGTATAGTGTTGGAGGCGAACGCGGCGAAATTCAACCTTCTTTCGGTTTGCCAACCTTTTCTTCCGCCTATCTCATGCGCCCACCATTTCTCATCCGTCACCTGTTGACCTCTTACATCCACCGCCGAGGGAGTCCTTTGGAAGACGTAGAGTTTCTTTGCCCACTTGGCCAGTTCCGGCACTGCTTGGATCGCCGTAGCACCCGTCCCGATAATTCCAACTCGCTTGTCGGTCAGATTCACAAGTGCTGGATTGGTCTCAGAATCTGAACCGCCCGTGTACGCCCAATCCCAGCGAGCGGTATGGAAAGTGTGACCCTTAAATTCATCCATACCGGGAAGATTCAGAATTTTCGGCCAGTTCAAGGTCCCACCCGCGAGAATGGCAAACCGAGACGAAACCGTGATCTCTTGCCCGACTTGACCTTTCCGCATCGAACGGAGTTTGGTGGTCCATTCACCCTTGGAGTCGTTATAATTCATACTGACCGCTCGGGCTTGGAACAAAGTCTTGTCCTGAAGATCAAAGTGTCTCGCAATGTTCTCGGCGTGCTGTCTCAATTCGGGCCCGTATGAGTATTTATGCTTGGGCATGTATCCCAATTCCTCGAGGAGGGGCATGTAGCAGTAACTTTCTACATCGCACATGAGGCCGGGATATCGGTTGAACCACCATGTGCCGCCGTAGCCACCGGCGGCGTCTATCAGACGGATATCGTTCTTGTCGATACCGGCTTGAATCAATCGAGCGGCAGCGAGGAGACCACCGTACCCGGCTCCGAGGATCAGTACCTCGTGCCGGGAGCCATCTGTAATCGAATTTGCTCCGGGGTCAATGGCGTTGTCATCGACCCAGATGTCCTGGATGTAATTTTGGTACTTTTCCGATGTCGCGAGATTGGTAAATTGTTTCATGCCATCGGCTCGGAATCGTTTGGCACTTTCTTCCTTGTATTTTTCGAGCATAGCACTGGCATCGATTTCGGGGCTGCTTATGCTCGCCACTCTCACTTCCACTTCCTTATAGGGTGGCTTTCGTGCTCCAACACCATTTGAGGCGAGCACGCCCGCCGGCGACAACATATTGGCCATTGTAGGATGAAAGACTGTTAACCTCGTATTATTCTCGTTGTATCTTCTTTCTGATTTTCTCGACACTCACGCGCTCTCTATGTAGATGCGGTTCTAAGGGGGTCAAGTAGAGATACAATAGTTACACGGCGCATATGAAGAAAGGGGGGTGTGGTATTATAGGGCGTTATGCTCTCCAATTCCTGAGGACAAAACAACAAGGTACCTATACTAACCGATAGTACTGGTAGGACGGCAGCAGATAGACAGGCCACACGATGCCATGCAATTGCCATCGTGTCATAGATTGTTGACAGGACTCTAAAGCAACTCGGGTGATACCATAGGTCATACCATAGGATAGCTGCAACAACCCAGGGCCACGGCGGGGGAGAGACCAATGTACACTTCATAGAGGTCGGGCACAGCGAATGAAGTCATATTTACTTGCCGCAAATGCCGATCGTGAAACTTCGAGCCAACTGTCAGCAGACAATCCTCTCGGCTCCGTATCCGTTCAAGCTCGGGGACTGCACTCGGTGTCGATGAACCGCTGGCCACGAAACGGAAGTGAAAAGCGATGACACAGTACCGTGTGACTGTTCATTATCGTGGTCAGGATAAGGCGGCACCCATCTCCAAGTGGATTCACCTTTTTTGCTAGTTGCATTACATGAGAAAGTCAATCGTCTTCGGGCTTTGATTTATCATATCGGGCAATTCCTGTTACTTTGGGAAGCCCATGCCATTTCTGGCCTTTTGGTTGCCCAACATGAAAGCCGCTCGCTACCACGGGCAGCGTGATCTTCGCCTTGAAAATGATGTCCCGGTGCCAGAGATTGAGAAGGGACAGGTCCTGGTGGAGATTGAGTGGTGTGGTATATGTGGCTCAGATCTCCATGAATACCTCGTTGGTAGGTAAATAGGTATCTTCCCACCAGCCACTCAGGACCCCTTTTCGCTCATTATCGCCATGTGTGGAAAATTATAGGTCCACGTACCATTCCCGTCACGCAGAAGCCGCATCCCCTGACGGCAGCGAGCTTGCCCGTCACCATGGGCCACGAATTCTGTGGTCGAGTCAGTCAAATTGGGGCCGGTGCCGCGAGTCGACTCAAGGTCGGCCAACCTGTCATGGTTGATCCTCGTCTATACTGCGGGTCGTGCGACTGCTGCAAATCATCTCGGACAAACGTGTGCTCCCGTTGGGGTTTCCTGGGGCTTCACGGTGGAGGAGGTGGTGGCTTTTCTGAATTCGTCGCGGTCAATGAAGACATGTGCTATGTCTTGCCTGATTCGGTGGCACTGTCTCAAGCGGCACTGATCGAGCCGTTGACCGTGGCTCGACACGCAATGAAGTCGTCGGGATTCAAGGCTTTTGAGAACCTGAACGTCCTTGTACTCGGTGGTGGACCCATCGGTTTAGCGGTCATCTTGAACCTGAGAGCATGTAACACTGCTCAAATTTTTGTTTCGGAGCCCACGGAGAAAAGGGCAAACCAGACCAGAGAATTTGCGGACAAAGTGTTCAATCCGAGGCTGGTAGATGTGGCAGAAGAGTGTCTCGCTTCGACAGCCGGGAAGGGGGTCGATCTGGTTGTCGACTGCGCCGGCCTCATGCCTGCTTTGAAAGATGGCATGAAGGCACTGACCCGTGGGGGGACGTATTTGAATGTGGCGGGCTGGGAAACCGATGTAAGTGGGCGCAGGGAGCCATCCCATTGCTCGTCTTGCGCCGTTGGCCGAAATCTAACGATCCATTTTCTGCAGTTGATCATGCCGTTGGGGGATTTCGCCCTCAAAGAATGCGTCTTTCGCACATCCATGTCATACACGGACGAAGACTTTCGTGAGACCGTGGACGCGTTCGTTTCCGGTAAGAAGTAGCCCGGGTTTCAATCGCGAGCTACGCTCCAGGACCAAGCTCACGGAAGATCAGGGAAGTACCAGGGATTTGAAAAACTGATCTCCGGCCGCATTCTTTTGGACGACCTGGTAACAAAGGGATTTGAGGAGTTGATCAGGCATAAAGACGACCATGTCAAGATCTTGGTGACTCCCAAGCACGAATTACTGAAGGACGCATGACGGGAAAACCTGCTAAGGTGACGCCGGTGTGATTGACTTGGTATCGCCGAACGTCGTGCAATATATGCATTAGATTGCACCCGTCAGATCTCTTTAGCCTTGAGGATACCAAAAGTCGGCCGCAAAGGCTTCTGCTGTCATGAATCGGTCGTCCCATCTGGCGAGGCCATTGACATAAATGTCGAGTAAAGAATTCGTACTTACCAAATAGAGTCGGCAGACCGGGGAAAAATTCGTACGCCATTGACGAACTGTTCATGCATTTCAGGTGAACTTCCCTGAATGTCATTGTAGATTATTGACCAGTAAGCCTCGCCACCTCGTATTGTCAGATCCTCTCAGGCCCAGAGAAGTGAAGCAATTAGCCCAGTGATACATTACTCACTTCCAAAGCAGATTCAACTCCTTTGGCGGCTGCCAGAATCAGAAACCGTGTTCACTATCGATCAGGCGGGGTTGTCGCATGCTCTGTTTATCACTGATCATTGACAAGCACAGCAGTTTCGGTTAATCGTCTCCTACTGCCTGATTTGTCTCGCGTATTGGGTTACCTCGAGTTCAATGCCAATGGTGTTGTCACCCATCTGCTTAACATGACCTTTCGTAAGGTATTGTACTTGTCCATCGTTCATCCAGTCCTCATGCTAAACAATTCGGCACAGTAGAAAGGACATTGACGTGACAAGCCACGAAGAGGACAGGCGGAGACAACATCAGAGCTAGAGAGAAGCTGTCACTCCTGCTGAAGTAGTGGCTGGTCCCGGTGTCTTGCCCTCTATGGAAGAGACGTGGGTTAGAGACGCAGCAACGAGCTCTCCGGGCATTAATCGCCTGTCATTTGGAATGCCAGATTGATGGTCCACTTGTTTGTCTCGTGTGTGTTTGACTACCGACGGAGTGGGGAGAAGGTATTGAGTTCTTAGTAGTGGGGCGGCCCGGATATGCACCATCACTGTCATCAGGGATTTCGCATGTCACACGCATCGGAAAGTGTCATTCATGACTGACTGCGCGACCTTACTAACACAACGCTTCACAAGCGTTACTGTCACCTCTTCGACTCCGAGGTCGTGTCCCCTGAATTGTTGCTACTTGTTGCGGTAATCGGAGGCTTTGTACCATCCAGGTCGCAAGAGGGCGGGCATTCTTGTCTTAAAGTTGTATATCTGTCATTCCTCTTTGCCTCCTTCAACGTTGCGGCCCTTATAGCGAAGCGGTCATCCCTCTCAATTCTCCAAGTTCAGTCTATACATAATCAGACTCAATTTTATAAGGATCCCTAGATGTCTCACTTCAGAAATGCGCCAGCCGCGCCAGGGGTTGCGTTCATAACGGGAGGAGCACGTGGAATAGGAAATGCCATCGCCGTCTCATTCGCCAAAGAAGGTGCCCAAGCGGTCGTCATTGTCGATATCCAGGACGAGGCTACGACTCGGGAGGGCAAGGAGGCCGTTGAGAAGTATGGTGCTCGTGTAAGCCGCGATCTTCATACTATGTGTAGAATCCAAGCCACGTTTAACCATTACCTGTCATATGTATAGGTTCTAACTATCCATGCCGACGTGACCAAAGAAGACCAGGTAGAAAAAGCCGTCGAGACTGCGGTCAAGGAATTTGGTCGCATAGACTATGCGGCGTTAGTAATCTGTACGCCCAGGCGCACTGAATAGCTAAACTGACGATCACAATAGAAATTTCGCTGGTATTGTCGGGCCTCTCACTCTAGCCTGGGACACCCCATTGGAGGAATGGAGAAAACCTGTTGAAGTCAACCAAGTCGGCACCTGGCTGTGCATGAAACATGAATTGCGCCAGATGATTAAGCAGGATTCGGTTGAAGTGTATGTTTCTTATTTCCGCCTCTGTTCTCAGTTTAACTGTATTGATCTTCTGGTGATGAGGATGGACAGAGAGGAAGGTCGCGCTCCACAAAGAGGCTCTATCGTTAACTGTGCCTCCGTCGCCTCGATCCTCGGCGGTGAACTATCGGGCGCATATGCGGCTTCCAAGCACGCGGTAATGGGCATCACCAAATCGGTGCGTATTTCCTGCTTTCTTCTCCCTCTTTTTCCCCGGAAACTGGATTGGTTTCGGCTAAGAAGGGACAATATAACTAGGCTGCAATCGAAGCACGTCGGCACAACATCCGCGTCAACGCCGTCAGCCCGGGCTTCTTACGCACGAGGCTGACTAGGAGCGATTCCAGATTGCCAGACGCGACGTGGGACGCTTATGAAGCCCGTCAAGGCCGAGAAGCCAGCGTCAATGAGATCGGCGACGTGGTCGCCTTGTTGAGCACGCCTCGGATGAGTCTGGTTAACGGGCATAATTTGGTTGTCGATGGGTAAGTCCCGTTTCTGCCTCTATTGTGAGTATTTATTCTTATGATTGGCAGCGGCTATACCATCAGTTAGAGGTAAGATAGATGCTCCCGAGGGGTTTTGGGAGAGACGCATCCGGACCAACGACTCTCAAAGTTGTTCAGCCAGTGCTAGAACCGTCTGATTGTCTATTCGCTCTCTGAGGGCTTCGACATCGTCAAAGTAGGAGGTGGGAAGCCTAGTAATCCTAGCTTTAACTTCTACTATATCCGAAGTCGCTGTCGTCGTCGTACTAATTCTGCGTGACCTTTACATGAGTGAGATGGAATCGACAGACTCGACGGGTATGAGGTACTCATGGAGGCTCTGTACGCATCCTCGCCTAATAATGCACATGGGGCAACCGGGGAGACTGGAGTCAACCCCCTGAACGATCAAGGATTCCAGGTGAAAGGGGGCCAGCAGGGAGATGGAGCGTACTACTACCGAGTACAGAGTGCCTTGTACCGAGTATTGAGTGAGTTATTGTTGCTCCGAGTACCTCGTCCTCGGTATATCTTTAAGTGCGCACAGGGAGTGCACAAAGCAGCCGTTGAACCTGCCGTTTTCAGCGAAGCCGCTTCGGGCAAAACCATAGCGTGCATTGCCAACATTCTGTGCCCGGCGCCCAGAGCCACTGACATCTTACTCATACCATTATTATCCAACCTCGCGATCGTCGAGGGTTCCTCTCGTTTTATGAAGCGAATATCAGCATTGTCACTCGCTCTAGAGTGACAGATTCATTCTTGGTTCCTTTTGGATCTCATTCAGGCTATGTCCTCACTCTCCCTCCCCTACCAACCTCGTCCTTCGCTTTAGACTCCCCCTTGTGACAACGCCATACTCCTCGCAGCGCCCACGCGGCTTAACTTCATTATCGTCGGACTCATCATTACCACCTTCATCCTCTTCTATAGCTCCTTTCGCTCTCCTCGCCCCGAAGAGGAAGATGTCTTTGATATCGCAGATGCGGATGCAGCCGCCGTTCGCACCATGCTCGAGGCGTCCCTAGAGCAGCTCCCTGCCCGAGCCACCCATACCACTGAGGTCACCCACCAAGTCCAAGTAGATCATTTTGCCTCTCGAATACAGAACGAGACGCTAGGCTTTCAAGAGATATACATGATTTCATTACCCGGAAGGACGGATAAGCAAGATGCGTTTACAATGTAAGTAGCCTTCTCCGAGATCACTTATAAATAGGTAGACGAAGTGTACGGCTACGATATCCCTATAAAGGCGCTACCCTACGTATATTAGATGGATAAAGACACTCTTATTAAAGATTACTAAACCTCGAATAGACTATAGGCTAAGCTTCTAATGTCATCGGATGTTAGCGCGTATATATAAATGTTTTCCAGAAAATGGTATATAAAAAAGTCTCGTCGGCTTTAATTTTTAAAGACGACGCCGATTAGGATATCTCTCTAAAGTATTACGAGCTACTTTATACGTAAGGTATTAGCAGTAAACCTAAGTAGTTTACTTAGTAATATAGTAGTAGGACGAAGTAGTTAAGACGAAACTAAGAGTATAATGTATAGAACTATATATAAAGCGGATAACTAAGAGAAACTCGATTATTTATAAACGAAGTTAACTACGAAGGAAAGCTATAGAAAGTACGATAACTATATAGTTAAGGAGATTCGTAGTAGCTCTCTATAGCTCTACTTAGCCTTAGGAGTATAATAGAGTAGGTTATATAATGCTATATGATCCCTCTTTCTGTCGTCACTCTCCTCCTTCGGTATACCTTCCTCCTTTATCTAAGATGGCCCTCCCTTTAGCCTGTTCGTAACAGGAGGGAGGGTCAAAGTACGACGAAACGCGAGAAAGGTGCGTTTAGACGGTTAGAAGACTAGATAGAAGAGTAATTTACACGAGAAGTAGAGAAAGAGTAGGGAAAACGTAAGGACTAAGAGAGGGAGAGGAAGAGAGTATAGTAAAAAGAAAAGGAGGAAGAGAAGTATTATCCTATAGAACTAGAGGGTTTAGTTAACTCCGTCTAGTAATGTATAGTAGTAGAGTATCCTCTTAGAGATCCTCTTAGGGATCTCACCTTTTATTAGGGCCGAAACGGGCCCTTATAGATATAATCGGGTAAAGTTACTACGAGGCTAGGATATACGCGACGTTAGCGCCTATAAGACTAGAGCCTAAACGGGCGCCTCACCGGTACGTAAGGGAGTACGGTAGGAGCGGGCTAGAGCCGTAAGGGAGTGGAAGGGAGTGGAAGGGGAGCGCGAAAGAGAGGAAGGGAGTAGAAGAGAGTAGACGAGGGAGCGAATAGACTAAATAGTCGTTAGCGGGAGAGTAAAGCGGCGAGAGATGAGTCAGCCGAATGTGTGTAAAGGACTATTCGGGGATTATATAAGTCCCCGCATCGGGAGATGTAACAACCCTGAGTTGTAACACTTATCTAATACGGTGTTACAACGCAACAAGTCTCAATTGCTCAACTACCACTATCGTCTATCTGGAAAACGTGTGTAAACACCCCGATTGTGTCATTAGGGATGCCATTCCTGCTATTTGTAGATTACCTAGTCCTTCGCGTCGTTGTCGCCGTCGCTGCTAATGTTACTAATGCCTCTTTGGCACGATGAATGGTCTCGATGCTAGTAAAGGCCTCGTTAGCATTAATTGCCTTGCCTTTTTACCTCCTAGCCTTCGATCGAACTAGTTGAGCCTTAAGGCTAGCGATTTACCTATCCTTTTCGATCACAGACATACGTAGACGGTCGAGTTCTTGAGCGGTCTTTCCCAGGAAGTTGCGGAAGGGCCTCGAGAGCGATTCCTGTCGTGTTGCTCTATATATAGAATCGCTATAGTTTCGCCTGTTACTCGGCGATAGGTAGAGGCCATTATCGAGTGGTTTTCGCTTGCGAGAAGGTGGCGTTCGTGGTGTTGTTTACTCGATTATAGCCGTTAAGAGGACTAGGCTCGATTAAATGGCCTTTTCGGGCCTCTATGGGTAGATACCGCTAGCCTTCCATCTAGCCTTAATGTTTTCTAGGCTAAGGCCCTCCTAGCTAGCCTTCTAATAGATCTCGAGGAAGTTTTCCTTCCTTATTAGGCTTATCTCGTCGAACCTAGCTAGATTAGCGATCTGTACTCGATAACGAGACTTAACAGGCGAAAAACAAGTAAGATCGAGTAGCTGAAGGATATTGCTTAAATAGGGTAGTAAGTAGAATACTATAATATTATTCTGGAAGCATTTCCACATGAATTTATGCGTTATATGACTCTTGTAGCCGTCGAGAAGTAGTAATCGATACCGGCTCTATTCAGTCTCTTCCGTAGCCGTTTAAGGTAGAAATATCTATTTAAGCTAGCCTAGTCCGATCTCGTTTGATGTCCAGCTATTTATAGAGGTAGTATATCGATAGTTAGGGCTCTTATCGTTAAACTAGGAGGTCTAGAGGTCTTTTCCTTTAAAGATAACTAGTGGTTATAGGCGCTGGCCAACAGCGCTAACTATCTCAACAAGAGTAACCTATTCTCGCGTTTTAGGCGATTTTCGAATGCTCCTAGTAGTAGCTGATGTCCCGATAACAGTTTAATTACTGTAAACACCGAGGGCCAGTCTAGATTCGTCTATATTAAACGCGTTAGAAGCAATAATAGAATAGCGCTTAAAAACAGCCTATAGATTACTAAACTACGCCTTAAGCGCTATAGGAAGGGTACAGTTAATACGCTAAACGTAGATCTTCAGGCCTACCTTTGAACGAATATCAGGATGTCGCTGGATAAACCGTAGTAGCCAGTTATGCCCGACGCGTTTAGGGCCGCCGTTATCGCTACTAATTACTCCTGCGAGTTTTCGAATAGAGGTATAGCTGAGTGGGTGTCCTTGTGCCTCGAGGTCCAGTATCCATCTCTTTAAGGTTTCCTCTTGTATATTCGAGAGTAACTGCTGTGATTCGTGGGATAACGACGGCGATTGCGAACCCTTTAGTCTACGACTGAGTATTACATAGTTAACGTCGTTCGCGGCGGCGGCGGCGCGAATCGAGGGATATTTACGTGTCTGATAGTCTAGAATGGCCTGTTAGGTTCTAATCTCGCGATTCGACGTCATTGACGCGTGATAAATCAATAGGAAAGTGGTTGGTTGGTTGGTTATTGAGAGTGGGTTGGTTGAGTTGTTGCATTGAACGCGTGTTACAACTCAGGGTTGTTACATCTCCCGATGCGGGGACTTATATATATATATATATCCAAACACACACACATACACTGATGACGGACTGGTTTCCGTCTCTGTCTCTGGCTCCTTTCATTCCCTTTTGCACGACGGGGTAGCAAGCAGACTGAACTTGTTTGTCAAAGCCGCCAGAGTTGTCGCTATCGGCCTGTGAGAGACATCTCTCTCAAAAAGCATTGGCGGTGGCGGCGTCGTGGTCGAGACACAGATGTTTCTTTTCTTAGATAGCAGAGAAAGGAAGGAGGCCGGCCATCGACCAAACACCAAAAGCTGCGATGAGAAACTGGCTCTCCAGCAATATGCAGATGTAGGATGGCTGGGTAACTGTGCAGCCCAGCTGTCGAAAAGAATTTCGTGTTTCTCATATCCTGGATATCCACCCTCGCTCGAATCTCCATGTCCAACGTCCGGGCAAATAAAACCCAAAGGTGCCCTTGAAGTATACAAAGCAAAAGAGACAAAGCTCACCCACCCAAGCTCAACGTGGAAATTACTCTCCTTCATATCCCTCTCCGACCGTCGGATCCCGAGTGACTCTGATCTCCTGCATCGCGTCATTTCCGTCCCTTTCGCCCTCTAGCACCAGCCCCTTTTCATTCGCCAGGTGTAGCAAGCAAATGAAACAATAGGACGTGCTGATGTCCTTCATTTGGGGCTCGGGATAGAAGGAGCGAAGGTCCTGGATGATATCTGTAAATTTCAACCTTCCCTCTTCGTCGTTGTTGGGTACACCTTCGTCAGCTGACGTCGATATAAGAGGCTCGGTTTCGGGTTGAATGTCATGCTGGGGCTGGTCGTCGATATCCATCATATCGACATCACCATCGTCAACTCTCTGCTGCGCAGTTGCAGCTGGGTCAGAGGGTCGATCAAACACATCAATCAACTTCAATCGCCCTTCCATGCCCTTCCATAGATTCTCCTTTAACCTCCTCACATCGACCTTCTTTGCCGTTCGTGCGTAGTTCACGTACTCGGGTCGGATCCGTCTCCCAGCTTGTGTCACCAATTGGCTGCCGAAACTGCCTGGAAGAAGGTCAGGCTGGCTTGCTCGTTGCGGGTCTTGCTGTGACTGCTGGGATCCCGAAGGATCATGGTCTGCTCCAGCTTCGCCGAGGAGGTTGAGCTGCTGATCCTGCTGTGACTCGGGTTGAGGCGACAACATCTCCCTCGCATCCATGAAAGCCTGTCCGCCATCGTCACCACCTCCATCAATCCCATCGTCGTCATCGTCGTCAATGGGTAATGGGCCATCAAAGGGGAGCATCTGATCGTCGTCCGCGAAGAAGTTCGCATCATAGTCACCTTTTCGGCCCTCATCATCCATATCACTCGCCCCTTCACCAAAGGCGTTTGTGGTTCCAACACGATTCCTCGCTCCGAAACCCTCGTCAATAATGCCCATACCCACACCGCCCTCTTTTCTTCTGATTCTGCCCACCCGACACTTTGGCTTTGTCCATAAGCGCATCAATTTTCTTGGGTCCACCACCTCGTCATCCTTATCCAGTAGATTGCGGCCTTTTGTCCGCCACTGCGATTTCGGCAGGGAGATTTGCGAATTCAAAACAGGGGGTTGTTCAAGTAACTCCGTCAGGGATTCTGACATAGGGCCCAGAAAATCAATCTCATATGGCTCCTTCTCCTTCTTTTGTCTGGCGGGTGGCGCACTTGTGCCACTGGCTTCTTGTTGTGCTTTCTGGATCTTCTGCATTCGCCAGTTTTCGAGGGTGAGAAACGCCGTCTTGCCCTTTGCGCGTGAGTTGAATGCTTTGTCGAAATAAGCCATAATAGACTCATGCTCTGCATCCTCCTGATACTTATGCTGTAAAGACAGTGCGTAACCGTCACCTCCATTTTCCAGAAGGTTGTCATCCACGTCGTCTTTCCGAGCAACACGGGCCTGAGCTTCAATAGCATCTTTCGCCCAGGCTTCTCCTCCTTCACCGAAACCCACGTTGTCTGCGACATCGAAGCCGCCGAGTAGCCCGTCGGCGTCATCATAATCGTCGTCAAAACCCATCGCATTGCTTCCGTCCAGGAAGATTCCTGTCTGGTCGGCCACACTTAGGGGGAGATTTGTTCCAGGTGCTGGTGTCTGCGCTCTTTTCTGTTCTTTCCATTCCTCGGGCACTTTGAGGAAAGGTAGGTTCAGGTCGCCAGACGGGTCGCCCAAGGCAAACGATTTCATAGACGGGCAGATATCCTGTGAGTCCAGTACGCTCATGTCCGGGAAGAACTTGGATGCTAGAGAAGCGAGGTCGATTTCTTCGTCTTGATCATCTGCGACGGGCTCCTCATCCTGAGTGCTGTGACTCGGCTCTTGTTGCTCCGTTTCTTGCGGTGTGTTTTCCTTGTCACCTCCCAAAGCAGCATCTCCCGCATCATCGCTGCTGTCAAACACGATGCGCCCGTCAGAGTCGATGGATAGATGATTCAGCAGCAAGCCCTTAGCTCCCCCTTCGTCAAAATCCGCAGATGCCTTTTTAAAAAGAGGGTCAACCGCAAACTCGAGTTCGAGCTTTTTGCCTTGGAAAGATGCGAAACCAGGTGCGAGTGTGGCTTCGTGGCTGCGCGCCGGCTTCTTCTTAGATTTCTTCTTCCCACCTCCTTCGCCATCCTCACCATCCTCGTCTTCTTCGCCTTCTTCATCGTCATCCTCCTCTTCCCCATCACCTTTGTTTCGCCTTTTGCCACCGTCAGAGGCACCCCCGTCTGCGAGACCACTCAACAGTCGGCCGGTCTCGGTCGCCACACTATCGACTCTGCTCGTGTAGATCTTGACGCAGCCATCTAGCGTGCAGCTCGCCTTCTGAAAGTTGACCCCGTCTCCTTCTTTCAATAGACTCATATCATGGAAATAATCTATCAGAGCAAAATTCCACGAGTTTGCAGCATTGATTTTGTTGTCGGTTGCCATTTTCATCCATTCTTCAAAGTTTGCGAGGATCGGGACGCGTTTCATGGGTGTGACTCCGTTGTCTTCGGCGACTCGGCCCATGCTATTTCGTGGATGTTCGCTCATTTGACGCTGTGGGTTGTTCAACCCCCCTCTTCTTCGTACTTGCGAGCCATAGTCCGACGTTCTTGGAGTTCGGGGTGCATCTGACAGGTTGCTGTAGCTGGACTCTCTTCGTCTCTGGTTGAGTTTGCGCATGGGGCTTGCTGCTGCGCGAATCTCGTTCATATGGATTTCCTGGAGCGCGTGTCGAGATTGCAGCCGAGCAACCTTTTCGCCTTTGTCATCGTTGAGTGCCAATCTGTTGTGAGAGCATCGTAGGTCAGCATCGGCATTCGACACCAATTGCGATCTCGACGGGCCAACAAAGTAGTGCGCATGGCTTCGTATCGCTCCAAATAAATCTGTTTGCGAGAGATGGTCATACTTCACTGGAGAACCCTTGACACTCTCGCGCGCCATATTCATAACAACTGCCTGCCGACTCGGCCGCCCGCTGGAATCTCTTGCGACGCGAGGCATCGTGTCTGTGATCCTGATATTAGGGATTTTGTTTATCTTCGAGAAGGGCGTATGGCCTTCAGATTCACAATGAAACTACCTGTCGCTTCTCCTCGGCTGTTTCAAAGGTGAGTTGTTCGCCTTGCCATCGCCTAATGTATTGTGGTGGACGCTCTCGAAGGTTGTTGTGAGCGTTAAAACATTTGGGGTGGGTCGTTTGTTGACATGCACAAGAACGGTTTAGCGCAGCCACCCATATACACCCACCCACTTGGTCACGTGCTGTGGCTGTGAACCGGCCTGCCGGCAACGGTTTGACGTGGGCGTCCAAACTGCCCGGAATACTAGGTCGTTAGTTCTACTCGGTACAGTAATAGAAGCTGATATAGAAGGGCAGAAATATTCAATTCATGTTCAAGTCGCCGTGTCTGATTGCCTCTCCCGGTCCTCTCTACCTGCTTCCTCGTGCCTCGTCTTCTTCCAATCATCATCTAATCTAGGACTCTCCCCGCAACAGCGCTTGCGCTCCTGTCCTTCGTTTCAGTCTTTCGCAAACCTCTACCTTTCTGAATCTCGCCAAGCAAGGCACCAATATCGCCGGTTCCGGAACGGGCAGGTGCAGGCATTGGTGGTGGTGGCGGCGGTCCTCCCGGGGCATCCGAAGTAGGGAAGGGAGGTGGTGGTGGGGGTGCACCGTAAGCACCGGAGCCTGGCATTGGAGGTGGCGGCGGTGCTGTTGGTGCATTAGTCCCCGGCATCGGTGGAGGTGGAGGAGCGGAAGCGGAGTCAAATGCACCTGGAATAGGTGGTGGCTCTTGAACAGGCGTTTGGGGTTTGCTGTCCATAGCAGACAATGGTCTAGGTGGTGCCATGGTGCCGAATAGAATCGAAGCCAAGTGCTTTGCTGATCCGCCACCCGGGTGATCGGCTTCGTCGTCACTGTCTTCATCCTTTTCCGAACCTGCTGCCGACCATTCATCCTCCTCGGGACGACGTCGTGACTGGGCACCAGTAAAGCTGGGAGTCAATGGCTTAGCGGCCTCCTGTTGAGCAATTCGATGGAAAGGATTTGTCGATGGTAGACTTTCCGCCGGTGGTGCCGGGGCTTGAGGAGCGACTGGTGGAGGTGAAAACGTTTGGGTCTGTGGGACAGGCGGTGGAGAAAAGACTGGCTTTCCATTCTCAGACGGTACTGATTGGGAAAGCTTTCGGAAATATGGGTTCCTGGATTCTTCAGCGGCGGGAGGGCTTGAAACCGGTGTAGGCTCATAGCCACTGCTTGTAGAGTGTTCAACAGGAGCAGCACTTGATGGTGGGGAAGCGACTGAGCCAGTGAGCAATTGGCTGGTTGCTGGAGTGCTCTCTTGAGGAGTAATCTGTTGTGGGCCATCGTCATCGTCGTCTGACGACGAGTCGTCTCCCAACTGCTCCAGTTGAAGCTGGAGTTGCCGCTCTCTCTCTCTAGCCGCTTCAAGCTCAGCTCTTTGTGCAGCGAGCTTGGCCTCCTTCTCCTTCGCCTCCTTCTCTGCTGCCCGCTTGCGAGCCTTTTCTTCCTGTTTCTTGACCTTACCAGCCTTGACTTGCTCTTCAAGCGCACGTAAGCGGGCTTGAGCGGCCTCGCGTTCCCTCTCAAGCTCGTCTTCTTGCGTTTTGGCTTGCGCCCTGGTCAAGTGTCAGTGGATGTCACCCCCGACGATTAATAGGTACTCACTCCAACCGTTCGCGTCCACGCGCCTCTGCCTCCTGCTCGGCCCTGATCTGTGCCGCCGCTTCCTCTTCCGCTTTAGCGCGGGCTGCTGCCTCGGCGGCTTTCTTTGCGGAGAAATCTGTGCTATCTTGCCTCTGCTTTCGAGTGGGTGGAGGAGGCGGCTTCTTGTCAGCTTTCGGACTCGGAGGAACTACTCCCTCATTGTTGAGTCTCTGCTGACGTTCTTGCTCACGTTTGGCATCTTCGGCCTCGGCCCTGCGGAGTTTTTCGGCTCGCTCTTGCTTCTCGCGTTCCTGCCGCTGCTGAGGACTTTCACTAGGCTCCACAGTAGGCTTGAGACCGGCAGCCGCCATTCGCTCTTGGACCCGTTTTAGAGCTTTCTCCTTTGCAGTGGCAATGCGGTCATGGTGCGAGTGGCCTGTTGTCACGGAAGTGGCGGACGTGGTGAACGTTGGGGCTGGTCGCGAAGCCAAGCTGCCATTCGTTGACTGTGCTTCCTCGTGCGAGTAGTCGCGAGGTGGTTGCTTTGCTGGGCGTGATTGCCTGCGCATGTTAGTTTTGTGTGTTTCATTAACATCTGCATGGTCTTACTCCTCTTTGCGAATCTTCGCCGTCCTGCTGCTACGTTGGAGGTCATAGATGAGTTCTTTGATCTGATCTTCCACCCCCAGAGCTTCCTCCCACCTCCTGCGCTCGTGTTCCTGAGTCGCGTTCTCTCCTTGATCTCGCAGTCCATCCTCCAGGCTCGAAACAAAGTCCTTGACGCTATCTTCAACATCTCGAGTCATGGCCTCGTGCCGCTCTTGTTCTGATTTGACTATGGAAGACTCTGCCTCCAATCGTCTCTGCGCACCAGCTTCGTCATCAGTGGCTGGGGGAGGGCGCCCAGCAAGTTCAGCAGCTCGAGCTTGCATCCTATACCGCGCTCGTGCTTTGATGCGATCGGTTTCAGTGACCGTGCCATTAGGCCCGGTTCCAACAATGTTTGAGGAGCTGCTCGGGTGAGCTTTGGCGTCCTTCAAGCGGAAAAGTTGTAACTTGGCTTCAGCAATGTTCCTCTCGACCTTTCTCACGTCTGACGCCAATGCTGGTAGGCGATCCTGATATCGTTGTAGCTCCCTTCTCATTGCCCTCCTTTCTGCGCCTGTATCACCGCCAGCAAGTCCAGCATTAGGGTGCGTGTCAATATCATCCTGGATTCGTCGGATCTGCCTGAAGAGTTCTTCAGCCTCGCGTCTATCTCTTCGATCCAACACATCGTCATCATCCGCTTGTCGATCATCCTGGAAGTCAGTAGCGTCAAGCAAGATCTTCTTCTCACGGATCTTTTTCCTGATTTGATCGGGGGTCAAATCGTCGTAGACACTATCTCCCATATCCGATGACGGAGCTGGGGAGGGGGTTCTACCCCCATGTCCAAGGCGACGTCTGGCGCTTGAACGATACCCAATATCATCGTCATTGTTGCGGAAGACTGTTGCATCCTTGCGACCGAAGTTGGGCGATGCAGAGCTGTTGCGGAACGAGTGGTCCTTCAAATAGCTCACGCCGGTCTTTTGTGGCTGCAGGAATGCGCCAGAGGATTTTCTGGCTTCTGCGTCCTGGGAAAGGAGAGACTTGACGGTGTCAATAGAGCTATTGAAATTCTTTGTTGATGGCGGAATGAGTTCCGGGGGAAGTCGAGCTGGGATCGGATACCCATTCAACTTTCGATAGATAAGGTGCATGGCCACAGCGAACTCGTCCATGTTCAACCGCCCCTTGTTATTCGGATCGGACAGTGTCCAAATGGCCTCTAGATCAGTTCTCTCCAGGCCGCTCTGGCCCATGATTTCAATGGCCGTCTCTCCCGCAATGAAACCTCGACCTAGACCGTCCCAGGCTCGAAAGAGCTGATCATAAATCCTTTTCTCGTCCTTTGTGACCGCCCAAGGGATCTTTGCGGTCCCGGAAAGCCCTTGCGTCGTGTAGCCACCGGCTTCACGACCAGCTTGGGGCATCAGGCGCTGCTGGAGAGCCTCGATGTTGGGCAACCCGCCGGCAGGGGTGTTGACGAAGCCCCATTGACCAGGAAGGCCAGTTGGCTGGGTTTGTAAAAGACCTGTCTGTTGAGGTGAAACATTGGAACCGAAGCCGCTCGTAGGCATCAGTGGCAACGAGGGTCGAGCACCCCCAAAACCAGCAGGCTGGGCAGGATTCACAAAACCAGTAGCTTGAGCCTGCAATCCTTGTGACAGCCCAGGAAAGCCGGTGGCCTGCGGCTGGAGCCCGGGTTGGAACCCTGTGGCCTGGTTGTAGAAACCCGTCGGCTGGGAAGTTAGTTGGGTCAAAAGCTGCTGGTTTGAAGGCTGTTGAGGGGTTGGCTGCTGGGGAGCAGGGGGGGAAACAGCATTCTGCCTAAGCGGAGTATCAAAGTCGGGCACATTCGACCGCGTTGGTGGCAAAGGCTTCTCATCTGGGACACCAAAGGAAATGATATCGACCATGCTTGATACCTCGTTCTTGATCTTCTCAGGAAGGACAGCCGGAAGCTCCTTTCCAGTCAATCTCAGATTGCACAGATACATGGCCAGAGCGAATTCCGGGAAGAGGAGCTGGCCTGATTTGGTGGTATCTGACAGCACCCATATCTGCGACAAGGCACTGCCCGGCAGTTTTGACCTCAAAAGTAAATCTCTAGCCTTCTCTCCACTCAGTGCCTGGCCATCTCCAGCGGCAGACTTGAACAACTGTTCAAATTTCGCTTGATCTGTAGCAGTGATGAAAGACAACCGAATGTTCGGAATTCTATTGGAGCTCTTGCTCTCCCTCCTCTTCGGCGCAGGCGCACTGGGGGAAGAGCCTTGAGTAAAGGAGGCCGCGATCTGGGCCGAAGTCTGCTGAGGACGCAGAGGAGCAGCGGCAGGGGGTTGCTGCGCAGGAGCAGGAGGAGGAGCTTGAAAGGATGGCTGCTGCTGAAAAGCCGGCGCCTGCAGAGGAGGTTGTTGTTGGAATGGCGGTTGCTGCGGTGGATTTTGAGGCGGATAGCCCGTGAATTGAGGTTGTTGCGCAGGAGCCTGAAAACTCTGCTGCTGCTGATAACCTGGAAAACCGGTCGGTTGGGCTTGTAACTGACCGGGGAAGCCGGTGGGCTGCGGTGCAAAGGGTGAGGGTTGCTGTTGTGGAGGAGCTTGACTGAATGAGCCGAATGATTGCTGGGCTCCAAAGCCCCCAGGCGCAGGACCAGGGCGAGCAGAATTTGTGCCGCCCAAAAAAGAATTGGAAGACGAATACATGCTTGCAAACAAACGACACAGACTGCAAAAGCGGATGAAAGACAGAAGAGATGGGAAACTTGAGATAGAAATTGAGTGAGACGAGTAACAGGCAGAGTTAGAGAAGCACCAGAAGCGACACTAGCAACCGACCTCGCCGACCTGGACCTCAGCGGGTTGTGACGCGGTCTTTGCTCCAACATCAGCTCCAGCATTGTGGCTGAGGGAGGTGAGGCTGGAGCTTGGCATGTCGCTGCTTTAACAGACGGTGATTTCCTGTCAACTGCGCCCTGGAAGCACAGAAACCATCATAGCTGACAAGCATCTTCCAATCAGAAACTTGCAGACACGGACAGCCTGAGACAATCACTTGAATGGCAACGAAGTCAAGTGAAAATCACAGAGCAGTGTCAATGGCCTATGTCCCTACTAGATTACTGACGACAAGCTTTGTAGCGATTGACACCCAGTCGCCTTTTCCTTCAGACAAGCCGCCCTTGGTGACCATCTGTCCTGCGCTGCCATTGTTCCTCAGCTGAACGCCAAATTGACTAGCTATTTATGTTGCCAAAAAAAAGGAGCAGAAAGAGCTCCTTTGATGACAAGAATCTCGGCGAATCCAGACAAATCAACTGCGAAGGCTGACTCTGGACACTTATCCGTACGATTCGTTCCATGGAAAACAAAATGCTGCCCGAAGCCCCGAAGCATATTATTACGGCTCCCATGTTGGACCGCAGTGTCCGCCAATCCATCGGCTGAATGGGTACTGGGGAAAACTGCGGAACATCTTTGGTGGAGCAACGCGAGGGATGAACTCCTCAACCTTAAATCTCCAGATCATCTTACCCCGGATGCGGCACCGGTAAGGATCCTGCTGATAGTCTCACCAAGGGATATCCTTTGTCCATGGGGCCCAAAGAGCCCAAAGTTGATGGGAAGGTAGGACGTCAACGAAGTCAACTATCCGTGTACCAGGGAACAGACTACATGGCAATCGCCTTACAATTCCAATCCTAACTATAATTCCTATGTGGAGGGACCAAGAAGGCTCCGCACAATCTGCCCGAGGTTTCGGAAATAATCAAAATGCAGGATACGCCCAAAACTCAGGATGTACCCTGGCTTGCCCTCGATGTCGTTTTACCTAAGCCACTCGCATACCCAGCAGACCAGGGTCCACTATCTCAAAAATCTCCATATACAGCCTCTTTTGCGTCGATGATCAAGAACACCGCTGTGAGGCGGCGTCGCTATCGGTGCGCCGAAGCGTGCAGCACTTGCAAACGTCGCAAAGAGAAGTGTTCGGGAAGCAGACCCTGCGCTCGCTGCATTGAACGTGGCGTTCATTCGACATGTCAATCTCAGTCTCGCCAGACGTCCACGGGTTTCACAAAGCCGTGCAACATCAATCACGAAGCCTCAATCGAGGTCGAATCAATCAGTCAAGATAGGAATGTGCAAGACGGGCCACCACATGAGTCGCTCTATCCTTTAAGCCTGGCGATGAGCAATACCTCTACGAGCTCTGTTCTCGAGACATCCCGGCTCATACAAGACACCAAGGGCAAATACATGTTTATTGGGGACTCGGCAGACTTGTCACTGCTTCAGAACATTTGCAGTCTCGTCGGGACGTGCATCGGACCATGTGCGTTTGTGGAAGATCCTTTCCGATACCAGATGGTCGAGTCGGCGCCCGAAGGTCCCGCTACCTGGCTGCACGCAACAGACCACCGACCTCCTGTGAAACCGAGTTTTGATGAGGCAGCTTATCTGATTCGTCGGTATATCATGGCCACAAACTGTGTGCTGGATCTCTTTGACGAGAGTGACCTCCTCGACAATCTCGCAAGTTGGCTGGAGACTCAACCGCACCACACGTCTGTCTTGAGTGCGATATACTTTCTCGTGTTCGCCATAGGAGCCCAGACATGTCCCGAAGACAAAGATGCACTTGCCAAGGTCTACTTTGATTATGGTCGGTTTCTGACGGCATCGTATTTCATGGAAGATCCCAGCATTCCAACCGTGCAAGCATACGCTATGATCACAATGTACCTGCTGGGGGCGTCTCGAAGAAATGCTGCCTTTATGTATCTCGGAACGGCCGTTCGTGCCGCTTATGCTCTCGGGCTACATCGGTCTGATATCGCCGGGCTCTTTTCTCCCGCCGAGATCAAAACACGGGAGAGGGTCTGGAAGGTGATGCGGATCCTTGACCTCTTTATGAGCACCTCGCTGGGAAGACCTCCGTCTACGGAAGAGACACGGAACACCGAGCTGGACGAGAACTACTCCCCGTCGGTAGACCTGTGCGCCATCTTCGAAAAGATCTTGACCGACATATATGCGAAGCGGATGATCTCCACCGACACAATTCAGAAAATCAGCCAACACCATCGCCGATGGACAGTGCGCTTCCACAGCTATCTAGATACAGACCGGATCAAGGACCAGGAATTCCTCGAGGGCCGGCTGCCAAATATTGGTCTCATACACGTCCATGAAGCGTACTACTGGACTATAATGCTTCTCACTCGGCCGTTCTTTGTGGAGTATATTTCCAGTCGCATTGCACTGAAGGCGCAGAACTGCAGCGATGGAGACAGAAGCCCTGACCCTCTCAGATCTTCCCACCGAATCCAAGTTCACGCTTGTGTCAACTCTGCGATAAGCACGGTGAATCTGTTGAGGAAGTTACTTGGATTTGAAGGTATACCGAAGAGGCTTCCTTTTGTTGTCAATTCGATCTTTGTTTCAGGTCTCGTGCTGGGATTGTCTTACTTCGGTGACTTGTATAAGATATATCCCTTGGATGACAGCCTCGGCACTGCACTGCGGCTGCTTGACCTCTTTCCACACGACGCTGTCGCAAAAAGGAATCTGGTGGTTCTTCAGTCACTGCTAGATGCATGCAAGATCTACGTCAGGAGGAAAACAACAGAAAATATGGCAATTCACTCTCAACTGGTGAGTGGGATGTTTGGACAAATCCATAGAGAGGATGAGAAGGAACATCCGGGCACGACAAGTATTCCGGCGAGAGATACCCGCTCTGTCGACAACATCGAGAACCTCCTAGGTCGACCAGACTTGCATACCGACCAAGGACTGAGCACTTTAACCACCGACGCCAATGGCGAAAATGCTGGATCGCATACGCTCGATGACACAGATATCGATGACCTCAATCTCGAGGTATTGGCTGGTCCCTCTGCATTTGACGATGACATCTCGATGCTACCTCCTATGTCTCCAAGGACATTATGGTTCGGCTCCTACGAGGATAACGTGCCCTTGTTCTCTATGATGGATGAGCGAGATTTCCTGGAATAGTGGTGACTGTTAGAAACGCCTCATTGACTGCTCTTTGTGCAGAAACTTGACTCTTGGATAGTTGAACACTCGGGAAGGATCTGCGCGTAGGGACATAGGTAATATGCCTCCAGCGGCGGACTCAACCGGATACTGAGCTTGTGCCTCTCCTTTGAGCAGCTATAGTGTCTATGCGACTCTTTGCCGACAAGGTCTACTGAGGTCTGCAATGTCGTCTTGCAGCAGTGCGACTCGTCTCATGGCCCTGCAACATCTGTTGTGTCTCTTGTGCCCAGCAGGTTTCGCCAGCGCCCAATCAACAGGCTTGAGAAATAGTTCTTGTCACTTTCCTACCTTGATGACTTACTTCGCACTCAAGACCTCTGGGAAGGGGCATGGGCTGTACCCCCTTCTAGGCCTGTGTACAGAATCCCACCAAGTAGGCTTCGGGCTGGGCATCCTTTCCGAAAACCCTTCGGGCTGTGGATGCATCCATGCATACAAGCAGGGGATTTGCAGAGCGGGCCAATGAGAGGAGATGCCGAAAAACCACGACGCTATGTTTCCGATGAGAATGCTACTCCCCAGATTTCCGACCCCCCAATTCATTGCCGATTTTACCTCCCGACTGATATCGAAACCACTCAGAGTTGACGCTCCCCAGAGTGAGGCTTACTCCATATTCATGCACGACACTGCGGGGTGGCTGACTCGGTTGAAGTCGTCGTCCTCTAGGCCGACACCTAGCCTTGTAAAAGTCCGTTTGTCTGATCCAATCCGCGTTATCAACGTCACCGGCCACGCTCCCTCTTGAAGTTTTCACTCCCGGTGCATGATCGGCATAGTCTCTCAATCGGCTTGACGGCTGCTTCATTGTGACCGATACATGGCTACTGGAGGAAAGTGACCAGCTACTACGTGTCTTGTAATCATATGCATCGACCAGAGAGATCATGCTTCGGATGGCGATGGGAGAAGCCTGTGACCCGGAGATCCATAGTATGGTCGTGATGCTTGTTGTTGAGTTTATGATTTTGGCAGACCTTGCCCAGTCGTTCAGCTCGAGGGCGATATGGTGACTGCTTCCGACCTGTGGAGCATCAGTCTCCCAAGGGGCAATGCATAAGTGAGGTTCACTTGTCCTAAGGATCTGTTGGTTCTTCTCCCATGGGACCTCCTTATCCTTTCGTCGGGAATGGCCTTGATTGGCCAGTTGGCTGAATTCACCATGTCCTCTATCAATGGCATATGGTACTTAAAGCATGAAGCTGCCATACTGAAAACCAGTCCATGTGTCCGGAAAGCCTATTCTTATATCGAAACCGCCTGGAAAACCATCTCATCTCATACTCTGTCTTCAAAACTGCACATCCCGTCTCGGCACGCCTGACATGGACTCCTTACCGCAGACAATTGAGCTCGATGCGCTCATTGTCGGAGCTGGCTTTGGGGGAGTCTACCAGTTAAAAAGACTGCGCGAGGAAGGCTACAAGGTCAAGATCGTCGACAGTGCTTCAAGCTGGGGTGGTGTATGGTATTGGAACCGATACCCGGGGGCACGTGTGGATAGTCCGATTCCTTTCTACGAGTTTTCCGATCCTCTGCTCTGGCGGGACTGGCGCTGGAAGCAGCGGTTCCCCGGCAGCGCCGAACTTCGAGACTACTTCACCTTTGTTGCAAAGAGGTGGGATCTAGACAGAGATGCCATATTCAACACTATGGTGACCGCAGCGACGTGGGACGATGAGAATGCTAAGTGGCACATAACGACCAAGGGAGGCCCCAGCTTCGTTGCGAGGTACCTCCTCTTGAATACCGGATTCTCGGCCAAGAGACATATCCCCGACTGGCCTGGCATCGAGAAGTTCCGCGGGACCTTTGTCCATCCTTCATACTGGCCCAAAGAAGACCAAGACCTGCAGGGAAAGAGAATCGCGGTAATTGGAACGGGGTCGACTGGAGTGCAACTTGCTCAGGAGCTGAGTAAGGTGGCCAAAGACTTTGTACTTTTCCAGCGGACCCCGAACCTGGCAATACCAATGAAGCAGGTCGAATACACTGGCGATGAACAGATTGTTCCACTCCGAGAGTACCCAGACCTCTTTGCCGGACGGATCAGTTCCTTTGGTGGGTTTTCGTACAACTTCTTGCCACGGGCCACGTTTGACGACACCCCGGAGAAAAGGCGAGAGACATACGAAGAGCTTTGGGCCAAGGGAGACTTTCACTATTGGCTCGCGACATACTATGACATGCTCTTCAATGAAGAGGCCAACAAGGAAGCATATGAATTCTGGAAAGCCAAGGTGCGCGCCCGCATTCACGACCCGGACCTACAAGAGTCGCTTGCACCCGAGATCCAGCCGCACGCCTTTGGCTGCAAGCGAATCTCGCTGGAGAATGGCTACTACGAGATCTTCAGCCAGCCCAACACGACGCTGGTCGACATGAAGAGGACGCCGATTGTCGAGTTTACGGAACGCGGCATCCGGACCGTCGACCGCGACTTCGACCTCGACTACATTGTCTGCGCGACGGGCTTCGATGCCATCACCGGCGGGCTGAAGCAGATCGACATCTCTGGCGTGGGTGGCCAGAAGCTTGCTGAGAAGTGGGAAAAGGGCACCAAGACGTACCTGGGCCTCTGCGTCGCGGGTTTCCCCAACATGTTCTTCACCTACGGGCCCCAGGCCCCGACCGCCCTCTGTAACGGCCCGACCTGCGCCGAGGTGCAGGGCGAGTGGATCGTGAAGACGATCAAGGACATGGACAGCTCGGGATTGAAAAAGATCGAGGCCAACCCCGACGTCGAGGACGAGTGGGCTCAGGATGTCTGGAAACTGGCCAACGCGACGCTGTTGCCAAAGACCAAATCGGTATGTGGCTCTTTTCTTTCTTGATTTCTTTAACCTTTCCTTGCCGCTTCCCTTCCCTCAACCCATTTACCGCGTTTCCCCCTTATTTATCCTTTTCCCCATTCGTTCGATCGCATTTCTTGCTGACGAAACTTCGGCAGTGGTACATGGGCGACAATATCCCCGGGAAGCCGAGAGAGCCGCTCATCTACCTGGGCGGTGTGCCTACTTACTACAAGACCATCAAGGAATGTGCGCAGCAGGGTTACAAGGGGTTTACGCGTGTGTAGGATAGGATAGATACCTACCTAGATAGGTAGATGGACAGGTTGGGGAGCCTCGACTCAAGTGGCATTGTCACTCGAGTGACTCATACGTTCTCTTTTCTATTGGGTTCAAGAATAACGAGTCCATGTGATCAACCAGCATGTCATAATGTCTCTGTTGATGCTGTGCGATGGTGTGCTATGGTATATGATGTTTTGAACCTCCTTCATATGCGTAGTGTCCCATCATCACCGCTGTCAAGATACCGTCCCCGACACTGTCCGATTAAACGCCCTCGAATCCCTTAAATTCCCAACCGACCCCGACCGCGCCCGCCGCTAATGGTACAACAGGGGTATCGTATGTGATCCGCCCGATCCGTCAAATCTCGTATCTTGGCTTTGGGGGCCGGACCGCACTGGCACGTCAAGAACAAACGAACCATGCTGGCTGGCTCGCTGGTCGGCTTGCTCAAGCAAGAACGCCTTGAGCCTTGAGCCTTGGGATTCACTGATCACTGGCCGTTCTGGGCACCGCCGACCATCTTCCTCAACTCGTACTCTCTTGTAAAGTTTGTCTTGAGCACGTCTAGGTCGTGGACCAGGTCGCGGGAGCTGGCCAGCACGGCTTCTTTCGGGGTGATTTCGCCGTCGGTCTGGACTCGGAGTTCGAATTTCGCGAAGAGAGGATGCGGGATCTAAAAGGAACGAGGTTGTGTTAGTATTTGCGTGTGATCCCACGAGGGCTGGCTGGGGGGTTTTGCGCATGACGCACTCGATAAGCAGCAAACGTGACGTGGCTATTCTTCAGAAGCTTGTCGCGCAGGAGATTGGCGAGGGTGTGGTCTTCCTTGTTGAAGGTGAAGATGGTCGTGTTTGGAGTACCTGCGTCGCGTGGATCAGTTAGGACTTCACCAGGCGCTGTCGTCAATGCGAGACTTACGGGTGTCGATCTTCTCTTCAATCTTCTTCTCATCATCTCCAAGAAGGAAAGCCTCGGTACTATTTGCCCAACAGTTAGCATGTGTCAGGCCCATATTTTGAAGTAAAACATGTCGGGAAAGCAGGCACGCGTGATTGCTAGAGGAAGAATTTGGCCAAGGGTTCGGGATCCAGCTATTCGCCTGTCTCTTGCAAAATGCGCACCACTCAAGTCTGTTGATTTCCTCATGGTGCATCTGCTCCAGTTGGAAGAACTGGTAGCGACGGTTCGCAGGGTGGTTCCTCCAGGCAGAGCCGTCGATTGGCCAGCCACCGGGCCCGGCGCCAGGATAGGTACCGGTATTTGAACGTGGTTTGGATGGCGAAGATAGAGAAGCCGGATCCGGTATGGAAGGCAAACCAGGTTCTTCCGTGCCAGCCATCTCGACGGGATCCTCGGTCGCAGCGGTGGTGGTGGTGGTGTTTGCACTCCCAGAGCTATGAAATTGTGTCAAAAACAAATCGAGGTTTCCTTGGTGGGCCTGGGTCCAAGTCCAGATTCCAGAACCGATCCAGGTCCGAGAGGCCAGAGGAAGCGCGACCGTGGAGAAATTGAAACTTACGTTGTCGGGATGTTGACACTGTTTGTGTCAATTCCGGAATTGACGCTTCCCCGGTATTTATTCTTTGGATGATCAGGCCAACGCTGGTTTTCGACGATGATAAGTTGGCCAGACAAGGTTCGTCTAGGTGAGAGAGTATCCATAGGAGGAGTCTGGTCATCCGTGGCCGCAGCCAGGTCGGAAGAAGTCTCGCACATGGATGATGACAGTTTCTCTGACAGGAAGTTTTTGAAAGGCAGTTCCGAGAAATGGCGAGATACCAAAGAAGGATAAATTGTTGGGCGAGGCAGCAGATGGCGAAGGTGAGGTCTGATCTTCAGGCAGGCAGAAAAGTGCGCCAAGGCCAAGGTTGTTTGACGCAGGCAGTTTGCAAGGAAACACATCACGGTAACCAACAGGCCATTTGAGGCAGACGTTGTCCAGGCGTATGGCCCTGTTACTTGGGCGAAACCAGGGGGTTTGGAAGGGTGGAGGACGTTTGCTCTGTGTGCTCGTTGCTTTGTGTGTGAATCAACCACCTCTTTCACCCCCTTTCCTCCTCATGTTTTCTTCGGCTCTCAAACCAAGTGGTTCCAAGAAGGACAACGAGAGCGTGCAAGATCGACAAACAAAAGAAAGCCGAGAACATACCGGTCAGGGGCATTCATATTTTCAAAACGAGATGGAAAATATCCAGAAGGTCCAAAAGACAGAAAAGAAAAAACAAAGAGATCCTAAATTCGACGGGCTAAAGCGACGGTGACGTCTGAAGACAGGGGAGGCCTAAGTAGCAAGCTAGATCATAGATTGAAGGACACAGAGCAATGGCAACAAGAGATGGAATGATGAAGACGTCGTGTCTCGCTGGCCTCGTCGATCTGAAAAGTCGGAGTCGATGAATCGGGAGACAAATCATGCAAAAATGCCAAGGGTCATGTGACTATCAAATAACTGACTCGGCGCAGCCACTTTTTTGTTCGGTGCTTGTTTTGAATCCAGGGACTGAGTTCAACCAACGACATCTCCGCGGCCGGTGCCATGGATCCTCCAATTGGTTGCTTTGGACTATTCTCCGATTCCTGTCCTTGATCTTTGCGCCATGGAAAGCTCCCTCCGCGGACCACAGGACTGAGAATCCACGCAATGCTGTCACACCTTTTGCCTTAGAAAACCCGGGAGTCAGCGGTTTCAGTTCTGACCTGCACGTTGAGATTTGCGGCATACCCATCCTTACTTTCGCAACTGAGTTCGGCAAAGAGCTCTCCCTCTCTGACGTTGTATAGGTCTGGTTCTTTTCAATTTACTAGCTCCTGTGCAATAGTCTTGTAAAACTCGTCAGACCAGGTGCTCGTTCAAGCATGCCGTCCCATGCACTTCACGATGACTATCCATGGACAACCGCCGATCTCCCATTGGTGGTATCGGCGCCTATGATGAAAATCACAATGGGTCGTCTGGCAGTCTCTGTGTCTGCGAACGGCGGTATTGGGTTCCTGGCGGGTGGCTTCGACCTCTCTTCTCTGCTGCAGAACCTCTCCGAAGCAGCAGAATATGCAAAGTCCACAAACGTGCCCCTCCGTGACGGGCTACTCCCCATCGGCGTGGGCATCCAGAATTGGGGTAGCTCCCTCGAACTGCTCTCCGAAGCCCTGGAGAAACATCCCGTCGCGGCGGTGTGGTTCTTCGCGCCCACGCACCTCAGCGATCTCCTCGACTGGGCCAAAGCTGTCCGCCACCTGAGCAACGACCGCACCAAGATCTGGGTCCAGGTGGGCACGGTGGCCGAGGCGATCGAAGTCGCCAAGACCACGAAACCGGACGTGTTGATCGTGCAGGGCTCCGACTCGGGCGGTCACGGACTCGCGCAGAGGGCCAGTCTGCTCACGCTCCTCCCCGAAGTGAAGGACACCTTCGAGAGGGAAGGCATCGACATCCCCGTTCTCGCCGCCGGTGGCATCATGGACGGACGCGGCGCCGCGGCGGCGCTGGCCCTCGGTGCCGACGGCGTGTGTCTGGGCACACGGTTTCTCGCGTGCGATGAGGCTGTCATCGCAAAGGGCTACCAGGACGAAGTCCTCCGCGTCACCGATGGAGGGACCAGCACCGTCTCGACCACCATCTACGACGTCGTCAGAGGCATCCGCGGCTGGCCCCAGGCGTACACGGGCCGCGGCGTCGTGAACCGCACCTACCTGGACGCGGTGCACGGCGGCATGGGCGACAAGGAGAACGTCGAGCTCTACAAGCAGGCCATGGAGATGGGCGATGCTGGCTGGGGCCCCGAAGGGAGAATGACCACCTACGCGGGCACGGGGATAGGATTGGTCAAGGAGGTCAGGCCCGCAGGGGACATTGTGCGCAGCGTCCAGCGAGAGGCGGTACAGGTCCTACAGAAGTCTGCTTCGAGATACGGGAAATGAAAAAGATTTATTGTTTAGCCCTCCGCTCTCTTCCTTCTAGGGAGTGTGTTGCGCGCTGAAGGACCGATTACACAATTTTTGTTTTGACAACTAGTTTCTTCAGTTTCCGGGGAGGCTGTACTCTTGAGCCGCACTGTGCACTAGGCTTTTCATCAAATATACATACCGAATATTCGTCCTCTCATGCACACGATACGCGACTGTTCCACCATTCCCGTTTCTTCCAGCCAGCTCAAGCGACAAACCCAAGACGTGAGAACGATCGCTTCGTGTCCTGTGCTCGTCCCTCTCCATTTTTCTCTCTGCTTGATTGATACCACGGCGGTCTAATCCGGACGGCCTTGCGGAGAAAAAGAATCCAAAACGATTTTCTTTCTCATGATGCCGTTGCGGGGACGGGGCCTTCGCCGCCCGGGACTAACTGTTCGCGGAAATCAGTCAAAATAAATCTTTGTAGAAGTGTGCCAAGTGCGCAGGACGATGGGTGTAATATGAAAGGTTGAGAGAGGGGGCCGGCAATTGTTGAGAGAAGAGATGCCTAAGCGAGGACAAGAGAATATGGGTTTCGTGGACAGTGAAAATTGAGGAAAGTAGAGTATGCATTGATACGTTGGTGGAGGGAGGAGGGTTTGTAGACCTCCTGTCAGACGTACCATGCAGATGTTATTCCCGTTCAGTAGGATCTTGGGCAGCCGTGTTTGAGCCCCGGTGTAGTCACTTTTTGAGAACTGTCAGCCTCGCTTCACTCGAATACTTATATCGTGTTGGGTAGGGCACAGTGTGTGTATGTGCGAGAAAATGCCAACACCAAGAAAGACCACAGATGAGCAAGACTTACAATTCAATCACGTCCTCGAGAACCATGTCTAATACACAGCGGAGAAAAGGAACATGGTTAGCAGGTATATCCTCTTCCTCGTGATTTTGACATATCTCCGCTCTCTTGCAGGGCATCTAGCCCGGTATGGGCGATCCGGGGAAATACTTACTGACATAGTCGTCGAACCCGATCAATGTACCGGCGAATTCTGCACATCGACAATCAAAGCGTCAGTCAAAAGCTCAGGAATCAGAAATACAACTGGAGAATCTCCAACACAGAACCGCCGATGGGCAGTGGACCCTTAACAAGACTCCGGTGAGATATTCGGCACGGACCCATTGACAAAATCCACGAATCGGTTTTTTTTTCTGCACTGTGCAGGAATTCAAAGATGTGTACATCTGCCGCTCCCTTCCTTACCTTTGTCGCCTTTCATGACGATCCAGATCCTCGAGCCGACGCACTTGTCGATCAATTCTGTTCCCAGGACGTGGTCAGCCTCTAGCTATCTGAGTCTCTCCACGCAGAAGGACAATATGCGGTGAACTATGGGGATATACCTAGGGGCAGGAGTTGCGACGCCATGGGTGTTGGCTTGGTAGTTAACATGGAATTTGTGGGAAAGGAGGGAGATTGGTGAGCTGTTATCTCAAGGTGTATTCATCGAGATCCAAGGTGGCTTCGAAGACTCAGAGGAGATGATGGGTTCTGCGATGGCGAGTGGTTGACGGAACGAAATCCAAATTGGCAAAAGAGGTTGATGTCAAGGCTGCGACTGGGAAGAGCCTTGCGCCAAGACCGGAGCGGAATAATATGAAGCCGGAATCTATGCTATCTCACTCGCCAGGTGCCTTGGGACTTGGGTACATACTGTACATGATGATAGTCTTGAACATTATGTATAGTTGTTTATTATGATTATGTACGGGGCACTGAAGCTCTCGTTTGCCCAGAATCTCCCAACGCCGTGCTTTTCTCTCATGATATCATTCTCCGTCCATCACGACTGATCATAACTCATCATTCGTAAATGTCGCATTGTATTTGCCTCTCGACCAGTCCCATGGATCTCCTCCAGGGACACAGAGACCCAGTCGCCAAAAGTAGTCACGATGAGCAAAGAACAGCTGCCAGAGTTTGTAGCGTCGACCAATCTCCCACATTCCCTTGACCTCGGAGGCTGTACCGTTTTCTCTCCGAGCTGCGGATCCTACCTTCTCGATCTCGGTCGATGCACTCTCGGCAATACAACCGGGGTCCTCATCACCCACGCAATGCTGAATATCGGCACGGCCAGGAGGCAGCGCGGCTTTGGAGATGTATATCTCGCCGGCATGCATTCTGTAACCCCATTCTTCCAGTGGTAACAGCGGCACTGGATCATCCACATGTGTGACTCTGCGGTAGGTCCACTGGTCCGGGCTTGTGGTATTCAAGTTGAAACGTTTGTCGATGAACTGATTCAGAGCTAGATTTCCGACCCGTGGCTCGCCAAAAGTCGTGACGTGAGGATCCCACCCCCTCGCTTGAAACTCCAGAGACGCCAACGCTGCGACGGCGCCCCCAAGTGAATGACCAACCAGCACAAGTTCGTAGTCAGGATTGTCCCTCAAGGCCATTTCTACGTGTGGAATGATGATGCAGCGTGTGTTCCGCCAGGATGTCATGAAGCCCGAATGAACAGTGCAGTTGAGACACTCTGTCGGCATCGAATTCCTCTTTTCTGGCTGCTGCTTCAGTAGCTGTGGAAGTATAGAATGCTTTTCATTTTGCCACTGTGCCGTGGTGCAGAACGAATCATTATCTCGTTCCGAAGGGAAAGGGGCATATTCGGCGGGGTTTGTCGACAAATCTGCAATTGTGTTTGCGATAGAGTAGGTACCTCGGAACGCCACGATGACTCGTTTCGGGTAAGGGGGATGCGACAAGGCAATATAGCCAGACGAATCGGACAGGAGAGGGCCGGTGTTCCAGGTGGTGACGAGCTCGAAGCCCTCAAAGTCGCTACATCGACTCAGGCATTTGAAGGGCTTTTGTATTCCCGTCGTCCCGACGCAGTAGGATATGTCGACAATGCGCGCGAGTTCTTCCAGGGACTCAAAGGTCTGTTGGGAGATTTCTCTGTCATTTGCTCGTAGGCGTGCTGGAAACGCTCTAGCGAACGCTATCCATGAGCATACCCAGAAAACAGGCCAGAAGCTGAGCATTGGGAAGTACGATTACTTAGAACCGAGGTCGGCGAAGTGTTCATGGCCTTACATTAGGAAAAGGGAGAGGATGTGTCGATACATGAGAATCGGTCAGGTGCAGTTGTTCGGGAGAAAACCGAAGATGAGTTGATGCTCGTATTTTGCTCACATGACCTTGACGTCACAACCTCTTTGTTCCTGGCGGCTCCTCCCGCCGCCTCCGCTTTCTGTATGTGCGAAGCAACGGGTGGGTATCAAATCTGCTCGGTATGTATCTTTCAGCGCTATGGTATGAGACTGCTCGCAGAGTCTACGTGACGTACGCCCGCTCTTTGGAATTAGCGATATTAAGAACAAGGCGGTAGCTGGTGGTAGACAACACACTGGAGCAGGGGACCAAGTGACCACTAAGTGGCAGGGAAAGGGGAAAGGACTGGATCACTGCAGTTGAAGCAAGGCTTGCTGCTTATATTGATTTTCAAGGCGAACTAGGCAACGGGCTCATAGCTGAGTGCCCCCTTCTTCGTTGCCAGAACTCCCACTACCGCTCAAATCATCATCATCGTCAAATTTTGCAAAGTCATCATCAACTGGTTCTTCACTTCCGTTCGCTTCCTCTTCCTCTTCCTCGTCATCACTGGACGAAGAGTCCTGTTCGGCACCTGACTCAAGTGAACTCTGATCAGCTGTTGCGGGTTGATCTGCCTTCCTCTTACCAGGCATCTCACCCAGCCGGCCTTCTCTCCCTTCAATTACTTCTGTTGACGGACCGTCGTCGGTTCCGTCAGCTCCCTCTTTCTTCGGTGGTGGCGTGAACCAGGGAATCTTCCCGCGCAGGAAATCGTTCAGAACTATCTTGGCAACACCGTCTACATCAGGCTCGCCACCTTTTAACAGTCTGCCACCCTTTCTGGCTAGAATGCTGAGAAATTCTATCGGGTCGTCATTGTAATCCGCAGCTTTGATTTCGTACGTCCGCTCGATATGGCGAGTCTTCGTTCGCCGCAAAACGGCCTCAACATATTGTGCGGGATGCTCGACATTCTCCACACGCACCACTCCACGTAGTAGGATGTCTTCTTCGGAATCGCCTTGGCTAGGAGGAACAACTCCAGGACAATCGATCAAATAAATTCTCTTCATCAATGTGATGTATTGCCAAACCTTGGTCTCGCCAGGGATTGGAGCGACAGTGCAAACTCGCTTCTTTCGTAGTGTGTTGATGATTGAGGATTTGCCGGTGTTTGGATACCCAATGAAACCCACCGAGATCTGTTTTCTCGACGAATGCAGCGTGGAGAATTGTCGCAGGAGCGTGATAAGCGAGCCTTTCCCAAAGGAATTCGTCATTGACGCGTGGAAAGCCAGGGTGGGATATTCTTTGGAAAGCAGTCTGGTCCATTGAGCCTAAAGACTTGGGATTAGTATGGATGTGTGAGACATTACTAAGAGACGTGCCATGGACAAAGAAAGCAAACCTCAACTCAAACGAAACACGCCATGCGCTCTGATGACATATACGCTTCCAAGACGGATGCATTTGTCGAGAACCGCCCGTGAGGGTGGCGAGCGCGGCTTGATGTACCAAAGCTGTAACAGGCTGCTTTCATTGAGGAAAAATTGCGATAACGCAGAAAGGAGCCTTGACTTAGCGATGGAGGGGACGTTGTTTTGCGTGTGTACGTAGGACTTTGGAGGATTGCTGAGCAGAAGGAGAGGTAATCTTACCGCTATGCTTGTCGGCACCAGATCGCACTTGTTGAGTACGAAGACCAAGTGCTTGTGAGGTGCCTCTTCTCGGATGTACTTTTCCACACTCCGACATCTTGTGCCCTCAGGATCTCGGGCGTCCAACACGTGAATAACGACATCGGACGAGTCAATGACCTTGTACAACTCGTTCCAGATCCTTTTGCTTTGGCCTTTCGAGAAGATGGGCTCGCGGGCACTGGTTAGCTCGCCGTCTTCTTGTCCTTGCATTTGTTCTGCAGTTTGTCCGCTCAGCAGTTTGTTCTCTTCCAGCCTCTCGAGGTAGTTGTCGTGCATTTTCACCGACTCGTCAGCCAGGTCCGCCACAGAGCTTGCACTTAGTTTGACACGCTTCCGCTGCGACTTGGGACCGAAGGTGTCGGCGAACGGAGTAGACTCCACCGCAATCTTTGCCTGGTGTTGTTTGATCCCGTTCTTGGTATTCTCCGCGTCCCGAATCAAACTCATCGGTAGCTTGTTCGTCTTCAGAAGGACTTGGTAGGGATCCGCTGCCCGCTCTGCCACAGCTTGTCTGAAAGATTCGAGTGCATCCTGGGATATGACTCTCGTGTTTCCAAACCACTTGCGATTCGGCTCGACTCTGGCCTTGGGGACCTCGCGGGACTGGTAAGAAGCGGCTTTCGTGATCTTGCCGTCGGCATTCCGCTGCGCTTTGCCATCTTTCAGCATGTTCAGGGTCTTGAGCTTCTTGGCATTGCTGAGGATTTCTTGTTAGCGTTGATCGGCCTGGTATTGCTCGCTTGCATCTGCACGCACCGATAGAAGTTCTCGCCCTTGACCTTGACGTTTGCCATCCCGTCTGTCGACTGGCCCTGCCGCTCACGGCGAGCGGCTTCTTTCTTTCGAGCACCCATTTTCGTGTAAAGGCGCTCGTACAACGGCAAGATAGGCAAAAAGGCAGGGAGATTTATTTACTAAATTAAGAACTATCTACAATATAGTCTGGAGGAGAAAAGTTGAAATTTTCGGTTGAACTTCGGGGGAGCGACAACGGCCCTTGCGGCTTGGCAGGGAATGACCCAACACTAGGATCCACCAGGTCACGCCGCTTTGAAACTATATTGTAGACCATTCCTCAATTGTGTTGCTCGCCAGCCTCCTTCTTACGACTCACTTCCCTTTGCCCAGATGTTGCCTTCTGTATGATATCCACCAGCATACTGAGATGGCCACTGGCTCTTTTCGAAAGAGACCTTCGAAAACAGCACCCGAATTACAGATATGGCTCGCTCCCGGTGGTAATATCATCCACTGGTGATGCTCAGCAGCTCCGCTAGCCACACGTCGTTACCCTGCGGTAACTCGATCACGCAACAGTATACACCTTCAGGGCCTTACATACCAATACCTTCCTCCCCTGAAGGGTGTCCTCCTCCAAACCATCTTTCTTGACGCGAATCTTTGCGTTGTTCATTTCCAAGATCCGCCCTCCGGTTTCCCTGGGGTCAGGATGCCACGAACTCATAGTTCTTCAACCCAGGCGTTCGGGCTTGTGTGGCTACACCTGTGGGCCTGGGCTCTCCTTTCGAGAGCCAGTGTTTTGTTGTGTAGTAGTGAAGACATTGGTAGGGGTTCTTGACAACACTGGGTTCTACGACGGAGGTGACTGTTCCGGCATAGATGGTGCTTCCGAAACTGCTGGAACCCTCGAGATCTGTGGTCGAGGGAAGATGGGATTTGAGTAGATTGCTTGCGAAGTAGTGTCGCTTATTTGTGAAAAGGGGATAGCTTGCTTCGTGTGAGATGGAATAAGTTGCTTATGGAATACCCTCAACTGGTCGGGAGATGAGATCTGCTGAATTGGCAGTGGTAATTGCTGGCCGAAGGACTTCGCCTCTCCACACTCTCACGATGAATTTGTCCTCCACGTAGAAGGAAGAACCTATAGCAGTGCCCCTTCAACAAAGCAAGTACCAAGTTCGGCACGCCGTGGTGCATCACCTAGGTTGATGTGGTAGTCTTAGACCGGAAAGTCGACCTTGAATTGCTTGAGGCATCTCTCGATAAAAGCTTTCTTGTCGGGAAGTACCGCTTGCCCTTTAATGCTGCATAGACAAGAGTAGTCTTATACGTTGAAAAGTCTTGTTTATGTGCCTGATATAGCGTTGAGAATTCCATCATCTTCGAAATTAGGTTGCGATCACCAGCGTCTAGCTCCTTATATTCGGGACCAGGATGCAGTGGAATGTGTGCTGCGATTGTTGCGACAGGAGACATCAGACACACCACGAAGCAGGAATTTAAGTCTTCGGTAAGGAGGCATCGATTCAAGGTTGTAAAGTACAGATATTTGACTTCATTCATGCCAAACCTCGAGGCTAGACGTGACGCTGCGACCTTGTTGTAGGTGGGAACCCCTTCCGCCATTGTCTTGGTTGAGCCTCTTCTCCCTTGGGATCGAATGGAAGAGTGGACAGAACCCGCAGCCTTTGTCTGTCGCGGACCCTTCTCCACCTTTGCTACAGAGCATAAGTAGAAGTGATAGCGAGGTTAAGTGACAGAGCTTTTGATCCTTTGCCGATTGGGCTTCGATTGAATCATGGCGGGCAGGGTTTGTACGTTGAAGTCTGCTCGCTGAGGCGTGTGCCAAGAGTTGTCCATGCAGTGGCAGCCCGATGTACTAGCCAGTAGAGCAGTAGACTCCTATAGATTGGCTGATGAGGCATCGAATTAGATTCCCTGAAATCACTGGGCACGGCGGATGTCAGACCAATCGACGAACTGGGACGCAAGTTGAGTAACGGTCCTCAGAAGCTATCCTGCAACTCTTTCGACCTCTTTGCCCTTGACATTAACTCCGATCATGAGGTGGAGTGAATTTATCCGTGACTCCTTGGTCATAAAGGTGACAATATTCGCTCGTCGGTAGAATTATTAATCCCATGACCCAAATTCTCGAGTTGCGGAAGTTGCCCAAGGTATCTGGGATATTCATATTCGCGCCATACTTGAGCAGTAGCTGGACGAGTCGCACATTCTTCGCCTGTACGGCTTCATGTATGGGCGTTGCTAGTCCAAGACATTCGCGCTGAGCGAAGGAACGCGAGTGGTTTTCAAACATCCGGGCATTGATCGGAGTTCCCTTGTTCAGGAATAAAGTAACGATGTCATTCGAGCGGCCATTTATCACTGCATAGTGTAGAGGTTGTCCACGGTCGGCGGAAGCGCCGAGTTTAAATAGAAGCTCAATGACTTCTTTCGAGGCTGACGCGGCTGCCACGGAGAGAGCGGTGATATCGAAGTAGCAGGTGGCGTTAGGGTCTTCCCCATGCTCGACGAGCCACTGAACGAGTTCCGGATCAGATAACGCAAGACTAAAGGATTGTTAATAGTGAGGGACCAGGAGAAAGGACGAGCGAGGGTACCATAGGGGTCCAGGACAGTCTGAGCGTAGTTGCTGATTAATATCGCAGCCATGCTGTAACAAGATCTCGATCATATAGCGACTGCTATTTTCAACCGCCGTGACGAGGTTATGCTGAGTAGGCCTAACGAGAGTGAGGAGACTGTCCACGATCAGCACCTCGTCATTCTGAACTGCCGTGTCGAAGGCCGTCCATAGATCTATGGTCGCAAGGTCATCCAGGGGGAACGCTAAATCATTGATCAGCCTTTCGACCTCGCCCAGATCTCCCGCAGCAGAGGCACGTGTGAAGGGACCTTTGCCGGCCGACATGGTGGATGTTGAGGTGATGGTTAGGAAGAAAGGTTCGATCCACAGTCGTGTTGTTCTCCCAAGGCTTCCGCACTCGTCACGTGACACAAGACGTGGTTGGCTGCGCGACGAAATCCCGCACTTGAACTCCGCGACGCCAGCAGCGACGAAGTAGAATAAACCCTCTCCTGAAAATTTCCGACCTTCTAAGAGACATCTCACCTCCTCAATCCTGCTGCCTGCTGGCTTCCCTCTCACGACGACAAGGGCTTCGAAAAAGTCTGATAACGACGGCCAGGCCTTGTGTGAGTGATACATGTTGTCTGCAACAGCCACGCCTACTCACTTGGGTCTCGGACTCTGTAAGTGATGGCATTTGGGCCGCGTGGCTGACCAACGTAGAGCAGTATCAAGATTAACGTACGGCTCCTCACACGTGCCCTGAACTCATTTCACTATTATTGCTACTACCTACTTATCTCCTCGTGCCTCTCGAGACCTTCCCTGAGCCTCCAGACGAGCCGCAAGCCACCCCGTCAAGAATAGACTACCGTTCCAGGTGCGGGCAGAGCGCCCGTCAACAAATAGTCCATGATGATGTCCATGGCCTCTCCGCCCCCGTCGACGAGAAAACTCCCATGGCCCTCACCGTGCCTGGTCAACAGCACACTCCCACCGATCTGCCGCTGGACATTCACCGCGCCGGAGTATGGGGTCTCGGGGTCCCACAGTGCATTGACCAGCAGCACCGGCGCCGAGGTATTGGCAATGTCCAAAGGTTTCGGCGGATTCGACACGGCGGTGGGCCATCGTGGACAGTAAAGCATCCAAAGATCCCAGGCTGTGGCGCCGACATAGTCTCCCCCTTCCGGAGCGCCGGTCAATTCTCGCTCGGCGATGAGCCGGTTGGCAAAGTCGACGTAGGTCTCGTTGGTGGACCAGTCGTTGCATCCGATCATGAAAGACCAGGCTGAGGACGTTTCTTCAGTGACAATAGGGGCCGCTAGGACGGAATAGTTCCCTTGGGCCATTTCGGTGATGGCCTGAGCTAAGCTGGGGAAGCTGCGGGTGAAGTCGAGCTGACCGCTGAAAAAGCTCAATAGTTCCTGGCGAGTGACGTTTGGGTAGCAATTCCCACTCTGGACACATTCAGTCAGGGTGGCGGGGGTCTGGTCCAACTGCTTCGCCAGGTTGAGGAAAAGCGTCTTCACGTCCTGGCCGTACAGCACCGATGACTTGTTCGTGCCGGCCCAATCATAAAAGAAATCCGCCGCGAGTCCGAAGCTAATGGCGCTGTCAACAATGAGGTTCTCAGGCTGGCTCGTGTGATCCAGCACGCTGTCGAGCGCCAATGTTCTGATCTTATTGGGGTAGAGCTGTGCGTATTGCTGGCCACGTTGGGAGCCTTTGACACGTTAGACATGAGTTCGACCGAGCCGGTGAGTAAAACTACTTACCCCACGACAGACCATAGTAATTGATCCCGCCCTCGCCCAATGCCGAGCGGAGAGTCTCGAGGTCCCTCGCCGACGTCAATGTGTCGAATGTCGACCATATCTCTGCCCCGGTCCGATTTTTACAATCACTGCCAAAATCCTCAAAAAACTCCAGGGTCTGTTCCCATTGTCGCTCGGTCTTGGGATAGCTCAGGGCCGAGGCAAATTGATTCCAGCGCTGCGGGTCGCACTTCATCGGGTAGTTCACGCCGACGCCGCGGGGGTCCAAGGCCACGACGTCGAACCGCTCTTGGATCCTTTGCCATCCGACCTGATTGTCGTAGCTGATGAGGTGTGCGGCGGTGGGGTAGCCTGGGCCGCCTTCCTGGAAGACCAGGGTTCCAAGACGAGCGGACGAGTTTTTTGCGGGGATTTTGACGACGTTGAGGGTGACGTTCTGCTCGTTGGCCTGGCTGTAGTGCAAGGGCGCTGACAGTTCTGCACATTGGAAATTTTGTGGGAACGGAGACGGGCAAGACGTCCAGTTGAGGGATGAATTGGTAGACGGAGCAGTTTTGGTCGGCGCTGAGATTGCAAGTGCTGTGCCTCTGAGGAGGGTTGCTATGAGGGGCACGAAGAGATAAACCGGATAGATCATGGTGAAGCCTAATAGTTGATAGAAACAAAGTCAGAGAAGTATAGAATGCTTTGATGAAGGTACTTGTAGACCGGGCAAGGACGCATTACTTATCGCCCACGACAATGTCTACAACGAGGCCGACTTTGCTGAAAATGTGGCGGAACATCTTCTCAAAGCCGCCGAAAAAACGAGAAATCATGTCTCTTGAAGCCTCCTGATGTCACTCCCACCCGTGTCTAATGCGAGGATCCGGAATGTCTGCGGCAAATGCACCACCGGGGATGCTGCTGAAGTTGGACAGCATTCCCGCCCTCACCAATCAGTGGGAGAGCAGAGTATAGTAGCGCGCAGGATCGTCTCTCCAGAGATATTTCAGGCCGTGCCTTGCTGCATGGTCTGTTATATCGCCACTTGTCGGACCCAGGGGGAAGTTGGAACAAGAGTAATAGAGCCTCATTTCCCAAAGAGGAAAGACATGGCGCTTCGACCAATCAGAGCCGGTTGGGTCCAGCCACCCGCAACGACAGTGGCCTGCCTTACGCCCGGGCCTGGGTAACGTGGATTCAGATGGGTGGAATGCAGTAGTGGTGAGGGAGGTGGAAGGTGACGCAAGGCCAATGAATGCGAGGTTGGCGTAGAGAGGTGCGATTGGGGCCAAATGGACATTGACACGGGATGAGCAAACGAGGCGCCAGCGTATAAAGGTACCGCCTTTGAGCCGGTTATGACTTTGATGCACTTTATTTTCTATCTATCTATCTCACCTGCCCATCTGTATCCCATCGATCTCCCATCCTGCAATTATGAAGACATATGCTGCAGCCCTTGCCTTTGCGACTCTTGCACTATCGCAAAGGGTAAGTTCCTTCCCCACCCCCTCTCCCATCCTCCATGATCCCATCTCACTCTTACCAGACAGATCTCCACGGCTGCGTTGGCGTATGGTTCGTTGACACAGGATTCGAAGACGGCGCCTGTTGCGTCGGAGGCACCCTCTCTGCGCCTTACCTCTCCACCTGTCCTGGCTGGCCTATTTGTTCCGGGCCCGCGACAACCACGACCACATCGCAGCCATTAAGCTGTGCCACCGTCATCGCCAGCGACGACAATTACTCGAGCAACCTTGCTGCCGCAACGAGCAGCCTCGCTGCGAGCGGGACACATTTTCAGACAACATTGACTGCTGGTGGAACGGCTACGGGAGGACCCTCTTCGACGGCGTCCTCGGGATCTGCCTCGTCGGACAGTGTGACTGGGACGACGGGCGTGGCTTCGGCGTCGCCGACAGGAAATAGCGGGTCGACAAAGTCGATGGCTGGTGCTGGAGTGGTCGGTGGAGCTATCGGGGTGCTTGCTCTATTGTTGTAGTCCAGGAGATGGGATCTTGAGGATGAAGAAAGGACATCAGGCAGAGCCGAGTGGAACTGATTCCGCAGGATGCTCGTCTCTGGGTCAATACACGTAACATCCATCTCGTTCTTCTTGCGGCACTGGGCCGGTGGATGCTATTAGTTCTCGAGTAAGTGTTCTGCGGGACTTGAAGTCCAAAGCAGGAGACGGGGTAATTCTGATGTCTTCGGTACGCTAGTATGCGAGCATTTCACGGCCCCCAGTGACCCCCTGGCCAGGTGCCAGGGCATAGTGACTCCACCACGGCACAGGATATCCTGCCGAAATGAAGATCGCAGGAATTAGGTACTTTTGCTTGCCTCCCGAGGTTGCCTTTTCCGTTGACGATCCTGATCCTACTCGTCCCGGATATGCAGATTATCGGGAAGTTGTGACGGCTCTGCCAATGGTCATGTATTTCACATTCAAAGTGTCAGATGAGTTGTTGCGGTAGGTCGAAAATGTGAGCTGCCAGGTGCAAGCGCAGGGCATTCATGACGTAGTTGGAGGCCTTGAGTAACTTGATCGTTCCTGCCAGGCATTGTGACCAAAACTACACACCTAGATCTTCAAGCTCAAAGGACAACGAGATCTTGTTCTAATCACAAGAAAAGACCTCGGTCTTCGGGAACAACCAGTTCATAGTTGGATACTCCGTTTGAATTCAAAGGAATGTGTAAATAGATTTGACCACCCCTGATACCGAAGCCCCGCTAAAGAAGCTCTGGATCTATTATGCCGGGTGGACCCATCGGGCGAGGCTGCGAGGCCTGTAGAGCCCACCACAAAAAGGCAGGTCTTGATGTTCAGCACAAACCCGAGGCTTCATGCTCACATACTAACAGACGCAGTGCGATTTGCAGCGTCCGAAATGTACACGTTGTCGGAAAGCCCGAATACCTTGTATCGGGGCTGGCGAGCAGAGGTACAAGTTTATCAACCGTAGCCAGCATCCACGAGAATCTTGTCTTGCTCCGGTGGAAGGACTGCCACAATCGTCCCGACCTTTTCCTCCCACCTTCGACTTCAGTGTCCCTCCGAGCAGTGAAAGTAGCATTCTAGCACAGTCGTTGGTCGCGCTTCTAGCACTAAAGGACCTTCGATACAGCATCACGCAGCTATGGGGACCATTCCTCGCAGATCTTCCCCGCCGCATGGGATGTAATGAGGCCCTGGACGCCGCCACTGCCACGGTACTCGGGCTCCACGACGCCGAAACCAGATTCGTCCGTGACAGCGCAACGCTCCGGCCGGTATTACGACAGTATGTTCGGGCGATCAACGCCGTCCGTTCAATCCTGGATGACCCCGTCCGGGCGCAAGAGGTCGAGACGCTTTGTGCAGTCTTCCTGTTGGCCAAGACATCATGCTATTTCCCAGGCCCGATCAGCAACTTTATCTCACCACATGGCACGGGAGCAGTCGAATTGCTGAAGCTGCGCGGATTCTGTCGTGACCAGGAGCCTTTCGAATCGATGCTGTATGGCAATCTACGATTCCAGGTCGCCCAGGAGATGTTATTTGACCCAGATCCGAAATTAAGTCGCGATCAGTGGAAGATGTTTGAGGCGTCCTGCCCAAACAATCAGTTTTCGGACCATCTTCTACGGTGCACGGTTAGGGTCGGGCGATTCCTCACAGAATTCAGAAGTACCGCACGGGGAAGTATCGAGGAAGTGGCTGCGTATTACCGAGTGACGCAGTTTCAGGAGGAAGTGGAACAAATCACCCTTGGAATGCAGCGAGAAGTCACTGTTAGTACCCATGGCGGCACCGAAGAGCTGGCGCTAAAGCAGAAGTACTATAACCGTGGACTCGTCATCACTGCGGTGCTTTTGTGTGTTCAGCGTGCCCTGGCGCCGAAGGAGTCTCGCTTTGATCACGAGATCGACCTCCTTTGCTCCCGAGTATACCAGCTAGCAGAGGATGCTAGGGCGTATCTCCCTCTGGGGGGCAATTGGATGCTCATCGGCCTCATGGTCATCTGGTGTGCCGCCAAAGGCACGGCGCATCAATCGAGGATTGAAAATCTCGTTGACGGATGGCGCAGGGACACCTTACCTGAAGAGCATGCCAGAGTGCCCCGTGCACAGCTGGAGGAGATGTACCAACGGCTGAGCTTCGAGGAGAGGCAGGCATAGGAGGAGTGAAGTGTTTTGGATTTGGATTGACTCGGATCACAAAGTTGCGGACTAAATATGTTTAGAGAACCCTTTTTTGATCCAGCGCAGTCGAGAGCAAGGGGGAAAGGTCATTGGTTGTCCTGGTACCACTGACAAGTCAGGAAAGCAACGGCGAGGGCTCAAACGATGGTATGGCAGCAGTGTAGTGGATCCTGGCCTGTCACTCGGTCTTGATACTTTACGACTGATCCCAAGGCGACCAACTGTCGCAGGCACATGTCTCTATCTACGAGTACCGAGTCAAACGAGTACAGAGTAACCGTGGAGTTGAGTGGGTCTAGCCATTTTTGGGTTTCAGCTCCACATTTATGAGGTACACACATCCTCAACTCCACAATTTACACCTTTGAGGCTTCCCCAGAGCACCTATGCACGTGCGATGCAAGTAGGGAACTCAATAGCCCCTCACATCGACATCGTCTTCATTCTCATCATCATCACCGTCATCGTCATCGCCATTACCAGAACACTGAACCGGACGAGCTGAGGGAGTGGGAAGTCTCGAACCGGGCTTTCAGCTACGCCTCATCACTCTTGGGTACCAAGGCCTTAGTCCAGGTACTGTATCAGTCTCTATGCAGGACTTTTTAGCACAAAACGCAAAATCATGCCATATTGGCTGGGGTCTCGACTCTCGACTGTCGAGTCTCGACCATGGACCCCGTTTCAGCCATGCCTCGTCAAAAGTCTCCCGGTTCGAGAGTGCCCATCTTTAATCATCGTGGGGGAAACTGCGACAACTTTGATTTCAGGTGTCGTTGACAGGTAGATGGTCTAGACAGGGGAGAGGTATACTCCCGTGGGCAGTTCCAAGCGTATTTAATGATATTTCCTCCGTGTACCACTTAGCATGTACTAATGATAGATAGCCGTGTCGATTTCAGGATATACTCGTATTCTTCCAACCAGTATTACTAGGGAGATACAAGTCACTATCACTGAGCGGGTCGTTCTCCAGCCCACGTCCTCCTCCAACCCCAGAATTAAATCATCACCACTTATCCGTCTTCTCATTGACCGTCTTGGGATCCGTCGGCGCCAGCACGGGCGGATTCACCCTGGCCGCGCCCCCAAACGTCTCCCCGCTCGGCTTGTACCCGACACTGCACATCAAGTCGCCCCGGTCCGTCATGACGGGGTTCTTGTAGAAGAAGACCCCCGAGCACGGAAAGACCAGCTTGCTCGCCCGCCCGATGTCGTTGGCCAGCACGTTCTCCAGGCTGCCCAGGTTGTCAAAGTTGAACGTGTTGAACCAGCCCTCGAGCCAGTCGATGATGCCGCCGAACTTGTCTTTCAGGTCGCGTCTGTCGCTGGCGTCGTAGTCGACGTGGTGCCCGCGGTCCGTCATGATGATTTGGAGGCCGCCATCGTTGACGGATTGGAGGGTCAGGTTGAAGTTCCATTTGAAGGAGCGGTGGAGGCTGCGTCAGAGTGTAGATTAGTGCCATGTTACAAAGGGCGGAGAGATTGGTCAGGTCGAGGCTGTTCTCTGTGATATCGGATACGTACTCGTCTCCCTTGCTGGCGGCATTGTCCTCAAGTCCCCACCATACCTCGCTGTACAGGCGTATGTACGAGGTGCCTTCGACGTTGATCGTCGGGCTGTCTCCAGTGGCGGTGATTTTTACCTCGCAGGACGCTACACGGTGTTGAGAAAATGGTCAGCATCAAATCCGCAGTTCCCAGCCAGTTCGACCAGATCGCAACAAAGACACAACGGACTTACATTCAGCAGTAACTTTGATCGACTGAGCGCCATGGTCGCGCTTCAGGTCCTGAGGCCAGGACTTCGTAAACGTCCAGACTGTTTTCGGACCATTTTGAGTCTTGCTGAACTTGTATTCGCTGTCCTTGACGTTGCCAGGGTCGTTGATGTGGAGATTGACTCCCCTGTTTTCCAAGTGTCAGTTTTCAAAACATTGTGGACTTGGTCGATAAAGGACGAGGGGAATGGCCACTCATACATGGCCCATGTCGAATTGGCCCACGCTCCGGCACTCAAGTCCGACCACCCAATGGCCATTCGGGCAATGATGTCCCGCAGCCTGGGAAATAGATATTGGTCCATGAAATTGCCGGATGTCAAGACAAAGGCGCCCAGGGGTAGGTCGTCTGTGATGTTGTCTTGTCCGTTGCTCGTCGAGATGGACCCGGCGGTCCAGTTGCCGTCGTAGCCGAGATACTTTTTGTCCCCCGACGGCATGGGTGGCGCGTCCTTTTGGCCTGGGTTGAGTGTCTTCTCGAGGTAGCAGAGGTAGTTCAGCCTGGAGTTGCCGGTCGTGCCGTCCCCGGCGGCGTTGCCGTTGGACTTGTATGGATATGTCTGGAACTGGAGTCCACAGGGGATGAATGTCGCTTTGGGAGACTCGACGACGGCTTTGTTCTGGGGGCCGTTGGTCACGTAGCCCAGGACGTTCAAGTCTTGCATGTGTAGCATTGTGTCTGCGTCCAGGGGTTAGCTCTTCAAGGTTCTCATGCTCCGTCACATGGTACCACAGGCGACATACTGCTTTGACCCTCGCCGATTGTCGTCATCAGGATCTTGATGTTTTTCAGGTTGTCTTCAGACAATTTGGGCGTTTTGTCGTTCTCATAACCGCCAAAGTAGGACTGGGTCATTGTGGCTGAGCTGATGTCGGGATCTGTACCCATGTTAGACATTACGAGCATGGCTTTTAACCAGATATCTGTATCACCTTTCATATTCATGATCAACTTCTGGATTGAGTAGTCACCCGGGATATCGTGTTTTTTGCGCAAGCTCTCCAGTACCTCTGGCTTGCTGATGTCCGCCAGAGCTGTGCCACGTCAGCCGCCACAAACTTGAGTTGAAGAACGGAATACTTGCCAATGTTGACGGAGTAGGCGAAATACCAGTCCTGGATCGGCCATGTGAGAGGCGTCGTGTCCGTCCAGCTTTTCTGGGTCTAACACGATATCAGCAATGAGAGGATTTGTTTAGAAGAAAACGGACATACCACAAAACTGCCGCTGGTAATGTGGATCTGGTAGAGGACATGGTATTTGTCTTCGTCACTATAGTGCACGATAACCCTGGGACAACCCAGTTTGAAGTCCTTGAAAGCAAAGGTCCCTGGGCCGAAATTCGGTATCACGGCGTCAGCTGCATGGCCAGCGCTCACGGCGTTTGCTTGGTTGATCGCAAACAGGTCCTGGAGTGAATTGTTGATCATTTGTCTGGTTGAAAGGTTAGCAAGAATGGCAAAGGGGGGTCGAGAGTCAAGACTGAGCCTACTGCGTAATGGCAACCACTTGGTCGTACTCGCCAATCTGGTCATATGGGGATCAGTACATGAGGAAGAACTTCATCTGGATATGGATGATCCTCTACGTACAGATGGTGCCATCGTTCCTCTGTTGTCGCACTGCAAATCCTGGATCTGGCTCTATGGCAGGCTGGAGGACTTGGGCGAAGGCTCGCTGGGATAGTTGTGCAGGAGTTGTTCCTTTCTGTGTATAGAACGAAGATGGCCCTTTTACAATAACCATGCAGGTGCCTGGCCAGTGTCTCCAGCGTGGCTGAGAGTTCGACAGCTGAACATGGTTCTAGACCAATATACACCTGATCAGCGCTTGAAGCTAAATGCTGAGCACCAGGTCGATGGAGACGAGGGGAAGACGTGCACGGTCACTTTGTCAAAGACTGTCGAGGTTTCAATTGAGGAGAATGGATTGATTGCACCGAGGTCCGCACCAGCCACGCAAGCTGCCTTAAGCTTTATGTTCTTTGCGGGCCGTGCTGCTTGTCTGATGCTGATGTGGATGTGGATGCAGATGCTGGGGGCCTCGAACCCAAACACCATCTTAGTATCGTGCTGATATGGGGTTCTGGGGGATCTTCAGTCAGCCACATTCTGGCCAGACCAACATGGAGTTCAGAGGATAATTGGGGCCTCGTATACTTTGCCAACGCACGAATCAATTCACTCCCGTCGGTATCAGGCGCTTCTCCACTTCTCCAACGGTCACAACATGTGAAATTCAACTTGACCCCAGACACGCTTCAGCTGGTGACATGCTGTGGATAGTAGAATGCTGCAGCCTGTCGAAACAGGTAGCATTACGAGGGATGGGTTCGCACATTGACCAAGACCCCGCCCGCATTATGCTGAAGAATAAGGATGGGCGGATGCCTCGATGTTTAGCGGGTTTCGTGAACTGCCAACTTACAAGATCAACATGGCGAACATCACATTCGATACGGAGTTGATGGTCAACCATATCGCTGCCACGCCGGCGGCGGCAGGGTCTGTGTTCACCACGGTGCTTGAGCCCATCACGCGGCGACCAGCCGTGATTAGCTTGAGCAATGAGAGTCCCCCGGTGCTTGAATTGATCAAGGTAGGACTTCTTTGAGGTCGATTCCGTTCGGATACCGTAGTGACAGTGAACAGGAAGACGACGCCGGCAACCGCAACTTGGTGGACCTTGGAGGAAAGCTGAACCTGCCTTCTGGGGCTGTCATACAAGCCTTCGTGGCAGAACAGGATGAGGTCTTGAAGATCTATCTCGCTCTCGCCGTCAAGAATGACAAGAGTTCCGACGTCTATGTTTGTAAACCCTTTCTCCTCGACAATCTGGACGGAATTTCCTTGTATCCGCAACAGACCATGCCTACAGTGAACAAGCTCTTCATGGTAAGTACCGCCCATTCGTCATCAGGACTGAGGCTGAATCACATCCAGGGCGCTGTGACCAATCCTGGTTCTTTCCCCCTGCTGGTCGCAGACATTCAACCGCCAGCAAGACAAAGCAGCAGGAGCAGCGACCTCAAAGCCATCTGGGTCGACGGCGACACGACGCAGATGCTGCAGACTTTCGAACTCCCCCAAAATGCGGACAGGATCATATCCGTTGCGGTCGCGTCGTATGGCATCCTCGGCAAAGGTCTTTGGGTTCTGTATTCCACCCAGAACCAGGCGAAGCTGGTCTGTAACCTGGCCAGGCCCGGGACTGATGGCACGGCCTTGCACTTTCAGCGTCTCGAACCGTCGTGCGACCCCAGAGCGACGGCTATTGCCTCGTATACCGACAAGAACCAACAGTCTGGTCTCCTCGTGGGAACGCCAAAGGGGCTGTACACCATTTCTGCACAGGGCTGTATTAATTCGACAGACTTGCACACTCTTATTGCTGAAGACAGCTTCTTTAAAGCACCGGCCAGCATTTCCGTAGCGCAAGATGGACCGAGTTTGACCGTCTGGGGTCTCAGCCGGGACGGGCAGCTGGGATACTTGACGACTGATTCGACAAGTGTCGAACGGGCACACCAGTCCGGAACGGTCCTGCTGGGAAAACAGTCGTCAGCGTCCTTTTCGGCGTCCATTTCTCAGCGCAACCCCGGTGCCAAACTCAATGCCATTACTCAAACAGTCATCTCGAATGATTCCCAGGGGAATCTAACGCTACTGGCCCAGAGCCAGGATACTGGGATATGGAGGTCCGAGCCGTTTGGGATTGCCCACTACACCAAGACCATCGAGGTTCAAAGCTACGCCGTGAGGGTGACAATCAAGGACGAGAAGAATCTTCCCATCTCAAACGGCGAGGTGTGCGTTGTAGCGTCATCCGACGCAACTGCATATGTCAATGGCAGAACTTATAACATCACCTCGGACCTCGAGGGGACCTGGCTGCCCTTGGACTCTGCAGGCTTGCTCTCCATGATCGTGGCCACCAACATGATCTCTGGCCGCTCCTTCCGCGTCGTCCAGATCACTGATAATCAGAAAAAGGATGTGGAGATGGCAGACCGGACCGTCAGGATCGACCCGAGCTTGAAGGTGGTGCGGAATCTGTGCTCCAAGCTCGGCGGTGACGCCGATTTGAGTAGCCTGAAGACGCAATCTGGCCAGAGCCTGTGGTCGGACGGCAACACACCAGGACAGGAAGATTTGAAGACGGCACACGAATGCTTCAAGAAGCTGAGCCAGGCGCACTCGGATGTCTTGAATCCTAGGTCGTCACGGCGAGTCGACGGCGGTGCAGCGCTAAAAGATATTGGTGACTGGACGATGGATGCGTTCCACCACGTCAAGGTCGCATTAGACGATGCGGTCGCCTGGGTGATTGAGCAGGTCGAAGGAGTGTGGCGCTTCGTGTGCAAGATAGCAGGTGAGATGAAGAGGTTTGTGCTGGACACGATTGAGAAGATTGGTGAGGCTGCACAATGGGTATGTCGTTGTTGCTTTGTGAGATTCCTGCTTTCTAACCCAGGCTAACTTTGGGCTTCAGGTCTGGGAGAAGATCAAACTGGGGTGGGATAAATTGCTCGATTTCTTGGGACATCTGTTCGGGTGGATGATATCAAGAATACCAGCGACGACATCTACAACCTCCTTCTCGGCAGTGTCGACTGGATATCGGATGGCATTCACAAGGTGGAACCCAAGGTAGAAGGGTGAGACATTCCTTCCCTCGTCGTTGAAGATGGAGCTAATGCTGCCGCAGCTTCTTTGACAACTTGAAGGGGATAGTCAAAGTTCCGACCTTGACCCAACCGGCGTCGACTAACATGAGTCAGAGCGGCAAGAGCAGCTCCTCCGCCAAAGCATCTGATAGTCCCGCGTTCAACTACCTGACTGATAGGATGAAGAACGGCAACCCTGGCGCGGCAGCCGCGGCGTCATCGCCATCGACGAGCAAGCCCTCTGGAGCCGGCGAACCGTCCTTTGAAGAGATCTTGAAGCCGCTCGGAGAAAGCCTGATGAAGCTGGTGACCGACCTCGCCCACGACGTCTCCGACCTGTTCCACGGCATGGGCGATCTCTCTCCCAGCCAGCTATTTGCGAAGCTGGGAAACGACCTCCTCGTCAACGTCATCGACGTGGTCAAGTCCATCGTCGTGGGTGTATTGAAGTTCCTGCGCAAGTCCATCGGCCTCTTCAAGGATCTGGTGACGGGCAAGATCAACGTGCCCATCATCTCGGCCCTGTACAAGCTCTGCACGGGCAACGACTTGAACTGGCTCAAGCTGGTAGCGTTCATCCTGGGCTTCATGACCTGTACCATGTCGAGGATCGTCACGGGCAAACCTCCCCCGAGGCTTCAGGACCCGGGTCAGAAATTCCTCGACAAGATGGTCGACGGGGGTGCGTCCGAGGTGGAGCAAAAAGGAAACGCCCTCTTCTTCTCCGGAGTCGGGATGAGCATCAGCGCAGTCAAGATCGTCTACGACGCCATCGCCGTGGCCAAGAGCGTTTCCAAGGTCGGAGCCGCCCAGACGGCCGTCACGAGCGTCAAGACCGAGGCTTTCGGCGTCGCCATGGACATTGCCACCATCGTCTGCATCTTCCCGACCGATCCCCAGACGCCGGGGTACGAGATCCGCAAGTGGATCACGTACATCAACGCAGCCAGCGTCGGCATGGACCTGGCGTTGATGTTGGGCAGCCAGGGCCCCAACCCGGCGGCAGAAAAGGGCGTCGCGATCTTCAAGTTCGCCACCGACCTGGTCAGTGCGTGTCTGTACGGCATCGTCTTCTCCAAAGAGCTCGACGCCGAGAAGAAGTCCTGGCCCGACAAGGACGACGACCTGACAAACTGTGCCATTTGCGAGGACGTCTTTGGCACCGTCAAGAGCTGCGGCAAGCTCATCTGTGCCGTGTCGGCCGAGTCGCCGCAGTCTGCCGCCGTTGGGCTCGCCGTCATGGCAGCCGCGGGTCTTGGGTTGACGGTCAACAAGGGATTCACCCTGAATCGTACCGCCGAGGTGAATCCAAAGTGCTATCGCGGGGCTTTGTGTTGAGTCAGGACAGACTATTCAGATTGGATGGATTCTCTCTATAATATTTGTTGGCTCCTTTGCAGGTGATATGGTTAATGGATGATTGCAAACTGTGGACAGAGGCTCGCGTTTATAGGGAAGTATTGAACATTCAACGCCAAAGGACCTATACCTATACCTATACTCGGACTACTTTTCTCTCTCTCTCTCTCTCTCTCTCTCTCTCTGTCAGAAACACAAAATGTGATTCCCCTTGGGTGTATATTTAGCGATGAAGCAGCTCCGTAGCATTGTGCAGCACCATCTCCCCCGCCCACTTGATATGCGGCTGCACGATCTGCGTCAACTGCCTGCTCTTGACAAAGGCCGCGACCACCGCCAGAAGCACCATGTCCCGCTCGGCGTGGATGCGCGGCGACACCTCGCGCAGCAGGGCGTTGAGGGCCCACCACCTCGTGCCACCGCGGAGCTTGAACGCGCCCCAGTCCACGGCCAGGGTGCGGCGCCAGTACTCCTCGGCCTTGCCCGGCCACGAGGTCACGTTGCGGCCGTGCTCGTTGATGAACCAGCTCGAACAGCCCGAGAAGAAGACGCTCGACTTGAGCTTCGCGTGGATCACGTTGGTCTCGCGGTCCTCGGCGCTCTGTTTGACCTCGATCCGTGAGGCGCGGCCGTCGACAATCGGCTGGATCAGGCTGCGCACCGCGTAATTGACTTGGGTTTGGCACGAGAAGAGCGCCGAGTTGTTGGCCGGGAAGGTGTTGGGGCCGTAACTAAAAGAAAAGACACTTCATCAGGCCGTGTCTTCAAAAGTGGGTGGGAAAGTAGGACAAGAACAAAGAGTATCTGCCCACACTTACATGATTCCAAAGTTGGGAAAGTTGTGCACATACGTCCCCATGTACGCCTGCGCGCCGCGACATTCCCGCCACTGCTGGGCGAGGGAGACGCCGTTGGCGCCTTCGATCTTGATCGTCTGCAGAAAATCCGTGACTTGGTAGCCCGTGGCGAGCACGATGATGTCGAAATCCGCCGCTTTGCCCGCCGTGTCGATCAGGCCGGTCTCGGTGAATTCCTTGATGCCTTGGTTGATCAGCTCGACGTTCCTGCGGTTGAGGCTGTCGAGGTAGCCTGGGTCGAAGATCCGTCGTTTGCATCCTTTTTGAGAGACCAAGTCAGCCACTAACCAACTACTTTGTGTTTCCAAGGAAGAGATGTGCTGCAGCAACAAAGTCACGTACCGAGAGGAAAGTCCGGAATGATGAAGCTGTGGTATTTCTTCGGCGTCTTGGACAGCATGTACGCCTCCGCCTTCCTCTCCAGCCGAGATCGACTCTTCACCCCGGTCGTGGACGAGTAGTATTCCTTGGTGTCGGCGTCGGCGTCGAGGAAGATGCGGAAGCGCAGCCATTTCTGGAGAAGGGGGATCCAGCGGAACGACCACTTTTCCGTTTCGGTGAAGACGTGGTTCGGCTAAAAATCAGACGGCCATGTCAGGTGGAGGAGTTCTCTACCTTGAGAGAAATTGGCGTCGAGGTTGGGAAACACTCACCCTGGGAAGATACCACTGCCGACTTCGCGCGTACTGCGTGATCTTTGCCGCCTTCTCTGCCATGACCGGAATGGCCTGTGCTGAGCTGCACCCGTTGCCAATCACGGCCACCTTCTTGCCCTCCCAGTTGAGGCTGTGGTCCCATTGCGCGGTATGCACCATCGGTCCACGGAACTTGTCCATGCCCGGGAAATTGGGCGTCTTGGGCGTCGAGAGCGCGCCGACGGCGGAGATGAGGATCGTGGCGAACCGCGAATATGTCATGTCGGTCTTGTGGTCCTTCAGAAACACTTCCCACTCGTTCCGGTCTTCGTGCCATTTGCCTCCCAGGCACTCGATCCCGAGGTGGAAGAAGGGCCGGAGCTCGAATTTGTCGACCGTATCGTTCATGTCTTTGACAGCGTCAGCCTATGTTTCTCTTTGTGTCGCTGGAACTCACATTGTAGGATCTCGGGCTGTTCGCACAGTTCAATCGACCAGTTCGGGTTTGGGTTGAAGCTGAAGGAGTAGAGATGTGAGGGAATGTCACAGCCACTGCCGCCAAAGTCAGTGTCACAGCTTCGTTCGCAGACAGATCTGCCACGTTACCATCCCGGATATGTATTCGTCTTCCAAGTACCACCAACCCCGTCATTTCGCTCGTAGATCTGGTCCAAGTCAGTCGTTGAATGGACATGCGGTCACTGGAGTCTGAAAAACCTACAATGAAGTCTGTGTACCCCAGCTTGTGCTTCAGTTCGTATGCGAGGGCGATGCCGGACGGACCTCCGCCGATGATGATGGTGCTCGGTGTCGCTGTGTCTGACATTTTGAGCGCCTCCACTCTGCTGGAGGATGCGGTCGATGAGAATGTTATGGTTGACTCTGAGTATCATGCCTCACTGCTGCGCGGACAACTGATTTATCAAAATCGTTGAGCCATGGCAAGGGTATGTCGGTATACAAGGCTCGGTCTATCCGGGGTACATGCTCTGGCAAGTGGGTCAGGGAATGGCCACCTCGACGAATGGATATACCGGCATCAGAGTTGGCGATATTGCCGTCCTGGGATTTCTACCCGGCCCGGTTACTTACCTGGTATATGTGGGCAGACCATTTACCCGCTGGCATCGTTCTTACACTTGGAAACTGGACTGGGACTGTCAGTCTAGTGTGGGCAGCAAGCACCAAGACGCTCATATGATTATCTCCTGATTATTCTCATTGATTTGCCGAGCATTTTACCGCGCCTTCTGGACCAAGAAAGGCACAGACCAGAAGCATGTCCTCCACCAGTTTTAACTGCAAAGTCAATTGCTTCTCAGGTGCTAGTACTGCTAAAAGTAAAGGCACAGCTATGCTTGAGCCACTTTAGGAGACTAGACCGTGCTACCTATTATTCTTGATTCGGACTTTTGTGCATACCCATAGCTTCTTGATCACATCACATAGATTCAATAGATATCGGTATCTGGATGAACACGTTCATTTGAAAATCAATCTAATTTTGATCCTTGAGCAGGACATCTAGCACGAATCTACTTGACTCGCCTCAGTACCTCCTCCTCGATAGCTCCTCCCAGACCAGCCGTGGTCCCACGTCCGCCCATGTCTGGGGTGTTGATAGACAGGTCGCCTTTTGCCAATACAGTCTCTATCGCGTCCAAAAGTGTTGCCGCCGGCTCCTTGAACCCGAACCACTCAAGCATCATCTGGCCAGCCCAGATCATGCCCACGGGATTTGCAATCCCCTTCCCAGCGATATCCGGGGCACTTCCATGCACCGGTTCGAAGAGACTGGGGAATTTGCGCTCAGGGTTGATATTCCCGCTGGGTGCGATGCCGATCGTGCCAGTACAAGCTGGACCGAGATCAGACAGGATGTCGCCAAACAGGTTACTCGCGACCACGACGTCGAAGATTTGAGGTTTTTGGACGACATGAGCGCTCAGAATGTCGATGTGGTACTTGTCGGTGTGAATATCAGGATATTCTTGTGCAATCGCTGCCGCTCGCTCGTCCCAGTATGGCATCGAAATAGCCAGGCCGTTACTCTTGGTGGCGCTGGTGAGGCGCTTGCGAGGCCTTGATCGTGCAAGGTCAAACGCGTATCTCATCACACGATCGACACCCACGCGGGTCATGATTGTTTGCTGAAGCACAACTTCTCTCTCGGTGCCTTCAAACAGCCTACCACCGACGCCGCTGTATTCGCCCTCTGTGTTTTCCCGGACGACAACAAAGTCAATGTCGCCGGGCTGACGGTCTTTGAGCGGCGTCGGCACGCCCTTCATGAGACGACATGGCCGGAGGTTGATGTATTGGTCGAATTCGCGTCGAATTTTGATCAGGGATCCCCAGAGGATGACGTGGTCCGGGGCAATGGCAGGATTTCCCTGAGCGCCGAAGTAGATGGCGTCAAAGGGCAAAAGCAGTTCTTTCCAATTGTCCGGAAGCATCTGGCCATGCTTGAGGTAGTAGTCGATCGAGGAAAAGTCGAATTCCTCAAACTTCAACGATAACCCGTAGACTTTTGCGATCGCTTGAAGGCATTTGACCCCCCAGGGCATCACCTCCACGCCGATGCCGTCGCCAGGGATGACGGCGATCTTGAATTCCTTTGCGCCTGCAATCATGGTGGCAGTTGAATATCGTTTGAATTTCTCGGTTGTGAGAGATCTGGGCCTTTGTTATTTGGAGGTGAAGATCCCGCAACGACAAGACTATGTAGGCTCGAAAAGGCAACATCGCACAGTTCGCGTCCTTCTATGTATCCTTTGTATTCTCCCATTGTGAGTCCCTGCCAAAATCGTGCACTCGTCAGTATCCCTTCCATACCCGAATATGTTCATACGAGTACATGAACGTACCCCTTTGAGAGGTTCCTAATGTTACTATGCCCAATAAGGATATGGCGGGTATATTGCCCAATTCGGTACTATACGCCGTCCTCGTCACATCCATGTACCCGGGAGGCTGTACCTGTGTGCCTGTTGTCGACGGGCGAGGTAATGGCATATCTTCGGCGTTTTGTCAGAAGAAACGAACCTCTTCGTCTACGGAATTGGACTTACTATACCCAATAGTCTTTTCTTCGAGAACATCACGCAAGATTCTTCGCCTAGTGATCTTATCAGGGTTCTCCCAAAATCCAAGCTACGTATGCCTGGCCAATAGTAATACAGCCGAAGTTGAACCTCTTCAATCCTCACTTTGACCAGTCAGGAACAAGAGAGGATGATTTGGCCATTGCCCAGAAACTTAGTGTCTTCTTGATGATACCCCGCCTGGGGTATAACAGCGAAGTTTCCCCAGTGAGTTTAGCTGCGTGTTTATCCCGCGAAGAGGTAAGAAGGGAGGAGGCCAGAGGGATCAGGATAGAGGATCGAAGGGTCTCCTCTCATTCATTCCCAGAATCTAGACAATGTGCGGACATTTGAGCAAGGGAGAGAATGCTATGGTCAAGATTTCCCTAGGTTACTGATACAGT